GTGTCGGTAAGTTCCGAATAAATAATACGAAACCTTCGGTTCGTCCACGAAGCCAACAGTGGTTCAGTGGGTATATGACGAAACCTTCTGCCATTTCCCAAAACTATCAGAGGATTTGTACATGACGTACGAAACCACAAACCACTTTACGGAACCTTCGAAGAGTTCAGATGAAAATTGCGAAACCTGATGAAATCTGCTGAACTTAAAATAGTTCTGAAAGGAGACCACGGAACTTAAAATCGTTCGGTGGAGAAATGCGGAACTATTAAGGTTCGGTAGAGTACCGATTTTTTTTAGAGTGTAGCATCAGACGAAAAGAAAAATAACAACCTACAGCGCGAAAAAATCTTTGAAAAGAAATGGTTAATATATAAAACAATGAAAACAAAATAACAAACAGAAATATGAGAGAAAAACGTGTTCAGCGACACGAATTAATAACAAATATAAGAAGAAAAGGAAGAAAAAGAAAAAGAAATTCAATATTATAACAAAAGATTTGTCTACACATACGAAAATGAACGAATATAAATCTTACGCTTTGATAGTTATATCTTGCTGATTTTTTTTGGTTGATGATTCTGGTTTGAGATTGTTCAACCGCATCAACTTGTTCGTGTCCATAAAGTAAAAACATGTATGATTTTTTCAATTTTCCATGTACATAAAATGTATTACGAAATCGTGTATTCTATTTCGATTCTCATTGCTGCAGTAAGAATCTGACCGAATTAATTAATTAATATAATTAATCAATAATAAGTTTCGTATAATAGAATATTAATAATAATTAAATATTTTCCAAATTAAATACAATAGCCCTTCATAATCAGTGAGTGAGGAAAATTCATGCTTCCCGATCATGCTATGCTAAATCATATCATATAAGATAAATCTAATAATAATTAATTATTCCATTGAATTCGACATATTTTTTAAACGAATTTTTTCCGACAAACCATCATCGGGAACTTACGCTTGTTCGATTACTAAAATGATCATATAAATAGCTTCTTCTTTTCTTTTTTTTTATTTATTTGAACCACTTGATTATTGAGAGAGAAAGATTCTTGTCACATGTCTCGATTCGATAGAGGCTCTGTTTGCATTTGATAACCAACATTGTTTGTAAAAATTCGATGTAGTTCATAGACGATTTGGTTAGTTTAATCATCAGTTCGACCTTCCACGGTTGTTATTAGTAGAAGGGAGCCAGGGTCGCCAAATGTTAGCGTTCTCGCTCACAAAGAGCCACGAACACTTTAAATGTGTGTGTTTTATTATCTCTCTGTTTATTCTTTTAGAAAACACATGTTTATATACGCACACGAAAGCAGAGACAAGAAAATAGAGGAAAACGGAGAGAGAGAAAGGAAAAGGAAAGAAAAGAGAATAGATAGAATCGAGATATACGTTACAGTAGAACACACTGTAACAAGCTGTACAAATGAAACGGTGATAAAATGAAAAATAAACTTCTGAAAAATAATCAGAGCTCAGTGTTAGTTCTCATACAATAAAAGAAGGATCAAACTTTTTGGTATATCATATTGCAATTTGATATACGGTTACTTTCGAAGGATGGTTTTCTTTTTCTGTTACCTTTTTATTCTGAAATAAATCTCATGCAGATTCTGTGAATAATTGAAGAAAAAAATTCACCTCTACTATTGAAAATGAAAGTAGTTTTCCCGATTCATTTCCATACGACTGAAGTAAATCTCGCTATAGAAAAGGTGCTGAGGTGCTGGGGGTTCCAAACCTGCACTTTCCCCCTTGAAACGAGTTTAAAATTTAAAAAGAATCTCAACATTAAGTATCTTTTATTGATGCTTGCGTATTAGCTAGACGATATATTCACTATAGTTTCTTTCGTTTTATTTAAATATCTTTGAAAATAATGTTCCAGTCAGCGAACAGAAATGCAGCAGAATTTTGGATGACAGTATTTTAGCGGAAGATGTACTAGTTGGCCAAAAACTGCCATTTTCTCATTAATTTCTGATTTTTCAGAGATATGTTCTGATCGTTGTCTGATTTTGAAAAAATATTTCCTGATTTTTCAATTTTTGATCTGGCCACCCTGGCCCACACGCTCGATTTATGAGGCAGTGAACAAGCATTATTGGCGAGGGTGACGGTAAGCTTTTTATTCATTTTATCGTTACACCCACATTCTTCATATCAAAAATTTGATAGAGCTCCTTTATGAAAAGAGGAAAACTAATTTCATTCAAATAATGATTATTTAGAATACAATAATGATATTCCAATTAACAAGATTTACTAAAGAAAAGCAATTGAACGTAGCATTTGAGCTTTTATTTGGAACACTGTAAAATAAGTTGATGCACCAAACAGATGCAGCAGATTATTCTTTTGGTGTTGCTGTCGTTCCCATTGAATATTCACAAGAACAACATCGTTATATTTGTCTTCAGTACGTAAACTTTAGTTGTCTCCCTATTCACAAAACAACACTATCTCGGTTTTGTTCCGCACAATTCAATTGTGTAACTAATCTCTTATCAATCCATATACGGCCCAGGAGAAAGGTTACGATTATCTGTATTTTTTTTTTGCCGTAAACGTAACGAATATTTTCACCTGTGAATCTTCATTTTTCTCCTTATTTGTCCATAACATGGTCAAGGTGATATACGAGCATAACACTGAACCATGTAAACTCCTACAATACGATTGTTGATAGCCTTATACGGAATCCGTAATGCTCAGCCCGAGTGAAAGTGTACAAAAAGACGTTGCAACATGTGCAACTAGAGAAAAAAAATTAAAAACCCTTTCTCAATCATTGAAACTACCCCAGGGAGAAAAAGCGGATCCCAGGATTGTGGAATCGTCTGGATTGTCATCGTGTCTGCTGGATTGTATCGATCGCCACCGTATCGCTGATTCAAGAATATCATGAAAATAGAAAGGATTGGAAAGTAAAATGCCGTATTCACGAATCAGAGTTTGTTTTATTGGATAAAAAGGGTGATGTAAAAATTACTGATTACCATAGTTAGAGGTTCATTTATGCTGTTCTATAGGTCAATCTTCATGCAACATCACTGAATTTACCGTCAACCAAAGGTGTTATACTTTCTGATTTTGATATATGTAGTAGAAATGAGGTTTTTAAGACATTTGACTTAAATTGTTTAAAATCATACTGCTTAGTTCCCAAAGTACTTAAATGTTGGCACTAGTACAATTCGTCTCACGACAATTCGTTGCGATCAGTTCGTCGCATATATAGGAGAGGCTATACATTAATTGAATTAAGATATTTAGTGTAGAATGTTATTTAATTAATCATGTAAATTGTATACGCTGTTATTGAATTATTAGATATACATGAGGAATATAAGATGCGCTTCGAAAAAACCAATAATTGACTTCTGAAAAGATTTCTTAAAGAATTTTCTGTTAAAATACAAAGAGTCTGATGATAAATAGGATTCCAGTCCTTTAAGGAGATAAATTCTGATGAAATCCTCACCTAAAAAAAGAAATCAATGAAAGCAAATTTCACTTTTTTAAGTATATAATTCATTCAGTACTGTCTGGGACAAGTTTCTGTGCTACGTAAAAATGCTCGGTTAGTGGATAAAGTGATTCAAACATTTTCAAAATAGGCTTCACGTTTATGGTCCGAAGATTGAAATTTAAAAGAATTATTGGATGGACGAATACATTTTTAAACCCTCATAAGAATTAGAATTGAAAGTTTAAAATTAAAGTTAAAATTCTTGAAATTTAAATTGGAAAGAATTTTAAGAAAAGATGATCAAGGTTGGTGTAGACGTTATTGAGAGTATTTCAAATTATTTTTTTTACATTTTCTGCAAACAGAAGTAGTGTTTCGTCTACAAATTGTGTTCCCATGTAATAAAAACCGCATGAAAATCGGCGGTTAACCGCGGTTTTACCGATCCGGTTACCGGCTCCCCTTACCGCAGAACGGATAAATACCGCGGTTTACCGCAAAAAATGATCCGACATTTACCGCGGTTGCCGCTAAAAAAAAGCGGTTAACCGGTTCGTCTATAATTTTTGACAGAAAAAGTCTTCCAAATCATCAATTAAACTATTTTAATCATCCTTTTTTTTTACTTTTACATGTGATAAACATGAGCAAAAAAACGGCGGTTAACCGCGGTTTTACCGGTCCGGTTACCGGCTCCCATTACCGCAGAACGGATAAATACCGCGGTTTACCGCAAAAAATGATCCGGTATTCGCAACATGGGTTAAGAAATAAATGTTGTCGATTATCTCTGGAATACAGAAGATTGAATTTCAGGAATCATCTATGATTTGTTGAAGAATTTTGATTTTTATCAGCACATGTGTAACTCAAATACTAGATTTTCTTATTTTTCTTATGTGTTACTGCTTAAGTCATATTTTTTCCAAATAACGATAACTAATTTGCATCATTACGAATTATTGAATAAAAAACATTATTTCTATATAATTTTAATTTTCATACTAGAAAAAATTAAATTCATTCTTAATTCAATTTCATTGAGTTTTTGTCATTTAAATTCTAGTTAATTTAATTTAAAAAAACCTGTAAATTCAGATCTCTATTGTTAAAAAAAAGTATTATCAAGAAAGAGCCATTATTCTCTGAAGAAAAAAATTTGTCAGAGTAATTAATTAAATAACATTCTACACTAAATATTTTAATTCAATTAATGTATCCTCTCCTATATATGCGACGAAGTGATCGCGACGAATTGAACGGTCACCCACTGACTTACTCGCATAAGTACTTTGTATATATAGTATCCTGAAAGACTGCTTCCAAAACAACCTGTCACTTGAAGATTTGTACCTATACCTTAATTTCTAAGTGAAAAAGTGAATAATATGTTATAACATTTCATTCATATGAGATGCACGAAAAATAAACGATGCTGATAAACAAATTGTAGATCTATGCATATCTTTGAAATAAACATGATAGAAAAAGTCATTTTATGGTTCCCATAGTAATTGCAGCTAATATAAATAATTTTTCATGGATAGTGCTTTAGGGTGTTGCAAAAGATTTTTCGATTTGATTTATATGTGAACCTGAAATGATCAGTTGTTCTTAGCATTATATTCCTGAATTTAATGGCTTATTTAGTTTAAGCAATCTCTTTCGGTTTTGAACAATTAGAAAACAATCATATTTCATGACAATGAAGTTACTTTTATTTCGTTCTTGTTTTAAAATCATATATATGCAGTTATAACTAGTGATGCATATTTAATCTGAGAATGTTATTTTATTAATACAATAAAATTAAGTAATTATGCGATTTGAAAATGAAAAATTCAACTTTCACTAGCCAATCTCCTTCATTGTTTTCATCAGAGCAAGACGAATGAGTGATTGTACAGCATTATTTTGTTCATTAGAAAACGACTCCGATGTCTTGATAGTTGATCCATTCTGAATTGTTTCAAGATAGACTCTATTGAATTCATTTAACATAATATCTCTCAACAACCAACGAGCACTTGTCCATTCATTATCTGGCATTTCTACCCAAACTGTTACACCGCTACTCGCTTGAGAATCTCCACCTAATGTTAATTGAAAAGCTGATAGTTCTAATTTGATTATCTCATCAAATAATTGATTATTATATATGTTTGGTAAATAGCCTGTTTCTGTAAAACTCATATCAAAGTCTAATGGCGCTAATAAGAAAGATGATGCCGGTGTAGATAATTTAATAACTAAATTGTTCGGATGAGCATTGCAATGCATACCTAATTCATCTTTATAGGTACCCCAACTTATTCGATGATAATGCATAAGACCAAGAATTGATCCACATTCAAAACCAAATCGTTTATAAAGTAAACATAAAAGATCAGACAATGGCTGTTTGGTTTGTAAATATTTATTTAAAATTAAAATATTAACTTTCCATAAATTTCTCCATTGATCTCCATCCATGTCCGCAGGTACTTCCTCAGACAAATAAGATGAACTGTGCAGCCAATTCGATTTGAGATAATCAACTGGTTGAAGTATATTGGTTAATAATGCGAACCATGTTGATAAAGGTATAAGTTTTTCATTATTTTCATCTGATTTTGTCAAACGTTCTGATGGAAATAGGGATATTAGATTGGACTGATTAACAGGGTGTGTTTTATCATGAGAAATAATCATACACAACAATTGTTCGATACCAAATAAAACATGATCTGATAGACGTTTATTACCCAATGTTTCCATAAGAATACAGCAACGTAGAGTATTTGGCCATTGATTTATATTTTTATCTTGTACTATTGGAATATCAGAAGTAATGATATTGTCGAAAGTTTCATTTTCTAATTTATATTCAAACCAACCAACCGAACTATTTGCACATTGAATTTTATGTGGAGCAAGTAATTGTGATATATAATATGTCATAAATAATTCACGATGAGTCGTATGAAGAAATGCACATCCTCGAATAGTTAATTTTGTGTCTGACTGCGAAATAGGTTTAATTGAAAAGCCATCTGTATTATCGCCACATCCTTTTAATCGATACCACTTTGTTGAATTACATTTTATTAAAGCTGATCGAACACCCGATATAATACCTTTTAAACGACTAGAAAGTTCTGTTTTAATTAATGGTCGACAGAAATCATCATTTATAGATTTTAGGTTATCGCCTAGGGTTGGTATTTCAATAAAATTTGTTGGCATACACGGAAGAATTAATTGTTTGGCTTCAATATCCATCGGTATTGACGTCGTTGAGTGTTGAATAAATTCATTGTTCAATGAATGAAATTGTAATTCATTGACAGAATCGAAATGACTTAAATGTATTGAACCAGAATGATACGCAAAATTTGTTAGCATGGAACCAAAATATAAAAATTCATCATCCGATATTGTATCCATGATATTGCATATATAGCTGATTATGTTTCTAATACTTGTATGATTATGTTATATACAATCTTTGTTTTTTCAAGACAAAAGTACCTATACACAAACGGCTAATAATCGATTTTGAAGAAAAAAACTCTCAATAATGTCAACAATGAATAAAAGAGAAATCGCTGTTTATTAATAGAAACCTGTCAAAAATTTCACAGTTGCATGAAATCTATGTAACAATAACATTACGTTTCTCCTGTTCTTTTCGTTCTTGCAGTAAATAAATGTAATATAATTGTGAAAAAAGTATGCGTCAGACAGTGTTACATCGGAGAAACAGTTTGTAAGCGAGTTTCTTTTCTATTATAAACCACAAAAATGAATAAGAAACTAAGATGAATTATAACACCACGGCAAACAACAACGCCGCAAGACATTGCAACGTATTATACGACGAGGGTGTTAACAAAATATTTGTATGCTATTGTGAATATAAATCTGAAAAAATAAGTTTATTTGAATAAAGATTTATAACCGAAATTCAAGTACGAATAGAATTTCGGCCGTTTTTAAAACTATAGTAGAATTTAATGTCATGAACTTTGTATGAATTCATTTTTCAACAAAAGAATTAAATTAGTCGTTTTTTCTTGCCTTCTAACGTTTCTGATGCCCTTGAGATAATAGATTTCTTTTTTTATCATAGAAGAAACACGATCTTCGAAGACAATGACTATATTTAGAAACACAACATCTCATTTTTCTTTGTAATCGTCTCTTATTTAATAATAGACGATCATAAATTATTAGTTGTCAGAGTTAATAGACATCAACCGTTTTTGCATGAGTTATTAATATTGAAACCAAGTTATCCAATCAAATCTGGCTTAAAAAAATAATCAAAACAATCGAATTATCTTCGTCCTAATAAAGTATTGTATTAAATGATCCGAGCGAATAGTTTCAACAGTAATGAACGAAAAAAAAGCAGAAAATTTTTCTCGCAGATATTTTCGTGCATATACATATATATTTGTTTTTTGTTAATTTTAACTCATCGATACAAAAAACTTTCTAGCAACAAAAGGAAGAAAATAAATACACACACACACACACACGCACACCAACATAAAGAAAGTGAGAATACTGAATGGTGACTTATTCTAACATGATGAGAAAGTTTCTGATCAACTATAATAATGGAACAAAATACAAATCGATGAAACAAAAACAGAAAAAAGAGAAACTGTTACGATTAACTAATCATCATATCACAAAGTATAGGTGTTCATGAAAAAGCGGCCAATGAAATCAACTTTATCTGACCTCGTTCTCGATTGTCCCTCCGATATACCCACTTCTCTGACTAGATCTGACCCAATTTGTGGAGTTTTCTATATTATTATTATTATTATTATTATTATTATTATTATTATTATTTAGACGATTGGTGCTGCTTGTGGGACAAGTTTAAACGAGGTAGTGCGTTGTTTGTGATAGATAATATAACTGATCATAGCAATAATTAATGACAGGAACAAACATGCTGCTATGATAGCAAACGGTATCCATGATAGGGCTAAATATTTGCTTGTTGGCGTTTTCTTCGAATCTGGATTAACACGTTTCATGTCTCGTGTTGAATACTGAGTATCCGATTCATCGGGATCAAACAAAAGTGAATTAGTTGTTGTTTCTAATGACATAACATCCGGAGTTTTTCTAATCGCTTCGTCTTCATCATAATTATTTACTTCAACAGGATTTATTGTTGAACTAGCTGGTTTTCTTTCGTCATCTATGAATGTATTGTCATCCGAAAAATATGGCGAATCATTATCATTTAAATCAATCGATGGTGGTTCATATTGATCTTGTATTGGTATTGATTGCGGTGGTGTTATAACCGATAGTCCATTTTCGTTTTTTTGTTGTTCTTCTTCCATATCTTCCTTTTGTTTACGAGTAAAATACTCGGATACAATTGAGCATGAAGAAAATAAGCAACGATCATTGTTTGTTGATTGACATTTAACTAATTGTGAACCATCATCAACCATATTATTAAGAAAAACTAATATACAATCACAATAAGGATTTTCATTTGGTAAATAAACTGTTAAACCCATCATACGTCGACGATTAATATAATCAGCTAATGAACAACTTGTATTTGCATGTAACGTTGAAAATTGTACATAGCGCACATCTAATTGTTTTAGAGACTTCAAAGAATTAAAAATTTCTGTATCTAAAATTTTTGTGTATGTTCCAAGAATTAATGTTTCGATATGTTTCACATGTTTTAATGCGCCATCAGCAATACGTTCAGCGTCGAATGAAACAGATTTTAACGTTTGAATATTTTCCATGCCATTTAAAATGTTCGATGTTATTGAAACATCAGGTTGAATTATATTTAAACCGGTCAATTGAGTATAATTTATAAAAGATAATGCATCTAATGTTCGCATTTTATGTGCTTCAATTGTATAAGATTGAACTGGAAATGGAGGAAATTCTTCACTGTTAACAGTATCAATCATTCGAGTAATTTTCAACGATTGAATATGACCTTTATAGTCTTTTAATAGGAATGGGTCATGTGCTAAGAGTGCACCTTCAATATTTAAATGTGTAATATTTGTATTGTTAAATATCGATTCAAATGGTGATGTTAATGAATCAGCAAAAATCGATAGTTCATCAATATGAATATTATCAAACGTATTTTGATCGAATACAATTGATTTGGCTTTCACAGGATGTAATTCAATTGTTAAACGCTTGTATGGAGATATTAAACCTTGAAATAATTGAGAAAAACAGGATGATTTTGCATGAAAGGATCGAAAATTTTGAAAACGTAATGTTATTGATAGAGCATTTCTTGCTATGTCAGGAAAAAGTTGATTTAAATTACTGAAATAATTTCTATCAAGTTCCATAACATCATCGGCATCAAATTTTATATCAATTGATGAAAATTTTTTCAAGTATGATGTTGATGAGGGACTGAATGTTAATGGCACAATTTTAGATATTGTACAACGAATCTCAATGGATTCATAACAACTACACGTCATATCATTGAATACGTCACATGATTTTGTTAACGATAACGATATAAGAAAGAAATAGAGATAAAAAGGTGCCATTAATGATCTAAAATGAAAAAAACGGAAAAATATTTTTTTTGTCCCTATTGACCTTCACTTGAGAGATCGACTTTTGTGCTTTAATAGAGTTCTTCAGGTTTGTGGTTTGCCACAGAACGCAACTTGCCTATAGGACGCAAAAGCAAACATCGAAGAGATAATTATTGTAAGGAGAAAAAGAAAAAGAAAAACAGAAAGATGTAATAGATTGATTGATTGTCCTTGATGTAATGTAAAAAAAAAGAACCCTGTTAGACGAACAATCAGTACAGTCATCAATGTTACAATCATTTCTTTTCATATACAGATGTTGTGTCATCATAAAAAGGGCTGATGATCACATAAAAACGATCTCCTTATTTTCTTTTTTTCTTCTTCTTCTTCTTCTTCTTCTTCTATTCTTTCTTTCGGTTCTTTTTCTTTTCTCATTTTTTTAAAAAGCTATCTCTATTTCATTCTATAGCTGTACTCTTTAATGCCTGCTTTTTAAATTATCAACAGTGTTATGTTTAGTCTAAACGCATATGTGCAATAGAGTGAATGCCATGTGGGTTCCTGTTCTCGCTCTCACAAAAGGGAATAGGTCAAGGTGAGAATAGCTCACTTTGAGATATCTAACAATATTCATGAACATATGTTGTTTTAGACTCATTGATTTCATATATCTATAATAATAAAAAATCTACTCGTGAACGTGTAGAAAAAAATAAAATAACCCCGCGCCTACTTTTCACTATTTAGTATTAATATATATATATATATATACTTAGTTGCTATACTATGTTATTCTCATTCTTTTTCTTTGTTGTCTCTATCCTTTCTTTCTGTTCTTAATCATATACTCCTACAGATATCGTTATAACCGAGTAAAATATCTGATTAATATGAATAATGATGATAAATCTCCAATCAAAGCAAGATATATATTCACAAACAATAATAATTTTTAATAAGCAACTTACTAAAAAAGAATCTACAAGCATGCAAAGAATTTCAAACAACTCACGCCGACTGTAATTATGCAGACTGATGTTTAATCATCTATGTGTGTCATTTTATAGGATTTTTTAAAACTTTCATGATTTCCATTTCATGCGTACGACGATTACAATAAAGAATACTAATGATGATGCAACATTTAATTCTGTACAGCTGTTCTTAACTTGATTCAGTTCTCTCAATTACTTACATGTGTGAATATTTTGAAAAAAAAAAAAGAAAAATGATTTATTCATTGTGTGACGGCATGTATTAGTATATAGACAAACGAAGTATGATGAAGCAAAAAAAGAAATGCAGAAAGAACATGCGAACACTTGAATAATTCTAGCAAATAAAGGGGGAAATTGACAATTATTTTTTAGGAACGTGTCATTTTGATCTACAACTCTCACATCGTCTATGTATAAAGATGCTGAGAAATTAATAGAAAATGTGATCAAAATGAGATGATCTTCAGGGAGAAGAATTTCTTGAATTTCCAGATGTAAATGTCAAGGCGGATCCAGCCGTTTCTTGTCAATCACAGTGCGTTCGACCTTCATCATTCATGCATTTTACCTGACTAGTGACGGATGATAAGGTTGTTTGCGTCCCTTCTGACTCAGTGTGAAAATGGTCAAAATGAATAATTGTAATAATAGCAAATCTTGCGATAACTAAGTACTTACGTATTTGTAAATATATACAACACCCCCGTGCATATATATGTATATGTATCTTCCTTCCACTCAAACCATCGTTCTCGCCCACTAACCCCTTATTTTTCCAATGGCTCTTGGCTAAGTTATAGTACAAAAATAGGACAGACAACAAGTCCTTGCATCTTCTGTCTGCTCCAGAGCAACAATTGTGTACGCTGGCAGAAAGAAAAAAGAAAAGGAGAGAAGCGAAGGTCGCTGAAGAACGAGAGCTTTATCGTTCGATATGTCAATGTACGTGTATGTCTGAACTGCCACAAAGTTTCTATGCCAAAGGCAATGCTGTAAATGATGGCCTTCGTCTTTCTCCGTTTTGTAGCATCGGGACAGAAATGAAACGCTCACTCAACATGCAACAATGATGACATAGCGATGCCGCGACGACTGTTGCTAGAAAAAGGACGAAAGGAAAAAAAATGTGAGTAATGAGTATACTACTATCAAGGTCCCCTTTATTCGAGCGGATGTCTATCAGGAAACCAATACTTCAGGGTTTTATCTACTTTATCATTATCGTGATGATGATCATCATCATCATCACCAATACTATTATTTCGTTTCGCCTATGTCCTGTCTTGATACTAATAGATTGAGACAGGAGACAAAGAAACTCACATTTTCCTCATTTTTTCTCGCTCTGTTATCGTAATCAATCATTCGAGTTATATTAGAACGTAAAAAGAAGAAAAAAAGATAGAACACAAGTATATTCACATACATTTATGTGTATATGTATATATACAATCGAATCCTTGTTACTATCACTTACGATGAAAGGTTGTCTTCATTTAAAGTAAATCAATTGTATGCTAAATGAACGAATCGATTGTCAAAATGACAATGTAAATAGAACACATGTTCGAGCAATCAAAAACAATTAGAGTGAAGAGTATGAGTAAAGACATGGAGGTATTTATGATGAATAGTGGTGTGGCAGACTAGTAAGAAAAGAAATACATCGATAGAACACTTGATACTACCATTATGTACAGACCATTTATGACAGGCTTATCTTTCAATACATCAAAAAAAGCCATGTATAGAAAAATATACAAAAAAATGAAGAGTATGCATGTCGATTCTATTTACCGAAAAAAAGATCCATGTACACAGATCAAATTATTCACAAATATTACTCAGTGTGGTTTCTCGAAAGAAAATAATCATGTATGGTATTTAATATTGCATTTCGACAAGTCGCTTTTTTCTTCTTCTTGACATTGATAACACAAAGAAAACGAGAAAAGAAAAACAACTTGTTTTCTTATATAAGTTAATCCCTCCCGAAGAAAAAAAAACTTCCCTATATCGTGTTCGAGTTCATAAATCATCAAGGACAATGTAGCATAACATGAAAATAAATAAAATATGTTTTAACATCAAAACAATATGTCAACCGAACGATGAATACAACAATGAAAAAAAATAAAAAATAACCGCAAAACCACACCCATTATTTCTATTGCTATTACTATTATGATATTACTACTTCTATCATTCTTCATTCCATAATACTCACATATATATATGTGTGCGTGTGCGGTGTGAGAGCATGCTGACTCTCTAGTGAAATGCTTACACTTAAAATTCATATGCATATAATAATTCTATCGATGAACAATCATTTCAAAAGTATGATGTAAACAAGGCAAAAGAAGAAAATATTCAATAGATTTTTCATTACTTCAGACATTCTACTGACGACTCGTAATGCTTAATATACATATATGTCAACAAGCACTATTGAACATCAATAGATACTTGAATAATCACGGTTCACTTATCAAATTTTCCACATATCGATTCTTTTTCTCTTTCTTACACTTATAAACATCTATCTATCCTAATAACGTAATCTACCTAATTGGTTCTTTTCTTTTTTATGCTTCCGTATGGTTCATATTCACGTATCCATGTATAAAGCAAAGCGATTTACTGGTATAAATGAGTAAAAAGAATAGATAATGCGCGTTGATAGATAGTCAACAATGAACAAACGAGAACATGTCTCGAGGATTATACTATCACATACTACGAGTTTGTTACTTGACTAACGAATGAAAGATGATGACTGCACTCTCATCAAAATGTAATTAGTTCGACCTGTCTATTTATCTATTGAATATTAGAAAGTTATAATGGAAGATCAAACGTCAAATAATATCTAAATAATATTTATGAATCAGAACAGAAACAAGAATTATTTTTATCTTACATAAATTGTCGACTATCGTAACGAGATTCACATAAATGAATAAGTGCCAATGTTGTACCACAAAGTCTATAGATGACATTAACACATATACGTATATTTAAGAAGCAGGATTTTCACTGAGAAAAGAATTGATATAAACAAATATTCATGTCGTTCTGTTTTTTCAACTGAGCATTTTGACCTTCTCATTGAGTTCGACGTACTATGCAATGTAAACAAAACATGCCGTTCAATCATCTATAGATCTAATTAGAGACATTTTTCAACCTCCTACACTCATGCCTCATTTGATCAATCTTATGTATAGTTCAGGTTCAAATCTCATCATGATATTTGTCAATAGTAACCATTCCTATTTTCTAGTATTTTTCTGAAGTATGATAAACACATCATTTGAGATATAGTTATCATACTATACGTATATATATATATATATATGTGTGTGTGTGTATGTTAGATCATTTATCTTAGATAGTGTGAGGATCGATGACAGAAATGTTTGCATCATAAAACATACTTTTTGAACAATTTTTGTATAAATTTCTGTCTCTACTGTGCTCATATACATGACATAGGACACCAAAGTAAAGAGAGACAGAAAGAAAAAAAACTAATGACATACACACGTTTTCATTCAATCGATCGATTTAGTTGAGAAATGTGATGATAAAGACTAAGGTAACAATTATTCATGTGAATATAGACAGCATATGATCAGAGACATCTGATATGATCGAACGGCTCGATGAATCAGTTGAAAGTGATATGAGAAACGACTAGCAACAAATAGAAAAATAAAGAAGATATTTATAGTAGTTTTATTTAAGTGAATGTTTACTCAGTTGGCGACAATTTTTTTTTCTGCGTGGGTTTTAGAGTCAATCATAATTGTTGATTCATTATTTCACCATTACGCAGAAAAAAAATAATTTGTCCTTGAGCTACAATCATTCGAACCAATAATATTTGCTAATATATTGATTGATTATCGCGTAAATAAAAATGTTATCAATCATAGAAGAAGAAAAATGATTGTGAGTTTATATTTTCTTTTTCTAGAGAAAATATTAGCTCAATAGTTTGCGTTATTTATTAAATAAATAAAGTGTTCTCTTTCTTTATTTTTTGTGTTGTAAAAACATCTTCACATATTAAGTAGATTAATTTCTTTCATCGATGGACACTGCATCACTATAAAGTCACTATTCGAGAACAGACAATTAAACAAAGCATTAACACATTGTTTACCTGAAAATGTCTTTCATGACGAAACCTTTTTTTCATGCAGTTGTATTCGGTGACTGCTGAAGCTGAGGGAGAGAATTGCAATCATTAAATAATCGACATACTTGAAACTCGATTTTCATAGGAATACCTTAGCATCGTATAAATAACTAGATGTTATTCAAGTTTTACTCGAATACGAGATGCGATGCAAAACAGGAATCTCGCTTCATGCTTCGCATCGCATTAAAAACATGCATCTATTTGATCTCCTGTAAGAAAAGAAAGATTTTCATGGAAAGAAACCAAGTGATCTGAAATGAATCATTGCTGTGGAAAAAAAACGTTTCACTCGACAATCGGAATAGATTTCATTACAATACAGCTCAAATGCTCACTATTAAAAAGCGCTCATTTTCTCCGATTTATATTCGATAAAAGATTACATTTTGGTATTCATTGTATTATTAATAAAACAATAGATTATTTTTTTATTGATGCAACAAACAAAAAGGAATGAGACTGATTCCATGAGGAATCAAATGAAAGAAAAACTGCTTCTATTCAACATTCGCTTGCATGATATTGTAAAGAAACAAGCATTTTGCTTTTAAGAATAAAAACAAGTGAACCGTAAATAATATGCTCGTCAATAATCATAAATGCAAATTTTTATTGATTATTAAAAATATAAAATATGTATATATATACATATTATCGATGGATTATATAATTTCGATTGTCGTGCTTTTTTATTATTCACAATTCCAGATTAGAATTGATAAATAAATCCCTGGAGACTGATATTTGTTTTCCCATTTGTCTATAGAAAACGTCTGTTGACCTTGAATGATTATTATAATACGTTATTTTCTTTTTGTCCATTGTAGTGTTTAGGTTTTGATAATTAGGATGGGGTATATTGACAAAACGAAGAAGAATGCCGCCAGAATCATCAGTAGAACATAAAATAAATATTTGTTTTAATAAAATTGAATAGATAAATGTATTGATTTTGAATGTTTTATTCAATCTTAACACAATGAAAGACAAGGTTTGTCACTATATTGATTGTCTAAGTATATTCATGGACAATGGTACTTATGTAAATTAATTCTATATGTATGTAAAGACCAATTTTGCCATATGACTTTTATATTCTTTAGATTTGAGATCAGCATTATAATGCCAATAAAAGTCAAATCATTCGATAAATAATCTAGAATGATAATATCCTGAAAAGAATTATTCATAAATAAATAAACATGATACGAAATTCGACTCGTAGATAATAAGACAAAAAATGGTTTAATTGTATAAGTTATTAATCTATATGTTATTAATACAATGTTAGATACTGAGATATCTGGATTGTATATTCTATCAGTGTCATGCATTATTTTGCTGCAGTTATTTAGTTTCTCCAGACGGCAATCATTATGCCAAAAGCGGATATGGAAATTTTATTATTATTATTAAGCTATCAAGTACGAGATCAATGAATGTGTTTGTATGTTTTTTTTCCTTTATGATTTCTCACATCTGCATAAATATGTAATGCGTCATTTTTTATTTAAGCATAGAAACGAACGCTAATCTTTTTGAATTCTTCGAGATAATCATTTCTATGGCAATTTATTCGATTGTAATTTTGATCTATCATTTATGTGAAACTTTTATTACGTAAATAAAAATACTTGTTCTTATTTGACACTATCTGTTAGTTGCTTTCTTCTTTTTTTTCTCTCTCTCTCTCTCTCTCTCTCCCTCTCGCGCGCGCGTTCTGTCATCAGAGATATTCGAATAGCCCACCCAACATATAATATTGTCGCACTTATCAGTTTGCAGTTGTCGCCATTGCAACGTCTTGTGATTAACACATTATATACATGTATTCGTTTATATAGAGTACAGGTACATAATAATAACAGTACTCGTGCTAGGTTATACTGTCATTAGCTTTAAACCTTTTCTTTTTACTTGTTTAACGATAACGATAATTACTTTTCTATGATGCTGCCTCTCATAAAACGAAGGGCAAAATTTTGTTACCACTCTAGAGACTTTTTATATCAATATAACGATAATTTACTCTTCAAGATCATCACACATATTATATAAATATACTCGTTGTCAAAGCAGAGTCAGAATAAGTAATGTGATCTTTGAACCTGTATCGATTCAATAAATGTATGGTACTAACATGGATAATATAAATATTTCATCTCAACTCATCGATACAATGATTACTTTGGATATGGTTACAAAATCTCATCAGCAACCACCTAAATTCGATTGGTCAGTTGATTTAATGGATTCAATTTGGTACCATATTAGTAGTTATTTAACAATAAACGATATCCATCGTTTAACTCGTACGTGTTCTAGTTTATATACAATTTTTGCTAGTCATGATTTTTGGTCCTATCTTATTCGTAGACAATTCGGCCATGCAATATGGCAGCGTTCGATAAAAAATTCTCTATTATTACCTAACGATCAGAAAATCGTAGGTTTACCGAGAAGAAATCCATGCCATTCGAAATTAATCTATTTTGAACTATTGAAACGTAAACGTATATCATTTGCGGATTTTAATCATTTTACTTTTGATACGAATCGAAATTATACAACAATTGTTGAGCCTTCTAGTCTAAATGGTTATGTACTTTATATAAAAGATTCGATTGAAACTTGCTATTCACTTCATATTGAAACAATGTTTGAAAATATCCTACCGGGCAATTATGATGTTATTTGGCGTATGAAACTCAATACTCCATATATGTTTGGTGAAACAGAATTTTTCGCTAGTGCTGAACAAGTCAATCCTGGCAAAACAGCATACATGCGATGGACACAAGATGATTTTCTATCGATGTATAGCTGTTTTTATTGTGATATAGCAAAAACAAATCTTTGGTTCTATCAAACAATTGGTACTGTAGAAATCAATGGAAATAAACCATGTAATGTATTTATATCAATGACTAATCATGATTCGATACATGCAAAACATGGAGTTTATTTAGATTATGTAGAATTAAAACTTCGCTTGGAATAGAATAGAATGAAAAATCTATTTCATTTTCGTTTTTACAGTATTTATTCTTTCTATTGATATATGGAAAGTATTTTGATTCTGTTTTGTTTTTGTTTTTTCTGTATCCAAATATAGTCGCGTGTTCACATGTGACCTTGTCTTCTTATTTGTTTATTTTTTTGTTATTGAGTGGATAACAAAAAACGAAGACAAGATCAACTTCATTGGAGCATGAAGTGATAATATTAAGTATACTGGAAAATTATTAAGAATTTTGTTTGAAATACAGAAAAAACAAAAACTAATTAATAATTCAATAAGAATAAAAGCATGAATTTATTTACACAATCGTTACAGTAATTCTATTGTGTATAAAATATAGATATGATTTGTTTATTTAATCGTAATAATAGAATTTGTCTTCAAGAACAAATGCATGTCTTTACAAGAAGAGTATCATATGGTCGAATTCACATAACAAAGTTTACATTGTGAGATAATCATATTTCAAGCTACTGATTACGTGTATCACAATAAATCGACTATACATATTCATATATTTAGTTTCCGGAATTATCGCTTAGGAATTCTCTATTATTTTAGCAGCTAATTACAGAGTCTGGAAACACTTACATATAATAAAAAATAAAGCCCTAAGAGTGCCACTTAGATTTTATTCATCTGCCTACAAATGCATTTACAAGGTCGATAATAGTCTTAGAATAAAAATAGATGTCAGATTGTAAGATTAATAATAGCCTATGTTTACTATTTCACCGTACAGGGTTGTAATGGAATGACGTATTTTACCTTCGCTATAGACATTTTTTTTCTTGATTATACTGTCATTTTCATGTACAAATATAATAATTGAACAGAAAGCCTAAAAACTATTATGCCGTAGAATTTTCTATCATCAACTACGTAGACATATGTATTCAGAAGAGTCTTTAAAACAGCACATGATAATTGTTTCAGTTGTCCATATAGCCGATTTTGTGAAATAATGGACATTGCAATTAGACATGGGCGATTCGGAATCGGAATCGGCGATTCCGATACGATTCCAAAACGCATTAAAGCCGATTCCAGTATGATTCCGATTCCAAAAAAAGCTGACTTTGCCCATGTCTAGTCAGAAAAAGAAATTATATCTTGTTTATATTGCAGTGTTGTTTCATTCACTTTCGTGCGAAACAAATAATATACTATAATAAATTCAAAAATAACGTCAATAAAAAGTACTTTAATACATATATACAGAAAGAAAAAATAATCTCTGTGGATCTCTAAAATGACGATTCCAAATCGGAATCGGAAGCGGAAGCGGCGATTCCGATTCCGATTCTTAAAAAATTAAACGGCGATTCCGATACGATTCTAAAATATATTAAAGCCGATTCCAGTACGATTCCGATTCCAAAAAGAAGCTGACTTTGCCCATGTCTAATTGCAATACATTATTTTACAATAGAAATGCAATGTATATGTATCCAATTACATGATAATACAATCTATTTAATGCATTATAATACATGAAATAGGTTGCATTATCATGTAATTGTATACATTATTATTTATAATGCATTGAAAACTTTTTATTCGGCACTTGCTACATAAGATCTGTTAAATCCTATTAAATCGATATCCCAATTACCATAATTGTATCTCTGTGATTTTGTACATCGATCCCGTTAAATTAACCCATTAAACTTAATCTATTAACTTATCTATATCCATCTCCTTAACCTTAATCTATCTAACTTAACTTCCATAGTCAACTCTTCCTAGAAGAATCCACAGGGAGTCCCCTGGCAAATCCCCGGGGAGTTATCTGGTCAAAATCGATGAAATAACTAATTACTAATAAATTCTTCTTAATTTTTTAAAAATTAAAAAAATTAAAAAGTGTTTTTTATTTTAAAAAATTTCATCAATTCTCCCCAGAGAAATCCCCGGGGACTCACGACAGGAACTCCCCAGAGATTTCGTTATTTTACGGGGACTCCCCGGGGAATCATTGGGGGAGAGTCGATTAGGGTTAACCCTTAACTTCCATCAACCCTCTTATGTACTATCTATCTCATAACGTATCATTTCGATCATAATCGATAAAAATCTAAAACAAAAGACAATGAATAAATAATTTTATTATTATTAAATTCAAACTTATCACTTGGATCATGTCGAATTGTAGTTGAAAGCGAAATCAGTTGAAAAACGTATATATGACATAAGGCTATTTCAATAGTATTAAAATAGGTTCAGATTTGGAAAACAAAATGATTCATGATCTAATCTGTTATACTTGATACTGCAAACAGTTTTAGTTCACTAGATACATCCGAAACTCAGCAATGACAAAGAGTGAAAACTTCTTTTGAGAGGTTTAAGGACTGTGATCTCTTTCATTCTACAGAATATTCTAAAATCATTCAAAACTCTAGTAGTTTTTGGTTGTATCAAATAGAAACTCGAGGTCGGATTTCGAGTTGTTAGTGCACATTTCATCGATTGAGTAAACTAGGAAATTCTTCGGCTTGCCTGGAGAAACATTTTGGAAACTGAAAGGATAATCCGATATATTTCATCAGATGTTGAGTCAAGTTTCAATAGTGTAGGTTTCCATTATCTGGGGAAAAGGATTCGAAAAATACTCTTAGCGCTGTAACTCAGGTTACATTTTTTTATTGGATCTTTAACTTCCGCGACTCTTATTGAAAAGCGCTTGATATACAGAAAACTGTGACAAATCAAGCATCTACCTGTCAAATCACTTTTTCAATATATCTTGTAATTACAAAAATAATGAATTTTCTAATTTAAAAACATTACTCTAAATAATACTTTGAAATGCATTGCATTATTCTCAATTTCTACAATATGCCTGATAGCACATTGAAATGTCAAAAAATAATTAATTATAATGCATTAATTCGTTTTTTTTTGAAATAATGGAAAATAATGGGCCATTTTTCCATTATTGGCTACATGGATGGATTCAGAATACAGGTTAGTTTGTTCCCGGTGAGCTATTTTGAATAGGTTTTTAAATGCAAAAAAATAGATAAATATTTCACTTCAAGATCTTTTATTTTTTGGTACGATCGATTTTTTTACTTAAACAAAATAACTGTTTTGTAATTTCAATTAGAAAAAACAGGCGACTTCAGTTGAATTTTTTTTGTAAATCATGTTGAAGAACACATTAATTAATAATGAAGAAAGCAATAGACGACATAAATCTTTCCGCTGATTTTTTTTTGTATATGTACAAAACATAGATGAAAAACAAAAAAAGGAAAACGAAATAAATCAGTGACATCAAAACATCTGTTGTTGTTGTTGTTGCTGCTGTTGGTATTGTTGAAAATAAGCAAAGAAATTCGCTGGTGGCATCATCATTTGAGGTGGCGGTGGCATTGTACCCAATGCTGGTGGTGGTTGACTAAAACCACTTGCAACCATACCAGTCAGTGGAGCTGGTGGAAGACCACTAGCAGCAGCGGCTATTGCCGCGGCTGTTGGAGGTGGCATACTAAATCCAGATGTTGGCATTGGTGGTGGTGGTTGACTAAAACCTGATGAAACCATTGGTGTTGTTGCTGACATTGGTGTTGAACTCATTGACATTGCAGTTGTTGATGATGGTTGTGGTGGTGGTGGAACTCGAATACTTGATGATGATGACCGCATGGGCGACGGTGCTACAGCATTATCATTAAAATGTATTTTAAACCAATTGAGTGTTTCGGTTAATGTTGAAAACATTTTTGAACGAAATCGAATACCATTTGGAATTACAGTAAAATATTCATGTACTGGCTTACGTACGGGCATATATGATAAGAGAAATTTCGTTGGATATTCACGTGATATTGTTATATAATAACGTATACGTGTTGGATTACGTCGTTTATCTTCAATTAAGAGATTATTAAGAATTCTTTGTGCTTCGGCTGATGCCAGTGGTGGTCCTGTTGTTGATGATGGTATTGCCGTCGCTGGTGTTTGTGCTGGTGTAGCTGAACCTGTTGGTGTAGCTGATGGTAATGGTTGAGATAGATTACGATAATATTTATGTGTAACTATATCCGATACCGTGTTTGCCATTGGTTTAATATAACGTGCAAGAATTTCATCAAGATCTTCGAATTCTTCAGTTTCTTGTGTGCGTGGATCAATAATGAGTAAACGTTTACCAAGTGAAAATTGATTTGTTTTTGATTTTTCAATAACATCAATATTATGTAAAACCCCATCGACTAATTTCCATGTTATAGTTAAATGATCGGTTGCTTTCGAACTTGGTCGCACAATAGCATCACCTAGATCTTTTGTTAAAAGAAGTCGTTCGCATTCGGTATAATTTATATTCATAAATGATGGATGCGCAATAACACGTTTAATAAAACTACGTTCTTTAGCAGCTTGTTTTAATTGTTTTTCTTTTTCAGCATCATTTAAATCGTCAGTTTCAAGTGTACGATCATAATAAGTATCTTTTGGTGGTCGCCATCGTTCATTATCATCACGTAAATCACTTGATTTCGATGTTAAATCAACACTAAATCGTTCAATATTTATATTAACTATACGTGCATATATAACTTGATGTAATTTAACACGATCTAATGGATTTGATACTGGTGAATCTGATAGATCACGAAGTTTTATAAAGCCTGAACAGCCATTATCTAACCGAACACGTACACCGACTGAAAAACAAAATAAATAAATTCAAATGAATTTAATCAGCCATATACTACTTACCCGGTGTGCCTTTGCAACGATTTGAATCAAAATGATTCCATGCCTAAAAACAAAATCATCGAAACTGTTGATATTTAAATCTAAAAAACAAAATTCTTACTTCTTTAACATGATGAAATCGTTCTGTATGACACAATGGACATTTTAATATTCCTGTTGCTTCATCTTTTTCTGGTTGTGCAGCCTCGAGTTGTGATGAAGTTGGTGGTTTTCTTGCAAAATCAAACACTTGACATTGTATTAATTTACCCAAATGAAACGTAGCTGGTGTTTCTTTCGTAATAAAATGGAACAAATCTTCTGGAGTTGGTGGCTCATAACGTATACGAACATCTTTATAGCGATGTGTTAATTCAGCACGTATATCATATAATGTTATCGATTGATCACCGTACATGGTATTTTTTAATTCAACAGCAAATGCATCTAAATCTAAATCTTTCAATCGTTCAGAATTTTGAAAAATTTGTTCTAAAGCTGCACTTGGTTCCATTTCTGATGATTCTTCAATATCTAATGCATCGACAGCCATTTTACGCGCCCAATCATATGCTTCCGGATGTATACGTGTACTATCTAGTATTTCGATATATGAATCACTTTGTTTCATAGCATCAGTATTAATCTTAATGAATCCAGCACTATTGGAAAAAACACATTTACCCATATTATAAGTCACAACGAGAAATGTTCGATTCTCTAATTGTAAATTATTTTGTTTAAAATATTTTACTAGATGCGTTGCTTTACGTGGACCAAGGCCACAAACAAATTGTAAAACATTTGATGTATGTGCATATGCTATACAACGATTTAAATCGACACCAACTTCATTTGTACGAGAAATAAAACATTGTTCTAAAATAGGTATTAATTGTTCACGATCAATAGCATCTTGTAATGGATGATATTTAATTAAGAGAATTTCTTTATCATAATTAAATAATTGAGAAAATTCTAGCAATGGATCTTGTAGACGACGCCCTTGAGATACAGCTTGCCGTAGTTTAACTGGATAATCACGAAAATCTGCTTCACCTTTACGCGATTGTGAATAGATTTTAGCTAATTCAGTGTCAACTAAGAGAATCTTGACTGGTTCAGGTAAATTTTGAAATTGTTCTTCATCTCGTTGTAAATCACTAATCATATTTTCAAAACGTGTACGTAAATATAATGCATCACGACTTTCAACACCTAGACAATGAATATCAGAAGTTGGATTTTTATTTATAAGAAAACCAAAAATAATTTAACAGAAGTGTTAATCTATGCTTTGTACATTATGGACTAAATAAGTCAGTCTCATAGAAAACACTCCTAATCGTATATTAGTTAAGCTCATGAGGGGTTAAACGTTTTTCCCTTTCTAGATCCTGATTATCTTACCTATACAAATAACATCCGGTACACGTTGTGAAATAAACGTTCTGATAGCTTCGAAGTCTTTGTCTTTTTTAATTCTATTATCTGCTGAATAATTTTCTCTTAACATTAAATTTGGTAAACGAATAAAATCCATCACTTGTCCTTCTGAACTTAATATAACAGCATAGGATGCATCATCAGGATCAGTTGAATATGTTATAGATAGAACTCGTACACCGACATCAGATATACTTGTAACATTTTCATCATTTGATAAACGATATGGAGCCATTTTAAGCCAATCATTCAAACAATTCGAACATTGTTTGATAACATATTGTCTTGCTTCGTCAAGTAAAGTTTCTTCTAATTCACGTTGAAATTTTGGATAAAGAAATTTACTAAGCATTAAATCGATACACATAGCACGAATTTTATTCCATTCCAGAACATTATCAGAATATTCATCACGTGTATAGGAACGTTTGATTTCATCAGCATAAGTTAATTGACTATTTTTACGATCAATAACATATTCAATTTTCATTAAACCATCTTTAACACTTTGATATAAATAAAGAAACTGATCTTTTGTAAATGTATGAACAGGCTTTTCAGCAAGATATTTCATTGTATAACATGGATGATCTTCTGTTATAGATTGAAGGCCATTACGTGTCGGTCGAGCATTTATCATACAACGTGATATATACTCACGGCGAATAACATGACGTACTAATGGATCAAGACCTAATTGACGTGCATGCATAAATATTGCAGCCTAGAAATGAATATTATTTTTACTATGTCAAATACAAAAAATAAATATCTTCAAAATTAGTGCAGTTTCTATCGTGTGAATTTAACGCTATCGAAAATTGATATCGATGTTTTTTGTAGAAATTCCTAATAATTAGAACTGAAATTGAAATGTGTAATTACTTGTAGAACAGTTTGTGTAGTTGAAAATTGTTTACAAATGAATTCTTCACAAGTAGCTGTTGGTCCAATAGGATATTGATCGATCTCGTTCTTTTGATAATTTTCGTAAAGATTTTCACCTAATTTATCTGGTTTTAAACCAAATTTTTTAACTAAACCTTCTAAACGTGCTTGTTTACAAACATTATAATAATCAGTTTTTGCTAATGGTGTTGCTTTAATGTTCAATTGTGTACGTATTTGATCGACTAAAGCGTCTTCATCAAGTTCTTCTTCGTCGTCGATAGTTGGTTGTGGTTGTTCATCATTTTCATTTTGTTCCATATTTGATATTAATTTTTTACGTTTTTCACGTTCTTCACGATATTCGAGAACTTTTTCACGTAAACGCATATTTGGTATATCTTCATTATAATAAACATGAAATTGTTCACGTAAATCGGCTATTTCGTCCAGAGTTTTAGCACGTGTCAAACGTTCTTTATCAATATCGCAATCGGTTAATAATCGTGTTGCAAGGGCATCTTCGTTCGTATCACCCAATTGTTCGTACTGATAATTACGATATTTGTCCATGCGCTCGAACATCGATATCAATTTATCTTTATGAGATTTAAAGATCATCCACTGAAAAAAAAGAACAAACATCAATCTAGATACTAAATCAATCGATAGAATGCGAACAAAAGTATTGAGGAAAATTTATACTATCGTTCAACAGCTACTAGCAATTAAAATATGAAAAAAAAATGAGAACTCTCTTCATTACAGTAAAGCTAGTGTTTCATAAAAATCTAAACGTACCTTTTCATCCCATTGCCAAATTTTCCATAGATCAAGTATTTTTAGATCAGGCTCAATGTGTTCTTTACGATAGAATGCAATAAATGGTACCTAAATTAAAAGTAGCTATTTAATAATTACGATGAAAAAATTCTTACTTCAAATGAATCATTTCTAATGTAATTAAGAGCATTTTTTATTTTCTTTTTTACTTGAATATTCTTTGCTGTGTCTTCTTCGGACATCTTTAAAATAGAAGAAAATTGAAAATGGTTTTGGCTTCCATCTCAATAGTTACTTGATGTGAAATTGTTGGTTTAAGAAATGCTCCATTATAGATCCATTCGGCTTCTTCTTCAAGTTCATCTTCTTTTGCTTCAGTAACTGGAATATGTCTTAACTAAAAAAAAATAATAACATCCAATCCGTCTCCATAAGAATGTTGTCTTGCTAATCTTACTTGAAATCGTTCGGGCTTATCAATTTTTCTTATATTTATATCTGCTTCTGTTAAATAACCACGTTGTAGTTCTTCAGGTTCAAATAGTTCTTCAGCTTTTTGTTTTCGACGTTGAGCACGATTTTTTCGTCGTCGTTTTGATGTTACTATTTCCTAAAAATTTAAAATCATTATTTTTATTCATTAACAATTTTCTTCTTACATTTTCAACGAGATTTCCATCTTCGTCATATTGATGTTCGACATCTTCGTCTTCTAGTTCTTCGTCGTCGTCTTCTTCTTCTTGGTCGTCATCTTCCATATCATCATTTAATTCATCATAATTAATATCATCAAAATTAAAATCGTCACCAAATATAGCTTGTGCTTCAGCAATATTCCTATTTAGAGAAACAATATTCAATGTCTCTATTTCAAGTTATTCGGTTTTCTTACGGTGCATTTTCACTTTTCCGATGAGCTGTTTTAGGTAGTGGTCGATTGTCATCATCAACAATAAAATCGTCTAAAGACAACAGCATTTCATTCAGGGAATCAAATAAAAAAAAACCATATTAATGTTATTATTTTGCTTTATCTATTTCGAGACACAATTCTATAAAATAAGGACTTCGTGAACTCTTTAGAAAAACGAAATGCCAATAATAGTATATGGGAATTACTCGTAAAGAAAAGAAAAAAATGAAACTTTTATTTACCATCATCTTCATAATCTTCATTCCCGCCTGCTTCCTCATCATGATGCGTCACACTTTGATCCTAAACGAAAGTATTAGATTATGATTTTTTACTTAATAGATATTTTTCCTATTACATCATTGTCGCCTCGGCGTGGATGACTAGATGATGTTGGTCCATGGTGAGATGTATCATGCTGTTCCTCTTCGTCACTATCTTCACCTTCGATTTGAACGCGTACGGGCTATTGGAGTAGAATAGAAAACAATTAGTTCGAATTAAGAGGGTGGAAGGAAAATTTACTCGTCGTGGTTTATTTGTATTTTCGGCAATTAATCTTAAACCAAGAGAAAATGAAAATGACGAAAAGAAAATTTTTTGTTTGATTTACTGTAAATCTTCATCGTCAATGTCATCATCTTCGTCGTCTGATTCACCGGTACCTGATTGATCATTAGCAGCTTCATCTTCTTCCTGGGAAAAACATGCATATAGATTATTCCCACACAAAATAAAAATGCTCTTTGTATCTTACTTCTTCTTCAGCATCAGCGATGAAATTTTTTAATTCTTTAGCAGCTTCTTCGTCGAGTTCATCAACTTCGTCTTCATCCTCATCATCATCACTCACTAATAGAAGAAAAAAAAAGTTGAAAATAATTGACGCCGAAATTTTTTTTACTCGGTCGATTCGATTTAAGTTTTTTCATAGCAGCTGCGCGTTGTTTTTTTTCGGTATCACTTTCTTCTGCTGAATCTTCTTCAGCTTCTTCGGCAACAAATACATTTCGTGGGCGTTTTTTCGACATTTTTATATTAAATTGTAATTATGATTAAGATGGCAGTCTACAATAACAATGAAAGCGTTTTCTACAGGTAATTATAAAATGCTACTTACACGAACTATAATATAAATGAATCTGAAATAAAAAGTGAAATAACAAGCCTCTATATAGAATACTAATTGAGCGCTGGATATTCAAGACAAAAAATTCATGATTAAGAAATTTTGCTATGTGATGGTTATTTATTTTTTAGACAAGCTACTATATACAAATGCTCTGTTTCCGATTGGCTGATTATTTATGAAATAGATGTGAATAGAGGTCGTTGCAATACGATGGGTCATATGCGATATGACCAATCGAATGGAAAATTCCCAGTGACTGTAATTAGGCAAGAACGAATTTCAAATTGAAACTGACTATATTGGTTGGTCACAGGTGAATAGGCAAAGTGGAATGGAAGTCTCTATTATTCTGTCCGTATTTGCTTTTAAAGGGTTGAATCCCTTTAAACAAACTGTTTTCTTTATATATGTATTCCTTTGTATCTATGTAAAAAATTGCGTTAAAATCTGATTTTAATCGATTACCTACAAACTTTAATCATCGAGTAAAATAGATTAAAATTAAATTAAAAGTAATTTGCCTTTTCAAGTTGAAAAATCAGATTATAATAATGCTATTATAATCGATATCCCTAGTGAATGTACGCATAAAGCGAATACTCAAAAAGTACTCACGCTAGAAAAGGTCGCGAGTTCTCATGAGCACTCATTAGTAGTACTTGTGCTTGGATCTGCGTATCTGAGTACGACTGTTGAGTACTCACCTTATAAAATCGAGCGTTTCGTGAGTACTCATCATACATTCTGTGAGTATTCTGATGTTTTTTGTAAAATCCTGAGACACACATTTTGTTCAGTATGCTTTTACTACCCAGGAGAGTCATTCCGAGACTAGGATCCTATCGGATTCCGATAAGAATCAGACCGTGAATATACCAAATATCCATGGATTCCAATAAAACCGACGAAATCCTATAGGATTCCGGGATCAGAACCTACAGTCGGATCCTTGGTGTAGGAATTCCATAGGATCCAGTGTTGGAAATTAACGGAATCCGACATCAATGTATGACCCTAGTGTTCTTATGAGAAAATATGCATATTCACCCCTTATTAAGAAAATCTTTTTTTTCCGTCGGCACCAACAGTCAATCCGTAACCTGGAATCCCATCGGATTCTGTTGGGTGATAGGATCCGTCATAGGATTCATTCACCTGGGTAGGTTCAATTTATTTATTTCAAAAACTAATCATAGAAAAGAGAGTTAAACGATAAGAATCCGAGAAACGAAGTGTTTCATCGTCTTCAAATTTGTTTAATTATGACGCAGAGATAAAACATTTATCCACAGAATGTAAGAAAAAATGAATAAAAATCTTTATTAAGAACGCTACAACATGTGTAGGCGCAAACACACATGAGAAATAAATTATATGGATCAAATTCTGATACGTGAAAACAATACACGTTCCCTTTAGATCGTTACAAAAAATATGAACATTTTAAATCGAAAACTATAATCGTTGAGTAAAAAATAAAAAAATGTATGAACTGTCTTCTATACTATTGATGCTTCTTCAGAATATTGAATCTCATGTTTTTGGAAAAATTTTCTCACTTGTCTTGTGTTGTGTTTTATTAATTTTCACAAAAATGATAAATTTTTATCTAAAACGATATTTCAACTTTGATTTAAGACGTAAAATTTAACACATCATTTTATATTTTCAAATAAATATTTGGTCTTACTCGAGAAACGAATAGCTGAAATGAAATGAAATTATTTTTTCTATTCTTTAAATAGTCAATTGATTAATTAAGCCACATTGGGTGACTCATCAAAAAAGATGGAGTATACAATTGATAATTTATTTAAAGATTTTTTTGGTAATTTTCGTTTCATTATAGAGTTGTTTTTAATTATGCAATATGATTTTATTTTTATGCATCCTAGTGCATACCCCGGTGAATGAATCCGATAACGGATCTTATCGAATTCTATGGGATCCGACTCCCCGACAGAATTCCTGGACACGGACCTATTGTCGGTCCCAACGGAAAAAATCATTCCCTTATTCAGAATCAAATAAGCATTTTGAGCCATCAGAGCGCAAGGGTGATTCGTTAGAGTTGGACTCCGTTAAAATCCAACATCGGATCCGATTGGATCCAATACCAAGGATCCAACTGTAGATCCGTGTTCAGGAATCCCATAAGATTTCGTCGGTTTTATCGAAACACGTATGGGATATTCGGTATATTCACTGTCTGACCCTTGTCGGAATCCGATAGAATCCTACTGTCTGAATGATTCTCCTGGGAAACTCATTTAGGTTTATGAGCGTAATCTACCTTGTCTTGAATTGTTTTTCTTATCAACCTTGACAATGATATGTGATACGTTGCGATTTCATAATTCCTTGTACTATTTTTATTATTCGTAAGCACTTTTTTAAACAGCTTGTCTTTCTGAAGGATTTCATCAGTTTTAAATAAAAATGTTTGTGTAAGAGTAAATTGAAATATTCCTTTAATCGAACGAGTCCAGTTTGTAATGAAGGTATCAACATTCGTTTTCCATTGGATTGAGACGTATTGTTGACCGTTCAAGGATGTTTACAAATACATGTACTTTTATCGGTATGAAATCGCTATGGATTTTTGAGTTCCAGGATCCCAATTGGAGAAACTCATTCTGGTTTTTGCGTTTCTACTGATGACTATCCTCCGTGCCTACCAGAGCATCAATCAGGCCACTAGGCCTGCCTGCCTGTGACAGGCACAGGCCCTGAAGTACACGTGCAGAATAAGCACACCTACCTACCAATAGATATTGTTTTGATTGTTAGGATGTGCTTGTTCTGCACATGTACCGTCAAGTACATGAATTCACTCTGTGATTCGAATGACTTTACTGTTTGATCAAGTCATGAGAGTGCTCTCTTTCTTTAGTGTTCTTATCATTAGTACAATCGTTGGCATCATCGCTTATGTATACATCCTTATATTTCATTCTACTGATGCGCATGCATCTTTTGCTACTTTGTTCAAACATGTTAAGTAATTATATACTCTCGATCTATGAAGTAGCAGAATAAGCATCATTACCGTGAGTGACGGTAAGCTACTCAATCAGTTTGTCGTTGCAAATTTAACATATTGTGTTGTAATTTATGTTTGTAATGCAAGATAATTGCATCGGATTATGTAATTGTATATTCGATAGAATCCAGCTGATATACAACGATTTCATCGCAATGGTATTTATTCATAGATGCAATATTTGTCGAATTTTGAAATGAAATGAAATTCATTTTAATTACTGACAAAATTTCGCTACAATATACAATAACACAATCCATCCTTCTGCTAAATATCATACAAGGGCAGACACAGTTTTTTTTTCTAAATCCATGTCTCTTAGAGCTTTGTATTAATCCAAAAGATAAAACTATCTACGAAATAAAGCCTCAGTTTTGTTTAGACCGATATATGGTATCGGTGAGTAACAGAATATTGCCACTAAAAAATAATGCGTTTAACAACATAATTTTCAAACTTCTCTTTCACTGTAAAGAAACAAATATTAGAGTTAGGTGTCGAAAATAAAACCTCGATTTTTCTATAAATTGAAGTTTTTTTGCTATTTTACGTGAAAAAAACCAGCTTAAAACTTTTAAATACATCAGATTTTTAGAAAGTTTCATAATGATAGAAGCAAAAAAGAAAGAACACATTGTCTCAACATTTCTTTATAATTCACTCCAACCTGTTTTAATAAAAATGTTTCTAGCTGAGCGATTTGGCCGGAACAAAGAGAAAAAAAATAATAATAAATATAGACGAAGGAAAGAAAAACGAAAAGAAAACCAACAAAATCTTTTCAGCACAAACACTCAAGCGGTAACAAAAAGAAGAAAAGAGCGACACACACATATGTAATAAACGTGTACATTGCTCTAGAAAAAGAAAATTGTTTTAAAGTTCTATGTATTTTCTTATAAGTGATCGGAATGTTTCGGTAAAAAAAAAGAAAAACTGATCATTAGTTTTGTTTTGTTCATAAGTGAGATCATTGATATTTACATATATGTAGGATGAAATAATCACTGTAAACCACACATATTTGATTTTTCAAGAAAAAAACGAGTGTATTGCCACGAAAAGAAATATAAATTACAAAGAAAAAGCCGAACAGAGTAACATATAGAAATTTATCGTCGTGTTATCGGTGTCGGTGTATTATTATTATTCGGTGTTAGAAAAGGAAAATTTCGAGTTGTTTGACGTTGTCTTTGACTGCTTATTTGCACATTTGAATTTGAACTATTTACGGCATTGCTAGACTGGTCGCGGCGCTCAATCTGGGAGTTTGGTTTTGGTGTTTCGTCTAGTCGGTCAAAAAAAGGAAATAAAAAAAAACGAGAATAGATTATTTGTGTTGATTATTCTTTAGTTATCGATCCTGTCCCTTATATGGCTAGAGCAATTAGTTAGTCAATATTTTCATTTAGTTTTTCGACTATCCTTCCTTTCTTTCTTTTCCCACCTTTAAATCCTGCAACGTGTAACGACGAACTGAAAACATTTGGTTTTATTCTCAAATATCTTCATAGGCTTTTAGTTATTTACCCAATGTTTTTGCTGCTAATGGTGTAAATGATTGAGCAAGAAATTCTTCATATGTTGTTTCACGTTTATGTTTATGTATGATGGAGTTTATTATACGATGACGTTCTTCGTAACTAAAAGAAAAACGATTTGATATTTTCTATGAAAACACAAAAATAAAATAATAATAAAGATCTTACAATTCACAATGATTATTAAGTGTTGTACGACGTGCACGACTAGCATTAATAGCTGTTGCACGTACTAATTCGGGAAGAATAAGTTTATCAACGATTGCACCATCAAATAACGGACCAAAGTTGGTTGTCTAAAAATGTAAGGAAAATAATGTTGAAATGCTCGACGAAAACAAATGTGTATTTATCGATTTATGATAAAATCGAATATTGTTTTATAGGTTTATTTTCTTTGAAACTTACTTGGCTAGTTTTATCAATTTTAATTCTATATAAACCATTTGGTAATGGATGTATAACAATTAAAACATCACCAAAAGCAGTAGCAATAGTTGACCTATCATATTCATGATAGTGTTCTGTCCAAATAATTTGTACTTCATCATTTCCAATGTGTCGTGTTTTTTTTCTTAGTCGATCTTCATCATTCGATCCATCGATCATTGTTGCAACATGAAACATAATTTCAACAAGTTCATTAGCATAATAAATTGAATATGTATTAGGTAATTGATGTAGACCACCACGAAAACCAGTATGTTTAGATAGTTCAACTTGCCAACCAAGATGTGTAAGAAATTCTTCATAAGGAGGACTACCATGTGTATTACTAAATATACTTGGTTTATCTTCTTGTCCATAGCCAACATAAATAACCGCTAGAAGATAATAATGAAAATTTTAATTAGGAAAATAATTGACGAGCTTGTTTTGTTCTTACCGATTTTATGGGTTTCACGGCAATTAAGAGAATCTAAATTTTTTAATTCACGTAATAATTGATCGCAATTATGTTTTGTTGTATTTAGTAAATCAATATTTTGACGATTTTCGAACATCATTAAACCAAGTTGAGTTATATGTGATCGACATAGGGCAAACCGATCATAACGGGATTGCTGAACGGTATTATCAATGTATTGTTCGGTTTTTTCAAATGGTGATGAGTCTTAATTAAAAAAAGAGCTTGTGAGAATTATGATAAAAATAAAGCAAGATCTTCTTACCATAATTTTGTTCCGCTTTTTCTTGTTCCGTTATCATTTTTATGATAGCATTTTCATCATGATAAGAAATCGATGTTGGTGTTGGTGAAACTTCATTTAATGTTCGATCGCTGTAAAATGCTAATTCTGGACTGTGAAATGTTATATATTGAAGAAGCTAAAAATTAAAAAAAGAGACGTTATTTTACTTGTTCCTATCCGTCATACTATCGATCATAAATATAGTAGTTCTGATTAAACTACACTCGTAAAAAATTAATTAATTAAGAATTAGAAGAGACTTTAGTAGATTATCATCTTCTGTATTAGGAATAGCAAATGAGGAAACGAATTCGAATTGATCCTACGAGAACTCTTTGTAATACAGGGATGTACGTCAAAATGAGATGAAAAATATTTAAATGGGTATTTTCAAGGCTTTTCGAGCCCTCCTTACAAACATAATTGAAATTCACATGGTAGACATATACAACTTTTTGCCGCTTATTTACTCAGTAACTGTAGAAATCGATGATCTTGAACATTCAAGACGTTTATGATGTTAAACTATTTTTTTTATGTCCGCCAACAGAAGTTCTCTGTCGGTGATTTCCAGTGAAATAATGTTATTTACACACTTGTGATAAAAAAAAGAAATTAAAATTCTAAATCACCTTATCAAGAATATCAGTGTTTGGTGGTTGATTTTGAATAGTTGGTGGTTGTAGTGATTCAAATTTTTCCAATACTGTTATGCCTCGTGTTGTTTCTTCAACTTGATATGTTGATTTAGTTGGAAGAGATAATTCTAAAATAATAATTATGATTTTAAATTACAAGAAAAAAATCTCGATAAAAAAAATTCTAACCAATAGGATTATTAAATGGACTTGCAATTGTTTTTGAATTTGAACTAATATTAAAAGCATAATTATCCCAACAATATCTTCCACATAAATCTCTTATGATTGTTCGACATACAGTTGTTCGTGATATAAATTGTTGACTATCAGTTGTTAGTTCATTAACTTTATCATTTGGTATTTCAACAAACGATACAAGAAAATCATCATGAATAACAAACAATTGTATATTGGATGAATGTATAATTAATTCATCGGATTGATTTGGATTTGGATTCTCCTCGTTTTGTACGGTTAGTTGTTTTGATGGCGATGACCAATCATGTCCTTCATGTACATTGGTTGTTATAAGTGATGATTCATTTTCAGTCAACGGATAATGTGAATGCTCATTAAGTAAAAATAAAATAGCAAATTTACAACATAATTTTATTGATTGACTTAATGTTAATTCATTATCTTGAACTTTATGTTCGTCATTTAAAGAATGTGTTGCACGATAAACATCAATTAATATCGAAAATGTTCGTTGAATAGCTGTTGTTGATGCTTCTTGGTTTTTTGTATCACGACCCATCTGTTGTTGTTGTAAATAACTTGTTGGAACATGTAGAATCCAATCGAGTAATGCAAATATTAAGGATTTTATTATACGAACATTATTACGCATTAGAGCACCAATATCAGCTGGAATATTTGAACGTAATGATGATATAAGACCATCGATTATTAATGTGTACAGTTGACCGGAGTGATTATCACGATGTGAAATAAATAAGGGAGCATATGAAGCAAGAAAACGAACCATATCAGCTGCAAATACTGTTGAATCCGCAGGCTACGAAAAATGAATTTAGATAATCAACGTGAACAAATAGATTTTAAAAGGCTGAATATGGTGTGAAATAAAATACTTTTTTTTACTACACTCTACTATAGTGCATGTTAAGTTCTAGGGTATCTCTATCAAAGTCTTGGGATTTGAGTTATGCAGTTTTAGGTGGTAACCATGCTGATTGAAATTGTGTTTTGCAAAGCAATAGTGATCATAGTGGAGAAACAAGTGAATGGTTGCGATGAGATTTTCAAACTCCAGTTATGTAAATATTTTGCGAAATTCTTATGAACTGACGCGATACAGATTGGAATATTATCAAATAGTAACCTGCAAATTGTCGTCTTCGCGAATAGCTAGAATTCAGTTTTTTCCCCTATGATGAATCTTTTAGCAGCGTTGTGAAAATTATTATCCTAGGTACCAATCAATGTCTTATTCATTGAAAGACTACTGATGTGCTGCTTCGAAACTATGCGATTAATTTTGTACTATATAAAACAATACATTTAATACAATCATGCAGTTGACAGTTATAGAATCAAATAGGTGATAATTATGAAATAATATTAATCTGTTTCAACAATCTGATCTAGACGAAGAGTCCAGTAGACTTCTCAATCATGTCAAGCTAAACTTTCTTCATCAATATAATGAAATACGCATACTAACATTATTTCTCTGATGAATCAATCAGATTCTTTGTACAATATATATATTGCAATGCTTGTCTATCTTTTTTCTCAGAAACAAATATTTTGCTTAAGAAAAAAATCTACACTAACACATCGATGGTTCGCAGGATTTTTGAGAAAAAATTGAATTCTTTATTTATCAAACATCTTTTCTCAGATACAAACCAAAATACAACAATAATTACTAAATCACCTAAACCAGCAATTGCACAAGCATACTTACGTGGTCTCCTTCTGCTACAGATGTTCGCTTCTTAGATTGTCCCTTGAAGACAAAAAATTAAGATGAAATTAATTTTTTCTATCCTAATTCTTATTATCTCTGGTGGGTTTATTTTCTCTCTCTCTCTCTCTCTCTCTCTCTCTGAATATAACTAACCTGCAAACATTCAACAATAAATAGAAGAAATGGTCGTATAGGTGATTCCGTTCGTTGATGCTTCAATTCTTCACAAAGAAATATTGCTAAACCACAAAGAGCAATTTCTCTGAATTAAACACACAATTTGATAAATTTAGAAAGAAAAAATAATGAATTGTTTAATCTTACCTTGATTCAAGCATGACATCATTTTGTGATGCTTTTATCAGATCTCGCATAATCATACGTTTTAATGACGTTCGATCCATTGGGACGGGTGCAAAATCTTTTTCTTTATTAGTTAAGACATCGAGTTGTTCGAAATGATTTGGAAAACAAACAAGACTACTCAATATAGTCAATGCTTCTACTTTTGGAATCTATTTTAATAATCAAAAATAAGATTATCGAGCAAATAAAAAAGACAACTACTAACGGTTTTCCCATCGACAAAATTTGGTTTTTGACCTATTTCACAACAAGCTGAAGTAAACAATGGTAACAACAATGTTGATGATGGCCAACATCGATGAAAAAAATCCACTTTACATGAACTAATTATAACATAAATAACGTCCTGAGGAGAAAAAAAAACAGAAATTACATATTTTTTGTTTGTTATATGTAGAGTTTTTCTAATATTTACTTCATCTCCAGATAATAAACCTTGAGAAATAATCAACAAAAACATATCAAGAAAATCTGCCGGTGGTGATATATCATGATTAAAAACACCCATTGAACATAACAATTTATAGGCTGCTAACTTTCCCTCCCGATGTGTTGCTGGTAATGTTTGTATACCCTGAAAATGTTCAAGATAATAAGAACAACATATAAGATTTTATTTAAAACAAACTTCAAAAAGCCACGGGGCAAATATTAGCAATGGAGGACCATCAAAATATAAATCACCATGTAAAGTATCTTTTGATAGAATATGAATCTAATCGTCATAAAATATAAATAGGGATTTGTTGGAAGAAAACAAAAAATATCCTTCTTACACGACACAGCATTTTCCATATATCGAACAGTGTTCTCATTATACGATTATGTTGTTCAGCGCAACGTATTTGATTAATATTTCCAAGTGAACCAAGCATACGAAACCATGCTGTATACGCCGTTTCAGGTGCAAGACGTTCTGCTTCATAACCTTGTTCATGATTATAAACAGCTGTATCGATACTATCGAGCGTAACTGAATCTTGTGGAACTGAAATTTTATTGAAAATAGTAAAAACAAATTTATTAATTGGAGTTTTTGTTTTACATGAATGAAGACTATCAACAGTTGACTGGCTGAGTGGATGATGATTACGTGATAATGGCGGAGATACATGTTGATGATGATCAGACGTTGAAGCTGATTCGGAAACTGTTGTTGAACGAGAATCCGTTGCATGAATACTACTGTTAGCTATTTAATATTAAAAAGAATTTTTTTTCCATTAGATAGCTTTTCAAATATGTCAATCGATCGAAGAGCCTGGACTATGCGACTACATTATTTAATAGATAATTATCTTCCATCAACTCAAAATGAGTCACTATCGATTGTTTTCCCCTCAAATTCTATGTAATTATAGAACTTCAAAATATACGAAAGATTTCATTGTAGTATCAAGTGACAAGTTGACAATCTGATTTACGGAGTAACTAGAGCCTGAATAAACATTCAATAATCAGAATTTACTTTAAGCTAGATTTCCATAAAGAAAAAGAAATATTTACTTTTAAATTGCGACGCTAATGCATCACCGCTGCCAATCCCGCTGAGACTATTCGTATCGAGTATACCCGTTGAAGCAGTACTATAATCATCACTCATGGGTGAATCAAGTGGATGTGTTGGTGATGACATATCACTCATATTAGAAATAGCTAAACGAATAATAAAACCAGAATATGAATACAACTGTAGACATAAATATCAATGTATATGCCATACGTGTTTGTTGTGATATTTGAATTGTTAATGGTTGTTGTTGATGATGATGAGTAGGTATTAACATTTCACTTGGACTGAATAAAAGTGGATGGTGATCATGTATATGCCCTTCCAATGTTGCTTGGTGTTCACCTGTTTGATTACTCGGAATAGATGCTAAAATATGCGGCTAGAACAACACATTATTATTTCATTGCAAAATTCAATATTGTTTTCTATCATACTCGAGTAATAACTGATGGTGGTGATATTGTTGTATGTGTTAAACTTTCATCACTACTTGTTCGTCGTCGTGCTACACGTGTACGTTCAATAATTGATGGCCGAATAGGTTGCTGTTGCTGTTGTTGAGGTGGTGGTGGTGTTTGTTCTGCTGTATCAGCATCTTCATCGGAGCTTAGTGTTCGTACACGTTGTATACCGGAAGAATTTTGTTCAAGTGCACCGGGTGGAACTGATTGTGCATTTCGTCGAACACCACCATTTGCTACAGTTCGACGAATATTCGACGATTGTGACGCTTCTGTTTCAACATTGTAAACAAGTCGGCCAAGATCTTTGGTCAATGCTCGCATAGATACCTATTAGTAGATTGAAATTTTCCGAAAACAAAGATGTAAACACAATCATGACTTCGTTATACATACATCCCATTGATCGATCACTTCAGACCACGTAGCTTTTGATGATAATGTATCACTTAAACTATTCCATAGTTCAACGCTAACATATAATGATGCTGATTGAAATAGAAATAGAAGAGTCTAAAATCAAAGGAAAATAGGAAATAATTAATAATTCTAATTCATACGATTTACAAGAGAATAAATGAGTATCGTTCAGTTTTATCTTTGTGTATCAATTTTTTTGTTCGCAATTTAGTTTTCTATTTATAGAGCAGAACTATAGCATCGTATTAAAAACAATAACATCTCGGCATCAACAGTGAATTGACATTTAGAAACATTGCCTCATTAATAAAAATAGGGTTAGACAAGTACTTTCTCGAGAAAAACTATACAAGCTGACCTTTCTGAAATAGATTAAAATAATAATCAATCTTATTTCGACATACTTTGATTGCATTTTCAATATATATATGATTTGTATTTGGTGATGGACGATCTGGCAATGAAAGTCGTACAATTTTTAGCATAACTCGTAAAATTAAATCCCTAGAAAATAATTTATTTTATTTTAAAAGAAAATATAATCTTAAAAACTATTCTTTTTACCATGTTGTCCGATCTGGTGTATGTCGCTGTGGTAATTTTTTATAGAACGTAACAAGACCAGCATGTGATCGTTCACGCATAGCTTGTTCAGGTTGTAATATATTTGTTGTGTTAATTCCATGTTGTCCTGTCATTGCTTGTTGTTCATCATTGATTGATGTTGGCCGTACAAGAAATAAATAGAATGATTGTGTTATGAAAATTTGTAACCAACGATTAAGACCTAAACGAATGTGATTATCACTAGGTACATCATTCGATGCGGAACGTTGTTCCGGCTCAAGCATAAAAGCTGGTCGTAAATGTTGTTCCTATTAATTAAAAATGATTATTCTAATGTTAAACTGTTTTCTTTTTACTACGAACTTTTATCCAATTATTCACCGTACGAAGTATATGAGAAGCAGCCAAACCATTGTCACCGGACATAAGATAACTCTAAACAACGAAAAGATTGAATAGACGAGAAAATAGTATTCGATTTATTTACTTGTCGAAATATCTCATGAATAAAATTAATATTTTCTTGTTTTGATAAAAGTACATTTTGACCTATTTCTAATATATGACTATCTAATGGTCCAATGGCATTCGCTAATTGTTGATATGATGATGTTTGATTTTTTGACGTTGATCCCGCGATTATATGATATAATTCATTTGATGATGATAGATAATCTGTTCCGCCAGTTACTGTACTAGTCGATACTGTTGATTGAGTCAGAGGATTTTGAAATGATGCAATGGGATTGGCTACACGAGTTCTAAAGATAAATGAACACATATTTACTTTACTTTTAGTATGACAAAAAAGAATCAAAATTTCCTAAATCTTTCTTTTCAATGTCGTGATTATTAAAACTTTCATCAGTACAGTAAATAACTTACAATGTTCTCTCGCGACTGACTCCTTCATTAAGAAATGGCAATAGCCACATAACAAATGCTGTTCGACATAAGCATGTTTGCCGTCGTCTTGGTCGATCACTTTCAATTCCTACGGTTTCTGGAATTGTTACTAAAGGAGATTTTTATTTTTATTCATTTACTTTTAGAAAAATAAAGAAAATCAAATTTACTTGATATCGATAAATCATAAATATTTTGTTCGGTAAACGTAGGGAACAGTGTTGGCATATAATAACGTTTGAACATATTAAATAAAAATCGAAAGCATTCTTCTTGTTTTCCCATGCGTGATGATTCAGCTGTTGAATCCCATAAAATACGTTTGCAAGTATCCGACATTGTATGTAACATAAAGAAAAGCCAACGATCAACAGTCGGCTCGATATCCAAAGTATTTTTTGGCCATATTGGAATTATATCAGTCCATCGAAAAACATCTAGAATAATCGAAAATTTTTATTAATTTCAAATTGATGTAAAAGAAAATGATAATTAACCTGGTGGTGTACGAAATATTTCATTAAATGCTGCAGATGTTTGATCATCTGTATTATTCGCTTCTCCACCTGCACGTGTACCAACCAATGTTTGATTCCAATTACGTATAAGACTTTTGAAAAGTGTATGTTCATCATCAACAGCATTACTACCTAATATTTGATACCACAAAATAAATAATCTTATACCACGTGCAACACCCTATTGTAAATAAATCTTTCTATTTATTTTTCTTCTTTTCTTAACAAAGATTAAAATAATTTACTTGTGGACTGTTACACACAACGAAATATCGTTTGATTACATTGCCTATACAATGTGCTTGCCATCTCTGATGTACAGTAGTAGGCAATAGAGTCAAAATACGCTAAAACAAAATATTCATTAAGCATGAAAAGGTAAAAATGTAGATCATGGCATTAGAAAGTGATCTTTTATCGAGAAATTCTATATGCATAGGAATTGAAAAAATCTCAAGAGACTCAATGAAATGCTAATAAATAACAGTTAAATTGTAATTTTGGCAGATTTTATCGTGCGTTTCGACTACAAGCACTTATCAACATTCCAAATATCTAATCGGTCACATCACCATATCTTGTTCACACATGTTATCTAAGTGTTAGTCAGATTAATTATAAAGAAACAACAACACACTCATTTGTCATTTGAAAACCATAAAAACTATTTTTTTCTTCTTTCCCCAACAAATATCTATTCACCTCACAGGTATCTCCAGGGAAATTTATGCTTTCAGTAATTAATCTATTAGTTAACATGAATGATATTTTACCTCCAATAAATTGGTAACATATTCAAGTTCTAATTGATTTTGTTTTGAGACTAAAAAAATCAAATCTCTTATTGTACTTTTGTATAATATCTTCTATCACGTACGTGCTCGTGTTATGTTACTTTCAACTTGACTAAAGTTTTCAAAGAAAAGATAAAAAATATATTGATATGAACTTTTGAAAAATGCTTGTAAATCTTCCACAGATAATTGTTCTAGACGAAAAACAATAAAGTTTTATATTTTTCAAATTCATAGAAAAGAAAAATTGTCTTTTGTCATAATCCCTACCAACTAATAATTTTAAATAACGTTGACGATCAGTTAGACTTTTTGTTAGATCAATAACTTTTTCTTTTGTTCTTTGAATAGTTTCATCGCCCTTGTACGGCTTTGTTCGGGTGAACAATTGCGTCATTTAGGATGATTATAAATTATAAATAATATATTAATTACATCGAATACGACAAACCAACTATAAGCAGATTATTATCTACAATAAATATGATAACTGTCTCCTACGTTCTTCAAAAATCTGCAGAATACGCAAAAAGAAAAAAATATTTTTCACAACATACTATTCGTTCTATTTCTATCCACTGGAATTATTGTCATAGAAAGATGTCACTCTATCGTTCTCTAACTGATTTAAAATGAAAGATTATGAATTAGTAAAATTTATACAAATGTTTTTATTTTAAATTTTAACTTTAAATAAAAATATTTTCTTAAAACGATTTCTGTAATGATCTTATTGGTACACAAATATCTTTGTTGACCTGAACGTATTAATACGGAGGCCAATTCAACAAAGATGGCGATTGATTATTCTCCGACTGCACATGCCCTCTTTTGTCTCCAGAAATAACTATCATTTTCTGTTCAAATGGTATCATCTGAAACATCATGTACAATAATTGGTGGAAGTTTAATTATTCTACTTATTGCTGGTTATTTTGGGCAACAATTTTTACCAGCACCTAAACCAAAAATAATCGGTTTTGATTTAGGTACAACTTATTCATGTGTTGGAATGTATCATGCAATAAGTGGTTTAGTAGAAATAATTCCTGCACAACGTAATCGTTCATGTATGCCATCGATTGTGTCATTTTTACCCAATGGAACAGTTCTATTAGGTTACGATGCATTTGATCATCTTGAAACAAATCAAAAATATACAATTTATGATGCGAAACGTTTTATTGGTAAACAATTTTCCATTGAATCCATTAGAAAAATACAAAATGATTATCCATTTGAATTAATACGAAATGATAATGGTTATGTTGAATTTGTTGTATCAGAAAATGGTACACGAGTAACACCACAAAAGATTGGTTCATTATTATTAAAACATTTAAAAGAAATTGCTGAAAAACATTTAATGGTAACAAAAATCAAGCTTTGCGTTTTAAGTGTACCAGCTGAATTTAATGAAGAACAACGTCAAACAACAAAACAAGCAGCAGAACTGATTGGAATTAAAGTTGAAAGAATTATATCTGAGCCAACAGCAGCTGCTTTAGCTTATGGAATTCATAAACGTAATAATGTACGTTATGTTTTAGTTATTGATATTGGTGGTGGTACAACTGATGTTAGTCTACTATCTGTACAAGGTGGAATGTTTTCAACACAAGCAATGGCTGGCAATAATCGTCTCGGCGGACAAGATTTTAATCAAAATTTATTCAATTATATTTTAACATTGATTAATGATAATCATAAAAGAACGGATCCAAATTTTTTACAACATTTAAGAATCGAAGTTGAAAAATGTAAACTTGATTTATCTGTATCAAATCAATGTACAATTAATGCAAAATGGATTATAACTAGAGAATTATTTGAAGAAATTAATCAAGATCTATTTAAAAAAATTATCGAACCCTTAGACAGAATATTTGCTTATATTAATTCAGATATGAATGACGATGATGATGATGATGCAAGTAATAAATTAACAGTAAATAATATAGACGAAATTGTGCTCGTCGGTGGTTCAACTAGAATGTTAAAAATTAGGCAATTAATAGAAGATTATTTTCATAAAATGCCAAATATTGAGATTGATCCTGATGTTGCTGTTACACATGGAGTATCTATACAAGCGGGTATTTTAGGTGGAGTATGGCCATTAACTGTTAGTGCTACAGAAGTGCGAACAGCAGTAGAAAAAATTCATATTGAAACTTAATAGGCAATTTTTTATTTACTCAGTGATGTAAATAAATTATTCTGAAGTGAATAATTTATTGATAGATGTGTGTGTGTGTGTGTTTCGATCTTGAATCATGTCCAACCGGTGGTATTCCTTACACTGGGTTGTTTTTTTTCCTGTAAAAGGATTTTCTTTTCGTTGTCTATTTTTTAAAATTGTTATTTATTGTCACTAATTGTTACAAAAATTATTTTGTTTTTGTTATGTTCTATTATTTCCTATATGATCTGTTCTTTTAAACACGATTGATTATTTTAGATAATAATAAATATATCGTTTTCTTTATTATCATAGACCACGACAAGTCCATGCTGATCGTGAGTCATTTATCATCATGCGTAAAAAGTCAACAACATTATCTCCATTAAAAAGACCGTCTACTCGTTCAATATCAATAAATAAAACTCCATCACAATCAGATAAATACATTTTTCAATCAGACAACGAAGATCATATTAAGAAACCAGTGTTTGATCGTAAAACTAATACACCTCTTCCAATAAAACGTTCCCGTGGTCGACCCCCAAAAACTCCTAGACTAGAAGAAAACAATCCAGCCCGTACATCAATCTCATCATCGAATATTGAAAGTGATAGTGGTACTGAAGAAAGTTCAATAGTAAAACAAACTCCAGGTAAATACTCTTACAATAAACCAGTTACACGAAGAACATCACGTCTCATTTCTCAAACAAATACATCCATAGGTGACAAAATTTCTACACCAAAAAAACGAGGACGTAAACCAAAAATGTTAAACACAATTGATAACGATCAAGAAGAAGATAAATCAAAACAACAACAACAACAACAACAATTAGAAACCGAAAATATCATTCCGCCATCATCAGTAAAACGTCGTTATGTTAAAAAGAAAACTTTATCAACAGATACAAATCCTAAAACTGATCTTAATGAATACGATGATGATAATAATAATCAAAAACTTGCAACTATTGATGAAAAAGATCTTATGCAATTCGGTTCACCACAACATCAAACTCAAATTCAATCTCAATCTCAACCTCAACCTCGACAACAACAACAGCATCAATCTGAGGACGAATTTAGTGATGATTCAGTTGATTTTGTTTGGAAAGGTTCAAGTAAATTATCTATTGAAATTCTTAAACGTCGTATGCCAAAGGAAGAATCAAGAGAATATGCATCTACGTCATCCGATCCAACAGCTCAACGTAAACGAGCTATTATTCCACGTTTAACTAATTTTGATGCTCTATCAGGTCAACCATCTGATAATACATCAACAAAGAGGCCAATAAATGATAATCCTGAACAAAATACACAAAAGAAATCGACTTCTGTCATTACATTAAATAATGTTTTTCAAAATGATTTTGTACCTTCATATAATGATACAGGTGCAAAAATGACAACAACAACAACAACTGAGGTACCAACAGAGGAGAAACCACGTCCTCGTATTTATGCTGTTAAAAGTACAACAATGAAATCACGTCCGCAATTGCCACAACAACAACAACAGCAGCAACAACAACAACAACAACAACAACAACAACCAGAAATTAAACGACCGAAATGGATGAGTGATCAACCAGAAAAATCTGAAGAAGATGATGAAGACAATTTACCACCAGCTGGTGAAGAACCAACTGATTTTGATTATATACCCAAAGGACAATATATACCGAAACGTCCTAATTATCGTGCTCGTGGAACATATCCAGGACGACGTGGTACAGGTATGCGTGGACGACCACCGGGTTCACGTCGACAATATCATGACGACGATGACGATGATGATTATGATCAATATGAAGAACTCAATTCACGGTATGGAGCTCGAAAACAAACAGCCTATCGAACATCGCGTATGAGCCAAAAATAAAAAAAAGATTTTATTATTCAAATCATTTTTTTAATTATGTAGGTCCTATGTATGATATGGGTGGTGGCGATGATGATGACGATTATAATAGAAACCGTCGAATGAGTTTAACACAAGCTTATCGTCGAAATAATACTGCTCGTCCACCAATATCAGCAATGAGTGGTCAACGTCGTATTGCAATTAACAATGGAAATCATCCTATATACAAAGTACGGAGAGAAAAACTGTTCTTTTTAATAATTGTTTCACGAGAGTACTCGTCTCTTTTTTTTTGTTTGACTGTAAAAAAGTCAAATCTAATTCTATTCAAAGAGCATGCGAGAAAAAAGAGATGAATATTCTTTCGATAATTATCTGATCTTACATATATATATATATATATATGTGTGTGCGTTTTCTCAGCCATACAAATCATCGAGTTATCGTCCGACACCAGCTACACTGGGTTTATCGACGTCAAGTCGTCGTACGAGTAGTACTAGTCGAAGTCCTGTCAGTACAATATCCAAACCCCATCATCATATATCATCAACAATGTCCAAAAATTATTCGGTGAGAATATTCAAAACACACGCACACACATACTTAAATAATCACATTGATAAATAGTAAAATAATCTTCTATTATTCAATTTTTAGGATGACGATTATTATCATCAACAGCAACAACAACAAGCACGTTCAACAACCATCAATAATTCAAATAATACATATGTAACAAAAATGAATGATACGCAATTAAACGATGTTTCAAATCAATCACAAATATTTTTTGTTAACATGCCACAACAAGAACAACAAAAAAATCAATCGCAACAAGTTTTGTCGGTTTTAACAACCGATCAACAGCAGCAGCAACAACAAGTTCTTCCCGTTACCGTTGTACAACAAGGTAAAAATCTCGTATTGATATAATCAAATTTTGATCATTTTGTTTTCATTGACATTCGATTTGTATTTTTTAGTTAAACTACCAGCCGATGTTCCTAAACAAAAGAAAATTCTTCCTAAACCATCTTCATCAACAACAAATCAACAAATGAATGCATCAAACGAGCAAGCGTCAGGAAATAATAAACCATTTGCATGGTCACGTCCACCAGCTCGCATACAATCGAATCATAATGAACAAACGATAAATAAAAATTTAAATTCTACATCAATCAATACCGATTTAGACACAATGGAAGCTGCACACGTTTTAGCAACAGCAGCCGATGTAACTATGGCTGCTGATGCACGTCGTAAAGCACAACAACACGATGATGACATGTCGATGATGGTTGAAGAAACACCTTCGAACATAGCGGGCGAAGAAACAATTCAGTGTGATGAAAATACGGCAAAAGCTATTACACAACAACAACTTGGTACTATAACAGCAAATATTATTGATGAGAATGGTGTTGAACATACTGTTCTATTATCAACCGAAGAAGCACAACAATTACTAGGCACACAAGGTGCTATTATTGTCGATAGTGGTAAGCGCGTATGGCGTTTTTGCTTTCCCCCCATCACTATTTCGTTCATTTTTATTTAGATGGTCAACAACTATCAATTCAACAAGCTCAACCTCAAACATTCGTTTCACAATTTGCACTTGATCAAGCTCAATTGCAAGCATTACTTGCACAAGCCGGTCTTGATCCTAATACACCCTTAACTATTGAACAGGTTGATCCAAATCAACAACAACAAATGGCTACATTGTGTACATCTCCAGGTGGTACACAATATACTGTATTGACACAAGCATCAACACAACAGCAATTTATATTACAAACAACAAACGAACCATCGTTGCCTACACTTCCAATTCAACCTCAGCTAATAGCGCCAAAAGAAGAACTATCGTCATCACCGCCGGCAAAACGTCGAGCTTTTGCTGTTAAATCAACAGTTCGTTCAGAAACATTTGATGACTTAAATGAAAGACCACGACGCAAAATCTTTGCAACAAAATCTACTGTTTCATCAATGAGTACGAATTTCATAGAAATAATTTAATCAAAATTCAATTGAATCTCTTTTTTAGACGATGAAATTCATGACGATCAGGAAGGTTTTATTGGCACACGAGCCTATCATCGCAATACAGGCCGAAAATAACATTGAAAATAAAAGATTGTCTTATGTACAAATTGTCTTGTCATTATTATTCGTTATCTTTCTTGTTTTTTAGTTGTAACTTCTCTCTTCATGTTTTTTCTTTCCTTCTTCTTCGCATTCTCCTCGTCCTATTTCGCTCAACTCTAAGAGGATGATGAGCGTAACAAACATTAAAACCATTTTGTCTATTTTCACTTATATTCATTATGTATCTATTTGTTTCTCTTTTGTCTTGACATTAACCAGCCTACTACTTCGTGCAAGAAAATATATTTGTGTTCGTGTGTGCTTGTTTGTTTGTGTACAGCGCTACTTTGTACAAAAACATTGTATGAAGAAACTTTTCCCTGTATAACACAAAAAAAATATACATATATATTCTGTATTTATATGTTTTTCTTTGTTTGCTTTACATAGCGCTCTATGTTTTGTTTTTTAGTATATAACAATGATTTAACATCGATATATATATATATATATATATTCAAAGGAAAACATGTGTATAAATGAGATAAGAGTAAAGTTTCTCACTTTTGTTTACTTTTTTGTGTTAATGATAAATTTTCGATGATTAGAGTCGATGAAAAAATTAATTATTCGATAATAAATACTAAAGTTAGATAAGAGTAGTTAATTGGATTTTGCAGTTTTTTAAAGGTAAACTAACTAATTTTTGTTAATGTGATTGGAAATTAATGAATGTAACCGAGTTACTTATTTGAAAATGAATATGGAATTTTTTTCTATTCAAAAAAAAAAGATTGATTGGTACAATTAAACATCGTTTGTTCTAATTAATATTCTCAAGTTCAATGAATCATGAGAAATGCGTCATAGATCCCCGAAAAATCTTCTTATCTGTCTTGTAGCTGGCTCATTCTTTCTCTGATTCTGATGACTTCGAGGCAATATTGATAACTTAAAAAAACGTTTTACTAAATGGAATCCTCTTTTTATAGGTTTTTTATATTAAACTTTACGATTTATAATCAGTTTAACCGTATCTTTTCAAGATAATACCTAAATAACCGCTTTATAAAATAATCCTTGATAACCGGCCGTTCAGTACTTCCGATATCTTGAAAGCTTCAGGTTAAGATAGTGGTATTTTCTTGAAAAAAAAACTTAAGTTTGTGTTAGGTAGAACCTGCAGGGTATTAATATTCCTACAAATAAATCAAATTTCCACTAGTACGAATTTTGCATGTATTTTATAAAACTAACTTCAGAGCTAAAACAAAAAGGGCCCTTCTGTAATATCAGAAGAAAATCCATGTTACAGAAACCATATTCTAAGATATAGTATAATAGTTTTGAAAGATCTGACTGTCTGATAAGATATTAATATCAGATTATAAGAAATTGCATATAAGATGAAAATCCTCGGGCATGATTTCATCTTATCTTAGATTTTATTTTTTAACTTCTAAAAAATTATATCTTGAAACATTCATTTAAATTTTTAAAACCAAAATATAGTTTCATGCATTCATATTACTTGACGGCATAAAATCTAGAGATTGCTATTATGTTCTAATCAAACTATTGAGTACTTGTCAATAGAAGATGAGAATATTTATTTAATTTTCGTTTTAGATCAAATTATCAATCAAAATCAGCCGATCTTCTATTCAGTCCGATGTCATTTTTTCGAACATTAATTACATTTTCCCTTGGCGTTTATGCCGGATTGTATACAAGCCAAAATTATGAAGTTCCAAAAGTCGACTCTCCTAAAGATCTATACGAACGTTTTGTTCAATACGTATCAACATATAAGAAAAAAAGTGATTAATAGACGAACAGAACATTAGTTGAATTCTAAATTTTCGATGTCTTCTTGTATGTGTATGTGTGATTACCCTTATTTTTATTGCTAACATCCTTTTCTTTTTATTATGACTCCACGTTAATGTATGTATATGATTCCAGATCGATTTTTAAAAAAAGCAGGTCATCATTATGATGTATTTCCTACGAAATTTGCCATCGCTAACTCCTAAATTTCATCATTTGATTATCCGTCAATTGTCATCATCGTCATCATCATCATCATCATCATCAGTATCTGATCATCAGTTATCAGAAGTTGAATATGAACATGTAGTTAATGAAACATTAGAATCGTTAACCGAAGCTTTTGACACTCTCCTTGAAAAACATAAATTGCCATCAGATGTATTTTATTCAAATGGTGTTATAACTGTGGAACTTAATCAACAAGGCACCTATGTTATTAATAAACAAACTCCTAATAGACAAATATGGTTATCATCTCCATTCAGTGGACCTAAACGTTATGATTTCCTCAATCAAACATGGATTTATAAATATGATGGAATATCATTACATAAATTACTAAATAAAGAATTTTCGAATATATTTCAAAGCGATAAAAATATTAATTTTGAGTCGTGTAGTTATGGAAAGAAATCAGAATGATAGTGAAGAATAAAATTATTTCTATGCTATTCTCTTCGGTATTTTTTTATTCATTCATAGTTCATGATTGATTGTTGTCTATTGTTGAAAGTTGGGTATAGAAAAAAGAATTCTTTTATTTGACGGCTCATCATTGAATATAGTAAGGATTTATCTTTCTTATTCGTTCAGCTATGAATATAGTATGATGTGCGCATATGTGAATAAACTCTCGGAAACAGACTATATTCTATCGAGCTCTTTCCTTCTGCTTTTCTCGTGCTGTCAAGCTTTCAACTCATTGTCTTTTGTCTAGTCTATTCTGTTTAAACAACTTCGAGAACATGAAACTTTATTATTATTGAAAAGTTCGCGCTTTTCACACATGCATAAAAGAAGAAAATGCCATAATATGTATGTACGGTTTATTCTTTAGTCACTATAACCAGTCCGAGACTTCCCTGAAAAGAAAATGAGCATGAACGCTAGAAACGAGAGAGAGAGAGAGAGAGAGAGAAACTGTCGAGTAGCTAATAGGTTTTCTTTCTTTTTTTTTCTCTCAATCTTATTACAGAATAAGTTACGATCAGGACATTAAAAAGAAAAACCTATACAACGATAATGCCAGTTAGCTAGCAAGAAAAGACCGGCTGTTCTATCATTTTAGTATTCTCTCTTTCTCTTCAATGTGTCTAAAAACAAATCACAACCTATACGTATAGAAACGATGTGGGTCAGATGATCAAGGAATTCAATCGTATTGTTGAAAGACAAAAACCAAAGAAGAGAAAGCTCGCCATGAGAAATAAAAGCCATTTGGCGTAACAATTCTAAGGCAGAGTGAGTCTATTTCCAATTGCTGCCAGCCATTAAACATGCACATGAAATAAATATAGATGAGACGTGACTTGTATATTTTACGAATAGGTGAAACAAATAAAAGAAAAAAAGAAAAAAAAAGAAAGAAAAGATGTTCCTTTATTTGACAAATGAATTTTTTAGTTGGTTTTCAAAGAACTTCAGTGATGGTTCATAATAAAAAGAGGAAACATAGGAAAAAGAAAAAAAAACCGAAGATGAAAAAAAAAGAAAGAGAAGAGAGAAACATCGGTTCATGCTCGTGTTGTTTCTAGTGCTGATGCTTCAGAATAATATTATTTCATTGCACACGGTAGTAAAGACAATTAGCTCTTCGATAGTGGCCGGAACAGAAGAAAAAAAAAAGGAAATTCTACTCCAGCAAACATAAATATATAATACATGTATAGAGATAAATAGTTGATTTTCCCATCCTCTTGTTTTAACTTATATGCATATTAAGACAGATACACATTTCTGGAAAACGCGAATCTCCAGCCTGTCGACACGAGTGACGACAGTTGGTTACTGTGTCATATTCTAAAAAAGAATCTACAACATTGATATATGGACAGACGAATAAATCAATCCATTATATATGTGGTTAAAGACGTGTTATTTCGCACGTTATTGTGCTATATTATACTCCAGTATATATATATACACGAAACATTTTTAATCTAAGTGTAGAGCCTAGACAATATCCAAATGTCTTGCAGATTTCATAATCTATGCTGGTTGAGTGGCTGTTTGAATGAGATTAACAAGGGTACACACGCGACACAACATAGCAGGATAGCCAATTATGGAATGATAGAGAACACCGTCTAAACAATAGATATACCAATAAAAACTAAGAACGATTGTGGATTTATCAATAAAGGATGCTTTTACGTTTTCTTTTGGATAAGTCATAATTAAAACAAAAAATTGCATTTAGATAGCATGTCCTTTCATTTTATTTTTCTTACAATTTCAATTCAAGAGTCAAGAAGTCACTTTTTAGAAGCGTCTTTTGACAAATGTGTTTTCTAAGGTAGAATAGAAAATTAATCATCTCTACCTGAAGCGCGTTTGTACATGTTGCCTTTAAAAGTTCTATGTGTAATTCAAAATGCCTACAAAAATATTGTATGAATATTTGAAAGTAATTCTACTTTACAGGAATTGTTCGCCATTTTTTTCGATTCATATATTATCAATATCACAAATCTTGTCATAAATTCTCCTACTACGATCATTAAGAAATTTCTTGTTTTTTTTTTTTCATAGATTGATGCCTATCTGCAAAATGTTACCATATAAGCAACTAAAAGAAAAGATAAATGAGCTCATAGATAAAACAATCTTTTGTTCTTTGTCATTATGATCTGATAAAAACAAAGTACGTGCTGCGTTTAGAAATAGATGTTTTATTCTTATGCATTCATCGTATGTCTTGTATGAATAATCCGATGGATGTTAGTGTTACAATGAGAAGAATGTTATGAAAATAGGAAAACATACGAGCTGTCATTTTTTGGTTGAACAGTAACGTATTCAGGCTAACATTTTATATTGTTAGATTCGAAAATTTTGTTGTTAACATCACCCGACATCAAAGTTCCGTATACATTTTATTTCATACAAGAATAAAAACCGATGAATGTTTTCATTTCCTTTTTTTCTTTCGTCGATGTTTAATCAATAATTAGTAGAAAGTAAAAACAAAAGTAATGTATTAGTAAAATATTCGATGTTTATCTCTATTAATTATCTTTGGTAAGGAAATTTATATTCATCTATGGCATTCATTCAAAATAAAGATTGTACCAAAATATGGATTATGTCATGGAAATTACTTTTAGATGACTTTTATTGTTAGATTAAATACGTATATTAGCCATGAGAGAGAAAGAACGTGTGAGTAATGCTGCCGGCATTGTATATGGGTATTCTGTCCCTTTTTTCTTATTTCTTTATGAAAGGTTGTCGACTTACATGATAGATGTATTGGTTGGTGTGAATCGGAAATAGAACTTGTCATGCTGCTGATCACTCGTTCCCCTTTCAGATATTTTTGTTCTTTGTACCACGGAGTACAAACTATAACGTTAATATACAGTCTCATATAACCATTGTTTATGTTTGCTAAAAAGACATAGTATCTCAGATAACCTTAAGTGCTAGTCATAAATAGGTATAATTTAGAGATGAAGAAAATATTCTATCTTTAGTTCAAAAAGCCTAACAATTATATTAGTAAGAAACAGATATGAATATGTATAGATATATAAGTAGTTATTGGCTATTTTCCTTGTGTTAAAATGACTGTTGACCAACAGATGAAAAAAATTCAGAATTTTTGAAAAGAGCAAGTGATGTTGATGTTTTTTCTTGATGCTGTGTCTCGATTTCAGCTTCCGAATCATTGCGTTTTCTCTTGAGTAGAATTATCGTTCTCGTCGTCATTGTAGTTTTCCTTCCCCTTCTCCCTCTTATTCGCTTTCTGAAGAAAGACGGATGAGGAGAGTGAGCGAGGCACGAGTGCAGCGAGCATAATGGAGGAGAAGAAGAGAGACAGGCAGACCGAAGGGAGCGCAACATCGATGAGAACGAACGAAGAACATGCCAAGGAGTTTGAAGGCTTGAGCGAGACGATGATGATGATGGCGGCGGCAGCAATGGCGAATGTGATGTTAGTCTCTAGAGAATATCCAATGATCGCGCTGAGTAGTATAGCCTTTGCGTGTATATATCTATATCTTTTGTTTCATCTATTATTGTCCCTTATTATCAGGGTTTTCTTTTTTTTCTCATATCACCTTATTTTAAAAGTATTTTAATACGTTTGTACCTATTTCATACGTATTTTTTTTTATAGCGCTTGATATTTCTTGTTATTCCGTCGACTGATGAGAATCGTCTATTTATGTCCAGTTTGAAATGGCACCGAGAGAAGGAGGAGATAGAATGAGGAAAGGGAAATAGGCCCAGTGTCTGAAATAGATTAATCATTGAGAAAGAGAGCACCAGAACGATCAGGCTTTTATGTCAGAGTAGAAGACGCCGCGTTGTCCTTCTCTGTCTCTTTCTCTCTTTTTTTTCTATTTTCCATGTGATGACGCGAAATGCTCGTTCATCGGCGTGTTCCTTTTCTTGGTAACAGCCAGTCAGCAAAGCCGTGTGTTTGCTGATAGGAAGCAACATTAACATCGACAGAAAAAGAAAGAGAATGACAGAGAATAGGAAAAAATGAAGAAAAGGAAACCCAGTCGTCGTGGCAGCTAGGACCAACTGCACGAGTAGTATGAAAAAGAAAATGAGACAGAGCCAAGAGAGCGCAAAAGAAATAATAATAGAAACGATAGAAGTAGAAGCGCTAACAGCCGTAGTTTTAGCTACAGCAGAGAGAGAGAAAACGCGTTTCTGCAATTTGGCTCCCGTTGTGTGCAACGAAGACGACTATGTGTGCGTGTGCGTGTGCGTGTGCGTGCGTGTGTGTAGTAATTGAAGCCTGACTTGATGGTGATCAAATACATACACTTAGAAAAAAAAGAGAGTTACTCACATCCCGCTACTAATATTGTGCTTAAAGATTTCTTTTATTCTATTTTTTTGTTTCTAACTTATTATTCTAGATAACATATTCGATTGGAGACAATAATAGGGTATATATAAAATAAAACGTTGAGCGGTTCGATGACATCGGTGATTACAGATGGATGCTCAACAACAAGAAACACAACAACAATATTTACAAATTTTCATAACCAAACTGATAAACGGTAAAATAATAGACTGTAGAAATTAATATGCATGCATTGTTTTAATAGATTATTTTATTCTATTAGTTAGATATGTTTTCTCATAAATATTAATTTCTTCGACTTGTTTTTCTTTAAAAAAAAGAACCCAATTCGAAAATGATACAGTTGTAATTATTGTGTAGCAAAAAAAACTCCCCTAGCAATACATCTTCTAGTCACTATGCGGTGAATATTCATGCCCTGAAGGCAAAGATTACCGGATACGTCTAATAACAAAATCCTACAGTTCTTCTTTTAAAAATCGACTCTAGGGCAATCATTTTCTTTCGATATTTCGATAAAAGCTCTTTCTTTCTTCTCTTGAATAAGATAAATTTTGTTTTTCTCTTTATGGTTATGAAGAAAGAAAACATCTCTTCTATTCTATCATGCGTTAATTAAATATTAAATAAGTTAGTGACATCTATAAGCAGAAGCTTTTTTTTTCTAAAGTTTGTGACAGGAAGCACATCAATCGAAATCTACTGAAATATCTTTAGGAAAATCTTTTCGTTTTGATTCAATAAATTAACTAGAATAATATTGATTGTATTTTTCTCTATGGAACAGTAGTTTTCTTTTTTCTTCTTGTCTCCGTTAACAAGATCCTATGTTGATGAACGTTTATAATAGAATATGTGAATTTGTCACGAGATTTCCTCATTTATTCATAGAATGACATTTTTTCATCAATTAAACATAGAAGAAGAAAGATATGACAGACTCATTTGAAAATCACGGATCATTCATTGTCATCAGGCATCTATAATCGAGATTAAACAAGTACTGTGATTTTTTTCTCGTCAACTTCGATATTAACTCAAATCAGTAAAGTTTTGATTTTGAATCAAAAATTAAAATAAATAACTATTATGGAATTTAGGTTATACACTAGAATATGTATGTACTTAACAAAAGTAATCAATTGCTTCGGGATATGTATTAACGCATTAAAGAATATAATGCGCCGAGAACTTTCCAGGGCATTTAAAACAATATTAAGCATTTTTCTGTCTTTTTTTTCTTTTTCAATAGGCAGTAGATTAAAAGAATATTCTCAATTCAATTGCTATTGAAAAAAACCTTAAAAAACATTTCTTTCATATTTTTTGTATTCTACAACTATATACTATTATTTTCGAAATATTCTTCTAAAAATAGACAATGCAAAAAAATAAAATCAGCAAACCAAAAATAGAACGTCTATAATATAACTACTAGTGTCCAATATTGTGCATGCTCTCTCTTTTATATAGGCTAACCATGCACAAGGCGGCACTGTGCCATGTCTGTGCTTCTCGTCAGTGATGATGTTAACGATGATATTCGTAATTATTCGATAGTTAATCAACACGAACATATATATAAACAATTAAAAGAACTTGAATACGATTTATCATCGTCAGTAAGATCATTTTCTATTGTCGAACACTCGTTATCGATATTCGGTAAATCTAATAAATATTATCGACAACACCGCCGGCGGCGTCGTTGTCGGCCGCAGCAGCAATGTTTGGTGCAGCATTTGCTCACCTACATGTTAACATTGCTTATCCTAACCAATCATTTACATTGGCCAGTTATACTTTTATCATTATCATCAATAAAAATAATGTCCACACAAGCATCAACAATAACAACAACAAACATTCTATCATCGTCGACATCGCCGAACCAAACAATATCAAAACGTCCATCATCAGCACCGTCCACAACAAAACTATCATACAAAAAGGGCGAACATCAATGTCTACCGATAAATACAATACGAATCGATCGTATATGTTCAAAAGTATGTCGTGCGCGAAAAACTCCTTTCGAAGACTACGATAATATCAGTCTAATCTTAGCCGATACATATTATTTACCGTTCTGTTTAAATATTTTAAATGAAACTCTAGTCAAAGAAAATTTTTTCACCGAAGCAGCAGAAAACGAATGTCGACAAATATTAACTCAAATTAAAGCATCCGATGACGAAGCTAAAAAAGCCTATACAGAATTTGTTACTTATATGGAAGCAATAGACTCACGATCAGTAGAAAATCGTTATTCAATTATTAATGCCGATTGTGAAGTAAATTTTTAGTGCCGATTTTTTTCTCTCTCTCCCATTCAGTCATTCTTTCTTTGTAGGCAGCTTATCAAACATGGACTTGTTCAGTTAAAATTCCATACTATTATCGAAATCAACGAATACCGCCTTGCCAAACGATCTGTGATGAAGTCGAGCGTGTTTGTCCTACATTTCGACCCAGTGATCGTGAACCATTATTTGCTGGGCAGCCATTGTTCTTTTGCGATGGTAATAAAAAAATTTCTGTTTCTGTTATTTTTTATCATTGGATGAAATTATATTCTGATAGGAGAGCACTTGAAAAAGAACTTCCGTTATAGATGATTTGACTCTGATGATTTTTAGAATACTTGTTCACAAAAAAAATAGAAAAACAAACGGATATTAATGAAATATTTATATGCATATACATCTTTTTTTTTAATATTTAGGAAGTATTGTGACGAATAGTGATTATGGTCAACGGCCTCATTGTTTTGATTCATGCCATTTATCGAATGGTTCACTACGACGCCCTCCTATCTCCTCATCACCATCTATTCTACCAATTTTTGCTGAAAAGATTGTGACTACACCGCCATGTTTTGAAATCGAACTGTTATTGCCTTCTTCATCGTCACCATCCGCACAAATTATATCATCATCATTAATACTTGATGACGTATCGATATTCAATAATATCAGTAATACATCTCTTTCTGCTACAGCTATAACTATCATATCGTCATCTTGGTCGTCTATTATTTTAACTTTTATCTTCGTTTTTCAATGGAATTATGATGACGACTGAGCTTTATTTTAGTAGTTATAGATAGGTAATATGTGTCGATCCTAATCGAGCTGGTTCTCGATGAAAAAAATAATAATAATAAATCTTATGGAATGAGAATAGGGTATTCGGTCGTGTGCACAAATCAAATTCTTGTGTGTGTGTATCTGTTAGTTTTATTTATGTGTAATATTTTTTTTTGGTTTTTTCCTTTCCATTCATTTTCTTTCTTCTCTCTCTTTCGCTCGTTTTCTTTGTACTATTGGAATGCTATGCCATCACTGTATGATCTGCCACTCAACACTGTTGCTGCTGATAGATCTGGAAGGAGAAAAAGGAAAAAAACAAGAAATATTAATTGATACTGTCATTGTTATCTCTTTGAATTCTTTATGTTACTATTTATAGAACGGAACGTGAACTATAGGTCAAAGCTTATATTTAAATAGGAACATTTTAGGACAGATATATGCTATTATCGGCATCTATCGATAAACAGAGAATTGTATGAAGGAAATAGCAAGCGTTAGGATAGGTTAATGAAATGATTCAATCGTTTGACTATTACTCATTGAATTGCCTTAAAGTGTTTCATCATTTTGAAATATAGATACGTTCCCAAGGAAATTCTTTTTTCTATTATTTAAATTTGAAATAAACAATGCATCCTATGACATATTTAATTTTAGATATTCCCACTTGCAGCAATGGCTGAAATAGCTAAAATTGAAAATTCGAAAGAAAATCAAGATGTTTTAGCAACAGCTCAACTTGGCGATATGATTGAATTCATACGAGGCACTTATAGTCATTGGGCAATTTATGTTGGTAAATTAAATTAATTTTCGTTTATTTATTCTTGCTAATCGTTTGATGTAGGAAATGGTTGTGTAATTCATCGGTGGGGTGATGACGATGGCATTGGTAAATCAGTTGGTTTTTGGGGAAATTTATTAACATTTTCGGGCACACAATTTGATAAAGCTACAATACTTCAATCGCCAGTATCTGATGTACTTAAATTAGGTGGAAAAGCTCGAGTTAACAATTATCTTGACAAAAGCACCAAGTATGTCAAGAAAGACAAAGATTAATGATTGACAAGTTGAATCAGTAGAAATCGCGAAGGAGAAAATGTCGTATAGGCATTAAGACGAATCTTTGAGTTTTTCATAACGCTGGAGTCTTTTATTTTCAACAAGAGATATTATTAATCATAGGAAGAAGTTCAACATCACCGTTTGTTACCATATAGTAATCTTTCTATAATCGAGTATATTGAGTGCTAAAAATTCAATCAAAAGAATAGATTCTTTCATCATTCATTAGATGATTATCTTTTATTTCAGTCAATAGGTTTTTTCAACATCTGCTATTTTTCTTCTAGACCATTACCTGTTGAAATTATACTCGATAGAGCTCGTCGTGCTCTCAATCAAGAAGGTTATAATTTAGTATACAGTAATTGTGAACATTTTGCAACTGAATGTCGTTATGGCCAACCGAACAGTCGTCAAGTAAGAGAAGAATCTAGAATTCTAAATGAGAAAGTTTCATCATTCTGTTCCTTTTTTTTAATATTCAGGTACAAGTTGCTGCAGGAGCTTCAGCTGCCGTTGGGATACTTATGGCAGCTACAATGGTGTGTACAGCATTGGTTTTATCTGGTCCTGCAGAAAAAACTGATGAAGAAAAGAATTCGAAAGCAATCCAAACTAAAAAATAATTGTACATTTCCGTTTCTAAACTGATCTATTATTATTATCGGAAATTGTCATAATTGCAGTTTATTCTATAGCCGGTAACCAATTATTTTGAATAAGATTAATTTTATATTTTAATTTGTGTTTTTTGTCTGAAAATATTTGTTAATATTAATAACCAAAATTTTTTTGTTTCGCATCAAATGAATAAAAATCACACATTTACAGTATCAGTGTTTGATATAATATTATCTTCGTTATAAGGATGTACTTTCGTTTTATTAGTTCATGAAAACTTTTATCACGCTTAATTTTTCAATCTGATGCAAAACAAGTCTCAATTTCAGATTTATTACATGCGTCAACTATTTAACGAATGGCTTTTCACGATGAAGTTGAGATAGAAGGTAAAATTTCGACTGATCGAGCGATTTTCAACGATTGCTTTAATTTAGATTTTGAATACGATGAAGAATCTGAAACTTACTATTGGCCGTGCCCATGTGGTGATAGATTTCAGATAACTAAGGTAAAAGCAATCAAATTATAAAATAATGTTGCAAGTGTAATTCTTGTGGAATTAACATGTGATGCGCGATAGAACTATTTTTAACTTTCTAATGACGTATATTTCGTATTTATTATTCTTTCTATTGTTGGCGAAATGCCTGGATTATCATTTTAACGAGCTAGCTAGAAATGCAAAAAATGAGAACGAGATGTTATTAACTCTAAATATCTAAACTACTGTTATTTTTGTTTTAGGAAGAACTCGAAAGTGGAGAAGATACTGCTCGATGTCCAAGTTGTTCACTTATGATTCGTGTTATCTATGATAAGGTGGTTAGAAACAAATGAAATTCTTCTTTTTGTTACTAAATTTTATTTTATTTTTTATTAGGAAGCGTTCATGGAGAAAACATCGAATATAAAGGAAAAAACAAACCCGATGACTGAAAAAGCGACGTGATCACTGAAAACTGTTGATTTGATATTCTATATGATCATTACACAGAATTTGTTTTTGCTTTTAAATACGTTAAAAGTTATGCATTGTTGACATTGTTTTGTGCATATCGAATCAGTATCTTCTACATTTTCTAGAAAAAGAAATGCAAAAACAACACACATAATCTTTACAACTTTGATGGAAATAATTATACGCATAGATGTAACTGCTAAGGATATTTCAGATGTCAAAGTATTATTTAGTCAGATAAATATGCCAATAAGACAAAGGAAATGAAAGATACAAAAACAATTTTACGCCATGCTTTCGAAAATCAATTAAAGACATTTGATAATTCTAATGTATGCCTTGATTATCTACCTGTAGAGCATTCTAATCATGCATCGTAGCGCTTGTCAGGATTCCAGCGGAAAGATTATTTGCAAAGGACGTCCCCGTCGGGATCTATTAGGACACTGCGATGTATAATTCTAATGCATTTTATCCTAATTAAATCTCGCCTATATATACATCAAATGCCACGAATTCAAAGTATATGTTGTTTTGCATAAATAGAAAGTTAACATAATACACTGGAAAATGATAGCTATTTATATTTCACATAAAAATCGATTTGAACCAGGATGAGTACTACCGGAAACATTCTGGTGGTATCCATGCGATTTTTTTGTATATCGTTTAGTAAATAAAGCATTATGTACGTAATCTTTTATTCGTGATCTTAAAATTAAGATTAAACAAATCTATTTAAAATACGAACATTGAAGTGGACTGATATGAATCAATGAGTTCTTGAATATCACTTTAAATATCAAAACAGCAATTGTTTTTTTGCAGAGACTAATCCTAGATATATGGAAGAATTGCAAATGAAATCTGTTGTTCTCATTATTGATATATGTAGATACTGTTCGTCTCGTACAGGCTGTTCGGTATTTTGAGATAGTATTTGGAAACTACTCGTACAATAGTCATCCACTCAGTAGTGCTCGTTTTATTGTGAATGATGACAATTAGATATTTCTTCAAAAATTGCCTCAGAGCTAAATGAAAAATAGTTAATAGATCATATATTACTTTTTTCAAAAGTCTTGAATAATTATTAGAAATCAAACAAATGGCATTACCACTACGACATACTACATTTGCAACGAATTTGAAAGAAAGAAATTTCGAACAAGACAAGATGAGCAGTTATCAAACGGCACTTGAATTGAATATTAACTCTGAATTGTGAATGTCATTCGTGTAGATTATAGATGTCAAAATTATTCACATGTATTAGAACAAAATGACAAAACGTTAACTAAAACAATAGACCGCTTCAATATTCAAAATTACTTTTCATTATTAGAATGCATCAATGCTCAAAAATACGAAAATAAAGCAGATGGAACTTCCGAAATTCAACATGACATGATTAAAATTATGTTGGAGCGAATTTTTTAAATCGAGTTTTGTGCGTATTATTGAGATAAATACATTAATATACAGAACACTGCTTAAAGGAAATAATTAGGAGAAAATCATAACAATGAAATTCAAATGTAATCACTTATCTACTTTTCGTATGAATTATCTGCAATTAAAAAGGTTTCTTCGGGATATTTACACATGGTTATATACGATATTATTTCTTCCTTCAAAACTAGCGGCTGGTTAATTTTAGAAACAATTATCTATCATTAATGAAAATGATAAAGCAAAAAGTACTATTTGAAAAATAGATGGAAACCGAACCAGAAAGAAAGATAATTTAGAACGTTTATTTACCATTTAACAGTAATTGAAATAAATATTTTCGGTATGCTGATTGCAAAAAAATTTTGTTAAGGAAAAATTTTCATTGAAAACAGCACTCTGCGTCGATATGTAAGAGAAGACCTTGTATTTAATTACTATGTAAAAATGTTTGCGCTATTTTTGCATGATGCCTACTGTGCGTAAAATAAGATATCAATCCATTGAAATGCTGAAATTTATCATTTTTAAACAGAAAGAGTTGTAAAAAATTTCACTAGAACTTTGGATTTTCTCATAGTTTCTTCACTAGGGTTCTTCAAATCCTATCGATTTTTGCTTAAAGCATATACATCAAAAGTAAAAAAGTTATGAACATTACGAAGAATTTCCTAATCTTTGATAATTGCAGAAATCTACTGTAAGACTTGTAAGAAATTACTTTTCTAATGTTAGAGTATGGCCAGATAAAGTCATTTTAATATAGTAATTGTGATTGTTATTTTTAATTGAAAAACTTATGAAGTTTTATAGCTAGCCTTTGTGATGGATCATATGGATTTTGACCGAAAATGTGAAAGTTTCTGAACTTAAACATGTTTGTCTACATAAACAAATTAAAAACTGATCTCTCATCTTGAAAATATATATCATGGTAAACGTGTAGTATAGGTTAAAAGAAAATGATTTATTGGTAAATTTCTGCCAAATCGATCAATTAGTTACTGATGATTTATTGGCTAATATGCTTTATAAAACAGAAATCGACAAATGACGATGAAATGAAAAGGAGTCATACAATATTGCGCCGTTCTCCTATGTATTATATTTAGCCATGATGAAAACATGACTTTTTATTTATGACTTTAGAATATTTATTATCGTAGTCATTGAATTTCGTACGAAAGTTTTTCATCCACGAAGCCTGACAATCAAATATCTAACATTTTCTTTTTTCTTTTCGATTGTGCGAACAATCAGTCACATGTTCTAATTATTCATGGTTGCTAACTCTAATGGTGATTGTTAAATTCTAACAACAAATGGATAAAATTCGACCTAGTTACCTATGTTTTGCTTCATTCTCAATACATTCATATATTTTAAATGTTTTATCTACAATGAAAATTCTAAATAAGATTCAAAATGTATGTGAATAATTGCAATACAATGTGTTCGCGGTCGATAAAATAGGTTTCTATGAGTAATGTTTGACCACCAAAACGGTATCCTTAGTCATCGTTACTTTGTAAAGCACCATACTACGCACACGTGCAGACTAAATACCCTGAGAAATTTTCTATTGTAAACAAGCCCTTTTAACTGGTATTGTGCACATACGCCCAAAAAGATGAAAGCGAAACGCAAAACACGAACAATAATTAAAAAAATATCATTAGTGATAGCTTTTGTATTTTCGATATGATAGAATACCGACCCGGTGTTGGAATAAATACTTGGAATCCTTGGAGACCAATTGAATTAGTGGTAATGGTTATTATTGCTGCGTCTGTGGTTGTCATTGGTTTAGCGTTGGGTTTAGGTTTGGGTATTGGACTAAATAATGATAGTAAAAATTTGACTTCCATCACACTTGCAACGAACCAAGCAACAACAGTAACAACAACAACTACAACTATAACTACACCTACAACTACTAGTACAACAACTACAACTACACCTACAACTACTAGTACAACAACTACAACTACACCTACAACTACTAGTACAACAACTACAACTACAACTACTACCACATGATAGTAACAGTAGCTGGCGGGAATTAAGCAGCCTACAAGAATAGATTAAAAAATGAGCATTTTACATCGATTTGTTAGAACTTCTATTGGTCGCTGTTTCGGATAATTTATTGGTTTATTCTTTACATTGTAATAACTCGCTCTCTTTTCTCAATAATTCAACTGATTCCTTATTATAGTATAGGTTGTTTTTAAAAGAGATCTCAAGTATTTGTTGTTTTTTTCATGTTTTCCAGTGTCGTCCCTGTATTTTCGGCGTAATTTATGATGCACTGAACTTTGAAATAAATACTTGGGAATCTTGAAATTCAGTGGAATATACTGAAGATCGTATTATCGGAGCTTCTCTCATTTTACGAAGCTCACCATTCGGTTTACGTTTGCATATGGGCTGTTCCATGGGAATTAGAGCCCGTCGAGCCCAAGAATTTTTGAGCTCGGATCCCGACCGACACCCGGTGAATCAGAATTTTCAGACCCGAGCCCGTCCGATTAAAAATTTCATACCCGAACCCGGACCCAGGCCCGATACATCAAAAGCTTTTGAACCCATACTAGTGGCGACACTAATTTTGAAACTACTCTGATGAAATTATTCAATTTAATGTAACGTACCTTACCTTTTATCTTTGAATTTAAATGTAAATTTAAATTTAAAGCTAAATCAAGCATACCGGAAACTTTAACTTTCTAGAAAGTCAAAATTTAAACTATATTTTTCAGAAAACAAAATTTCACTAAATCATTCTTTTGTTAAAATTTGTTTTTAATGGAAAAAAATAGTTCTAAACAAAAAAAAGCACTTTTATAAAAAAATTGATTTGAACTTTAACTCTTCGCAGCGAGAGTTTTAAATATGCTTCCCTTTACTTGAAAGTAAATTTAAGCTGGCATTCTTAACAAATACCTGGTTTACGAATCAAAAATAGATCTGGAATGAAAGGTGCTCTTAAACTTGCAAACACATTTTGTCGAGCTCACATATATTTTCGAAGAAAATGATGAGTGTAAGTTTAAAAGCGAGATTTTTACGGCTCTCCACCATCAACCCTCCCCATTGCATGTAACCACAATGCATTACAAACATTGGCAGGCATGCAACAACTAAATAAGACATTTTTTTCTACCGATCGATTGTCTTGCAGTACATTTTATACTTTACGTATTGTGTATTAGTAGAATTAGACGAAAAATCATATGTTAGTTCCACATTTTAGCCCCGAAGGGAGCTGCGCTAACAAACTTTTCTAATCGAATCTGGTGATCACTCCGAAGATACAACATACTTCTTTCCTTTTGTGCTAGACAAGTAGTACATTTTACATGTTCTTTCAGCTATCCGATAAAGATTTTTAAATAATTATTTAATGACGGTCTCTGATTCCTAGCGATGCGCTAGTAGTGTGCAGCGTTGGATGGAATAAGGAATGAATGAATGGATTAAAGTGTTTATTTTGTTAGATAACTTGACCATTAACAATATCTTTTTCGTTGCCATCTAGTTTTGTAGAGTTCGTTTCGTTGATCATAATTAGTATAAAAACAAATTAAAATTCATAAGCAAAAAAAACGTTTTATAACGAAAATACTAAAACTTGTTTTTTTTTATTAGAAACATCATAGGTTTTTCAGTATTTTAGCCCTAGCACAGTTATTTCTAGAGATTTTTGTTTTTGAAAAAAAAGTATACCGGAAGTTTCAGTCCAATTAGCTCTACAATATAAGATAGTTTCGAATTACTCGAAGTCATTTTTCAATGATTTACTTGAGTAAATGCGCCAAAAAAGTATGCATCTTTACCTAAAAATGACTACATTCTGCTGGAATCTAAAATATAAGATTTTGTAGAGTGGAACGCGCTCTACAAAACCCTGTATTTCGTGTTTCAAATACGGTCAGAAATCTTGCTTGAGTGACGTCACAACATTAATGAGTATCATGCACCATAGGGAAAAAGCAGTTATACGTCTGATGATTGATCAATTTTGTCTTTAAGATCTCAGATTCAGAATCGGAATCGATGGCTATCTCTTGGGAAATTATATGAAACTAATATAACTAAGTCACTAGTTTCTATGAAATGCAGTTACATCAATATGGTGTCTCGCGACATCGCCTTATATTGAAATGCTTTGATATTATGTTAGAGGTCACATAATATCTGCATAATAATAAATAATAATTGAAGTTATTGTGGAGGTCTTCTCACGTTCAAGTCCAATTATTACTACTAACGGTTGGAATCATCCATCACTTTGATAATTCTTTTTGTGGAATATACCCTTGCTAGTGAGATATATTCATCAGATACTTCTAAAGATGCCATCTAAGAAAAAGTTGGTGTCCTCATTCATCACATGCTCATTGTACGCGTTCTGGTTCAAAACCAACGCATCGTGAAGGTCGTAAGTTCATGGACGCAACGCAAGTCGAAATAGTCAATCGTCAAATAATGTGTAATTCACATTGAGCTTCCGTAATGTTGAAAGACGGTGATAAGATGTGCCAAAGATGTTATGAAGCTTTATCAAATGTCCTAGATGATTCATTCGATTTGGACGCTAGGTATATAGCATTTGAAGATGAAATGGAGAAAATTGTTTCACCATGTCGTGAAGAAAGTATTCTTGGAAAGCAATCAATAAAAGAAGAACTCAACGCTGCTTTTCATTTTTGTTTGTTACCTAAAGCGTGACAATATCGAGAGAGTCACAGAAGATTTGCCTACCGAGGTTTGGAATAAAAATAAGGGTACAACTTTTCTTTTATTACAATAAACTCTATCATACTTTTGTCGATTAGGACGTATCAAAGGTACCCGAATGTTTCATTAATTTGATCCACAAAATGATGGCACCATTTTGTGCCGAAAAACGTCAAACTCCATAAACACTTTCGCATTTCATCTTTGAAAAAAATCAGAAAAACGAATAAAAATTGTTTTCTTCGCGACAAGTGAACACACTTCTATAGATTTCTGTCTTGAACTTTTAAGCAAGGCTTCTGGTCGTATTTGAAAAACGGAATATAGGGTTTTGTAGAACGCGTTCCTCTCTACAAAACCCTATATTACAGATTCTAGCAGAATACAGCCATTTTTAGATAAAAATGCCTAATTTTTTTTAGCGCATTCGCTCAAGTAAATCATTGAAAAATGGCTTTGGGTAATTCGAAACTATCTTATATTGTAGAGCTAATTGAATTGAACATTTCGGTATATTTTTTTTATCAAAAAAATGTCTAGAAGTAGCTGCGCTAGGGCTAAAATACTGAAAAACCTGTGGTATTTCTAATAAAAAAACAGTTTTAGTATCTTCACTATAGAACGTTTTTTTACTGATGAATTTTAATTTGCTTTTATACTAATTATGATCAGCGAGACGAGCTCTACAAAACTAGATAAAAACGAAAAAAATGAATACTTTGTGTTCTTTTTTGGTTGAGCTACCATGGAACAGCCCATTCTTGTTTACGTCATGATAGTGATAATTTTACTGTAATTTGTTCTCCAAATCAGAAATCAATAAAATGCCACGGATGTAGCCGATTTCTTGAAACAATAGACACTCCAATTCGTTGAAAACTTCATACTCGACACTCGCTTCATACGATCTGTACGATCATATTAAATCTATATCTTGATCACCATAATCATATCTCCGTGATCTTGCACATCTATCCTCTATCTATATTTGTATCTTAACTAGGGTGGGCCATTCTTTTTAACGGAACTTAATTAATGACATTAATTAATGACTTCCATTAGCCATTAATCTTAATGTTTAATGTTTTCTGAGAAAAACTTAATTCATTAATATTAATGTCAATGTTCTTGAATGATGTTAACGATTAACGAAAACATTCACCATTAGTATGAATAGTAATGTTTTCGTTAATATTAGGGATTATATTTTCATTAATCATTAATATTAATGTTAATGTTTTCATGAAAACATTAATTTTTCCGTATTACTGAATTAGGTTTTTCTAAGGAAACATTATCAACAATTATTAATCAATTAACTGGTCTTAATAGCTAATGTTTTCTCCGAAAGTGTTAATTACTTAATATGGAAAGTTAATGCTTTCATGAAAACATTAACTATTAATATTAAGGCATTAATTTTAATGAAAACATTAACATTAATATTAATGATTAATGAAAATATAATCCCTAATATTAACGAAAACATTACTATTCATACTAATGGTGAATGTTTTCGTTAATCGTTAATATCATTCAAGAACATTGACATTAATATTAATGAATTAAGTTTTTCTCAGAAAACATTAAACGTTAATATTAATGATTAATGAGAAACATTAACATTAGTATTAAATTAATGTTAATGGCCCACCCCTAATCTTAACCATAACCTATTCCCCTAACTTAGCTTATCCCCTTGACGTTAATATACTCTCTTGTCTGTGTTTATCCCCTAACATAGCATTTGGATTATATAGATAAGAGTCTTTAAACAAAAGACAATTAATAAATAAGTATTTTCTTATTGAATTTGAACTACTCATTATTTGAATCATTTAGAATTGTATTTGAAATCGAGAATATTTCAAGAAGTGTTTTTGGAACATTGTTTGTAAGAAAACAGAATGTGTTGTCGAAAATCTTTAAAAAGGTTATAGCTATTCAGGCTCGATACTTCTATCTCCAGTACGAACGAGTTGTTTTCTTAATTTTCATTCTAGAGATCATAGCTACACAAAATCTTAAATTTAATTACGTATGTTTATGAAGAAATCATGAAAATTAGCGACGGGCTAGATGAATGATATGCTTCGCACTGCATTAACTATAATAATAGTCAGAGTATTCACTGTTGTGCTAACTATGGAAACAAGTGTTACAAAAAGTCAGATGTGTATATGGGTTCTTTCATTTGAATTTATATATACAAAATCGAACCAATTTAAATTAAAAAAATAAAGTAGCTGATAGTGGCAAGGTGGTCCGAGTTCGGCGCGACTAGAATCAACTTTTATTTTCTTCTTGAAATCCGAACTAAAACGTTTGATATTTCGCTCATCACTACGAAAAACTCATTTTTATCCGAAATTTTTGTTCTTCTCGAATATTGACTTTAGTCAGTAGATCAGATTTTTTGAATATGTAGATAAACAAAATTTACAATAGAAATATGTTCAAGCATAATGAATAATTAATTAAAGCTAGATTTGCAGATTTTCTTCAGAACATCGTAGTCGGTGAGGTCGGGTTGTTGATGTAATTGTCGTCGAATTAGATGAGGAAAACAGGGTAGACCAGTTAGAATCGGCTGAATAAAATGTATGTGAAGTGAAACAAGTTGTTACAGGTGATCGATCAACAAATAAATGAGTTCAACAATGAGTTGTGTAGAATCATTTTTACGATCAATAATATACGGTGGTTGGAATTCTGAACCATCATATGAATCACAGATCTTAAACGAGGCCGTTTTCAAATTACATAATTGATTAGAAAGTAATGCGCAAAACATGTTGAGCAATTCACAATCCCAATCTACTATCTATCATTTATACGAAGTGATTTTATCTAATAAATAAATGATTTTTTTTTGTTTTTAAGAGAAATAAAATTTTATATTAAATTCACAGGCATATAATAATGATTTTCTTCTAACGTTGACTTTGAATAACTTTAGAAAAATGGTTCCCTTAAAATAAAATATCAATATTAATCCAAACAATAGTTTTAGACAAAACAATTTCAATTGGACATCTCTTTTAAAATAAACTTTCATACTTGATCATCGGCACGAGTTCCCAGATTATCAGTATTGTGTAATATCGCTTGCAATAGAATACCAGTTTCACCACATATTTCCAGAGTATTTACATTATAAGCCATTCGTAATGTTGACTTTAATTCAGCTGCTTTAACAAGACCATCTCCATCGATTGTAATTTTTGTTATTAATGACCCGTGAACCAATGACATTATAGAACTTTTGCAATTATCGACAACTGAAGTACAATTATTGTCTATAGAGTCAAAGAGGAATAATTCATTGACACGTGAACATAAGTCTGCTGCATTAAACGACATTGTAGCCAATCTAAATAGAATAAAGGCGAGGAGATTTCAATAAATCTTTCATAGATGAAAACACTGTTCGAAATAACTTTGTAGATTCTCAGTAAGTAAATATGATGAGAGTGCTGAGCCATTAAATTGTAAAGTATATACCATAAAACAATGATAATTATCACCAAATAATCGAATTATTACATTTCTGCATAAATACTTTTGGTCACTGTTGATGTGTGAATGGAATTTGAAAAATGTCTTGAAAATGAATTTTTAGTCGTCCATGATATGGAACGATAGATTAAGACTATACGTTGCCGATAGTTTGAGTCGATCAATGCATAATTGCTGAATCGTATAATCTGATATAATATGTATCTTCTGTTGTTGTTAGTGACAAATAAGTAAGTTGACCAAACACAGATGATAAAAGTGCAACCGCTCGATGAAAACCATTGTTATCCGGGCAATCTAGACACATACGAGATAGATACAAAAGAAGGTGAGCATCGATAGCGGTAGGCAATCTAAATAGCTTCTTAGTATTGATAATTTTATAGATTAGATTATGTAACTTACGGGAGTTTATCAAACGTATTGCCCTCATTCATTGCTGAATCTTCTACGCCAATAGAAAGATTTCCAATAAATGGTATACACTCTAGTAAACGTTTTAGAAAAGATGATGTGTTCATACCAAGAGCCAATGTACGAAGATGAGCTGTATGCAATATAGTTGGTAAAATTATTAGTGTTGTTGTTGTTGAATATTTGTCTTGTTGATTTTGATCTTCATGAAAAACATTAAATGGAAGTCGACAGATTGTTAGAAGAGGTAATTGAGAATAAATCTTTCATTAGTATACAAAAATAAACTTATATTACTGATAATATGACTTAGATCATAAGCGCAAGTAGTAGTAGTAGTAGAGATAACTTGATATCGTATAGACATAGAAAGCGCTTGACAAAATTTTCGTTCTATATGTACTGATAGTAAAACAATTTTCTACGTTTTGTATAAGATGTCATCATCATTCAATAACAAAATTTTGACAAAAAACTTTTTTGTTACGACTCGTAGAGGGGTGTCCAAGGACTGAGGATTAGGAACTCCTCATCAGTTCCCCTACAGTTCCTTACGTACTAAAGGTAAAAATATGGAATATTCACGATAATTTTTGTTCTTACACTCCTTTTCACTTGCGAAATTGTGAGCATCAATGATTTCATGCAAAAGTTATTTTTAAAACAGCAATACCGCGACTTTCATGGATGGTGGAACTGTGAGAGAACCTATGGTTGATTCCTATTTCCTCTAGAAATTATCACAGCGACGCTGACAATTCCTCGGCACATTAGAAATTCCTATTTCTCAGTCCTTGGGCACTGCTGACAAAAAAGAAAAGATTTTTCATAAAATTAACAGCTCATTTCATAGTCGACCTTAGCTGATATGCCCTGAAGACATCCTGTTCTGTTCTGTGACGGAGTTCATCTTGGCGAGTTTGTTTATTAAAACGGATGTTTCTAGATAGCACAGCCTATTCAGTTTAGTTCGGAAAAGTATTAAAGCATATAGCGTTACTGGCCACATAACTATCTACTATGATATCATAACTTTTGTTTATGTTTTCATTCGAATTGTTTTACAATCAAGAAATAAATAGATGCGGAAACATCGGATTTGCATCCGATTGTTATGTGTACTGCAAAAACTGAGTCGATTTATATATGTTGCGAATAATACTGAGAAAAAAAACTTTTTTGAAAAAATCCCTGTACCCCCCTCAGGGATGGTCTGGTCAATAATGACAATTTTTTCGATAACTCAGCCATTTCTTGAAGGATCCTTCTCATCGTCGAACTCGACTGAGATATTAACGGTATCATTTTGTGTACAAAATTTCAAGACAATTGGATGAGGCTTTCAAGAGTTATCGTGTTAACGGCCGGCCGGACACACTGACCGATTCTATAGTGTACTCACTTTTGTTTTTTGAGTACACAAAAACAATATAGGATATGGTGGGAAGCATGAATCGAGTTTTTGAACTGAAAAATTGAAAATACAAGGGAAAATGGATCATCGACTTTTCGTCCTATACTTCTTGTCTGTGAATTCTGAACAGCAGTTTCTGATAGAAAACAATTCGAACAGATTAAAAGTAGCCATGGTAGAATTCATTCTATTCTTTCTTATTAACATATTCTTAAAAAACGATTGATCATCTCTATGGGTCGTTTTCTTAGATTAGCTGTAAATGAAGAGACTATTGTCAAACATCTATTTATGACGTCATTTTAATTGCCTCGAAGGTCGAAAACGATCGATTCCATTCAAAATCGTGAATATTCGAATGATATTTACGAGCGAATACAGTGCCAAATAAAAAATTGAAAAACATATTAGAAGTTGGATTTCAAAAATTTAACTGTTAGTTTGAATGACTTTTCTCTGACTTTCGGTTCACAAGATCATCGCGTCTGAAAATTACGAAAGAGATAGGTACGTATTAAGTAAAACATAACTTGCGACGAACTACATTAAAAACATGAGAAAGTCTTGACTACATAAACGATTCTAATCAGTTATCAAGTTGATCATTCACTCGTTTTAAATATTCTTCTCGGTTTTTTCAAAAAAAAATCGGCTTGTGTACTTCATTTTCAATAGACTTATATGTTCATAATGTATGTGAATAATTGCAATATAATGAGTTCGGGGTCGATAAAAAAGGTTTCTATAAGTAATGTTTGGCCATGAAAACGGTATGTTTAATCATCGTTTCTTTGTAGAGTATCGTATTATGCACACGTGCAGACACAGCATCCTCACTTTTTTTCTATCGTAAACAAGCGTTTTAAACTAATATTGCATACACAAACACATATAAAGGTAAAGATGAAACAAAAAACGCGAGCAATAATAAAAAAATATCATTAGTGATCGCTTTTGTATTTTCGATATGATAGAATACCGACCCGGCGTTGGAATAAATACTTGGACTCCTTGGAGACCAATTGAATTAGTGGTGATGGTTATTATTGCTGCGTCTGTGGCTGTCATTGGTTTAGCGTTGGGTTTAGGTTTGGGTATTGGACTAAATAATGATAGTAAAAATTTGACTTCCATCACACTTGCAACGAACCAAACAACAACAACATTACCATCGAATACAACAACAACGATAAGAGCTACTAATACAACAACTACAAACACAACTACAACAACGACAATAACAACAAATATTACTACTACTACTGCCACTACTAACAATACTATAACATCGACAACAATGACTGCAACAAATAATACTGCTACTGCTACTGCTACTGCTACTATTACTCCTACTACTGCTACTATTACTACTACTGATACTGCTACTATTACTACTACTGATACTGCTATTATTACTACTACTGATACTGCTACTATTACTACTACTGATACTACTATTACTATTACTCCTACTAGCAATACTGTAACATCGACAACAGCGACTGCAACAACTACTACCGGGATAGCTACGGTAACAGCAGCTGCCAGGAAATAAGCAGTCCACAAGAATAGATTGAAAAACTGAGCATCTCACATCAACTTGTTAGAACTTCTGCTGGTTGCTATTTCGGATAATTTATTGACTTATTTATTACATTGTAATAACTCGCTCTCTTTTCTCAATAATTTAACTGATTCGTTAGTATAGTGCAATTTGGTTTTAAAAAAGATCTCAAGTATTTTTTGCTTTTTTTTAAATATCCGAGATTGTTGTTCGTCTACTTTCGCCGTGCTTTATTATGCACTTAACTTTGAAATACATACTTGAACATCTTCAAATTCAGTAGAAATATTCCGTAGATAGCATTATTCGTGCTGCTTTACTCACTCTAACTGTGCTAAGTTTATCATTTGGTTTACGTTTGTGTACTTGTTTACTTCATGATAATGATAATTTCACTGCAACTTGTTCTACAAATTATAAATCAACCCAGGACGAGCTTTACGACGTCCGTATACGGTGAAATACGGGCCGTATACGGCCGTTTTCTGCCGTATACGACGGTAAATCGGCGTATTTGGCCGTATTACATGGCTCCGTAATACGGTGAAATGCGATCAAAAACGACCGTAAAGCGCCGTATTTCGCCGTATACGGCACGGAGATTTACGATCGTAATACGGAGCCATGTAATACGGCCAAATACGCCGATTTACCGTCGTATACGACCGTGTATGTCCGACCTGGGAACAGAAAGCTAGACATATATGAGCTTTGCCGCAATTAACCGACGAATAGTACACATGTAAATAAATAATCGTGCTTGCGCAACTCTGTCACAATAACAACAGCGTGAAAAATAATCAGTGTACCTAAATGAATAATAAAATCCTATTGGTTATAAGGTAGCGGTAATTCAAAATTTGAGCAAATTTGATTTTTCGATGTTTTATATATGGTTCGNCCCCACCTCATCCCTTTTCTTAAAAAGCTTTTGCTGTGGTGGGGTACAGGTGAGTTTTTCTCTGGGAAAAATTTTTTCGTAAAAGATATCCGCATGATACAGTTTTTTGCGCTAATTCCGAATATTACATTTATTTAACAAGGAAATGAAATTTCAATGGTAAAATTCATTAAATACATGCAAATTTATTATAAGAATATGCCTGTTGCAGAAAATCGGATTTTTTTAAGCACAGGAATAACTTTTCCGAAAAAGCGATTCATACGTTTCTTGTCCTTTCTGAGGCGATTCTATTCAAATACTAAATATGACTCCAGATATCTTTTAAAAAAACTAGATAGATTTATATTCTACACTAGCGGCGCCTATGTATCGTCATACATGGACAGAGAAAAAAAATTGATTGTGGTATACTTGAGTAAGATCGAAATAAATGTTTTTTACTTAGTTTTTTATGCTAATTAAGAAAACAATACTTTCAGGACTACAATAGTAAGATAAAGTGAAACTTATAAACCATTTATCAAATTTTAACCGATTTTCACACAGAACAAAATGATCAAGATATTCTGATTTTTTTTTGTAGATGAAACAATTAGAATTTTTTTAAATACATTTTCTCATCCAGTTTGATGAGCTCTATCGAACCATATATAAAACATCGAAAAATCAAATTTGCTCAAATTTTGAATTACCGCTACCTTATTATGCTTTGATTAGTTTTGATAATATTTTTTCTCTTCAAATTGATCGTTTTCACTATTTTTATGTTTTCAATAAATTCTGGTATCTACGACAATTCGTTCCGAACCTTAGTATGAAGTGTTTTATGTAGCTCGATGGATACGATGATAAAATATCACTTCCAGTTTGAATGATTCTTCTACCGTGTAATATTTGCCTGTGCTCGGAAGAGAAAACAGTGATTTTTGGTGAATAGTAGGATTGAATCTTTGTTCTTTTTCAAAAAAAACAACATTGTACCATGAAAATTCTTGATGGTATTTGTATGAAAATATTGTATGGAAAACGATGCCGTATCTACATGTGTTTTCAGAGATTTAACAAGACGGACATGAGTAATTATCACAGAGCACTTCAATTTTAGCTTTAAAACTTCATCATAATCCCATACAAATGTGTTGAATCTTGTTGTCAATGTCATTCTTAAGTGTAGTAGACGTTAAGAATCTTGAAATGTACTATCAGAATATGACAGAGCAGCAGATCAAGTTATAGATATTTCGAGAGATCATATTGTTAGTATAAATGATTGACAAAAATTTTATTGAAATCGCAAAATAAATAATACAGCATCTGGAATGCAAAATATTATTTTGTTTAAAATAAATAAATTTTAACTTATTCATAAAAAATAAAACACATCGATCTCTACGAAAAAATAGGCAGACACTTGTTAAATGCGACTGCTACAACAGAATTGTAATGCATCGCATATTGATTATTTTCAAATCGATCTACCTTGCAGTATCGGCGAAAAAAATCGATATAATCGACTATAAGAAAAAGATTGATCGATCAAATGATTCGTGTTTGTAAGGAAAATCGTAAAATAAAATATTTTAGTTATGGTGTCAATGCTATGAAAGTGAACCATGTTAATTGCAATGATAAAGTCAAGTACAAAGATGGTATCAGTATTTTTGCTACTACTCCATGTCATACATAAATAAATGTATTGAAATAAATGGCAATAACTTTTACGATATGGTAAAAATGAGCGTGAGGTTGTTACGTTACAGGATATTTGATTTCGCTATTGTAAGAGAATACGATCAAAGGCTGTGTGACTCTCTATGAGCGACAGTATTGATCAGTATTTTTTAACATTTTAAACTTCAGTATACTTCCATGTTGTGAAGAATTTGTTTGTATTATCTATAGATATTGATTACCTGTTGAACACATTAATCGATAACTGTTGTCAAGATCTACGTAGTCACGTTTGCTTGCTATTCTTATTGCCTTGCTGATAAGGCCAACAAACATGAATGAGCGACCTTCTACAGCATTAATTTTTACTGTCTAATGGAAAGTAGTTGTTGCTGATTGTTATCAACAATTGTTATTGCTCGATAGGCCATATCCATAAGTGCCTTTCTTGAGAATAAGAAAACTGGCGGATCTGAGAACATCGATTTTTCAGAATTAAATAAATGGTCACGTATTGCAAACAGGTTCTATAAATGAATACGATCTATCGATAGCTTAGGTTGATTCTCTCGAATAATTCATTTTTAATGGAATTATATTAACCAGATTCTGTTAAAACGTAAATATTACGAGCAAAAATAGATCCTTTCTCATTAATCATACTAACCATTTAATGGCCAACAGCAAACAATAGATTCGATACGTTTACAATTTAATGTGGAGAATTGCATTTGAAACATATAAAATAAATATTGTTCTGCAAAAGGAAACATCATTATCAAGTCTATGTAAGAATCTTCGCGTGTACGACTATGAACTCACCAATATTGAATTGAAGTAAACATGTCTTTGCTACTCCTGGTCTATATTTAAGAAATGATTTTGCACATTCAGATAAATCAATAATGGTTATAAGAATTAGCTCGAAATTTGAAAGAAAATAATTCATTGGCAATTTTTTACTAAATAGATCGATTCATTTCTAATGAATATTTTAAAATTGCGATTTAGAAAACAGCGATCAACACTACTCAGATATTATTGCATCTTACTTCTATGGATTATATTTAGCGATAAGAGCAGCACGTGTTTGATTTTTAACATATGATAGGATTTTTTTTTCTGATAATGTGAATTGCTAATCGTAAGATTCAGTGCTTATGAGGATGCAGAGAAATAAATATTTCGCGTATCATGATTGTATCTATCAATCGCGTCAATTAATTAGTTCCCAATTGTTTGTTCTTTAGACAGAGCAAATTATTAATCGTGTTTTGTAAATTTTTCACATTTTTTAACTAAAACTCTGACTGTTAAATTTCAACTACAGCTTGAAAAAGTAAAATATACTTGTTTGCTCACACTTTAGCCCTGTTTGCACACATTTATTGCGTAGAAAAATTTCACTTGTAACTGAAATTAAGCAAGAGTCGCAACATAAGTAACTAGTTGCAGTGAAATCCAGAAGGGAAAGCTAAACTTTTCTACTGTACCGTTCTATCAGGATATGTGAAAATTATTCTCTACAATTTTTTACCTATTATAGATCTACTATCGATGTATGTCGAAAGCGTATTAGTTTGAGTCGATTTCATATCAGTCTGTCTATCGATACTGACTAATGAACTTTTCGTAATATATCGATACTAAAAAATCTGGAGGTATAATGGTGCATCAGGATTTCCATTCTTTGTGCACTTATACGAAAAGAATTCAAATTCATATACTTGTAAAAGATATTTATAGTAAACTTGAATTAGTTATGTTATTGTAGACGACAATATTGGTATGCCTAAGAATGTGGCGAACTATAAGTGAACTGTACGAGTTTTGATTTGCCTGTGCTCCAGATTGTGATGCAACTTCGATCGGAAAAAGTCTTTCGTATGAATGTTATTTTGATATAGGTATGGCGATGTTTATCGCTCTACCTTTTTGCAACAGTCTGTTTATCATACCTATAGGCAATGTACAGTTTCATTTTTCCTTTAGAAAATCATCATTGAATGATACTATACAGACATATAAAGGTAGAGACGAAGGTCACATCATGAGTAGTGTAAAAAATATATTATAGTAAACTATTTCTCTATTCTCGACATGATAGAACACAGAGCTGACTTTGAAACAGATACTTGGAACCCGTGGAAGCCACCAGAACTCGTGATAATTGTTATTGTTTTTGCATCTCTGGTTATCATTGGTTTAGCATTAGGTTTAGGTTTAGGCATCGGCCTAAATAATGATAGTCAAAATTTGACATTTCCTGTATTGATAACGGAACCTTTAGTAGTAACTACAAATACAACGAACGCTACAACCTCAATAGCAACAACAACAACAGCAAGTACCATTCGTACGACATCCACAACAACAACAACAACAAGTACCATTAGTACGATATCCACAACAACAACAACAAGTACCATTAGTACGGCATCCACAACAACAGCAAGTACTATTAGTACGACATCTGCAACAACAGAAACAAGCACTGCTACTACGATATTCACAGCAACGCGAACACCCACTACTACTAGTACAACACCTACAACAATAGCGACTGGGAGAAAATAAGCTGTGCACAACAATGGATCATAACAGAGAACCATTACAGTCGACATTGTAGTACTCAACGATATTGGCCTCTGGTGGTCAGTTTATTAATTTCCTTTTTTCCATTGTAAAAATCATTTATATGATATCGCATTTTCGAACCATGATATGTGTAAGAACGTTTTTATAAAATCTTAGGTTATTGTCTATTTTATAGCTCGATCGACCGTCCCTTCATTTCGAATAAGAATCAGCGTACAGGTATTGTTTTCAAACGTCTTATTGGGCCTCTTGAAGTTCGTAGTGCTTTTACCATCTGCAATTTGTCTGGGATAGGGAAATCTTCTTCTTCCTAAATAAAACCTCGGGCCTTGGTTTATATTCATATTCAACTTTTGATTTAGTTTGTGTTGAGCTTCACGTTTAAATACAGAAACATGGACTTCTTTTTTTCAAGATGAATTAGTTCGATTTTATTCCATAATGCAAAGATAAAGATTTGCACGGCAACAATTCAATAATTTCCCTTGCACAGGATATACATAAGAAAAGTGTTTCATCTGCATGCCTCTTTAGAAAACTCATTTCGAATACACTTTTGCACATGAACACGGTGCGCATTTGTTTGCCAATGAGTATTGAGAGTTAAGAAACAAGGAAAATGAGATCTCTTCGAAATTTGTCCAATTCCAGGCACAGTCATCTAGTCTTGATGGTACTATACCAACGAGTCTTTGGTACTATTTGACTATGAGCAGGACTATAACAGTTCGCAGTTCAGTTCAGTTCAAACGAACTGTTATAGTCCTAACTATGAGATATCTGTTTATTTACAGAAAACACGTTGATTTCTGCGCAATAGGCATTTCACTAGATTTATTAGAAAGTAGGTTCTATTTACGACTTTAACTTTGTTCAATCAAAATTAATGAAAAAGAACAGAGAAAAGTTTTCGTTTAGAAAAAACGGTTCTTGAATAATATCTTCAGAATTTGCATGTTACTTTTCAAATGCTTCTAATTTTACGCAAAACAATTCCACGTATAACCAATAATAATGATTAGCAGATCAACGTTTTGGATAACAACGTATATTTCACATGTAAACTAAGAAATTCAAGCGATTCTTATAGAAGTTCATCAACAATTGTGATGAGTTGCCGGTAGTCTCAATGCCTGTCGAATGAAGATGATCGCGACACAAAATAGGATTAGTATAATATAGACGGTTGATATTGAATTGTATGCAAATGGAGTTACTAGATCATGAACGTTGAGGTATGAACCAATGATCGAGCGTAACAGAGTCTCAATAGAACAACAATCTAGAAACATATTTCACATTCAAAAAAACGTAAACTATGTTGAATAAAATTTCAAAATATAGCGGTGGCAACATTGCTATATGTGCATAATAGTGTTTTATCAATAACTTCGATCGTATGAGATATTCAGAACGTTGATATCAAGCGAGAATTGAGAATGGTAAGAGACACTAAGAAGAAAGACAATAGGGCAAAAATGTTCGCTAATGCTACTACAAATATACGTAGCAAGTCAATCGTAGCCCCTGAAATGCATGAATATATAATGTTCGATTGATACTATAGGTATGTCAGCAATTTATGCTCTTTTCGCATATGTTACTCTCTAGTTATAGATAATACTGAAAGCTACAAAAAGAATCACTAGCGATATTGTCTATATCATCGTATTCAGTATAGTTATGAAGGTGTACTATCATTCGCGACTGATTCACAGTCTGGATCTATACAAAAGATTGTTTGAAAAGAAAATGATGATCAGACACAACCGAACTCAGATGCTCAACTTCATCGTAAAGAAGTATCACAACAAATCAATTAATAAAACAAGCGAAATTTTCATTGCTGTTTCTTAAATTTTTGATGAATTTTTTTAGCTATTTGAAATACAGCTACGATCGAATGACTATAATATTGTTGCTTTTACACACCCAAAATCATATTGGAAGCTGACATAAAATAATAATAATAAACGAATTTTACAATGTTAAGATCATTTTTTGAAAAGAATAGAAATGCAGTGATATACGAAATAGTAGTGTGTTTATTTCGAAAGAAAAATAAATGTGGAAACTTCGGATTTCATCCGAAAGTTATGTGTACTGCAAAAAGTGCATGGGACATATGAGTCATTCTAGAATGTCTGAACACCAAAATTATCATGAGAAACTAGGCAATTTGATTTCTGGATGCAGTTTTTGTGCATTTTGAGACGTTTTTCAGGCGATGTTTCATCAGAAAGCTACGGATTAGTTCAAAACTAATATCAGATTCGGAATCAGCGTTAAAAACTGAGTCGATTTATATATGTTGTGAATAATTCTGAGAAAGATTTATTTTTTGAAAAAAAATTCCCTGTACTCCTCCTCAGGGATGGCCTGGTCAAAAATGACAATTTTTTCGATAACTCAACCATTTCTTGAGGGATTCTTCTCATCTTCGAACTCGACCGAGATATTCATGAGATTGAACTGTGTGGAAAATTTCATCACGGTCTGACTCTCCTTTCGAAAGTTATCGTGCCTACGGCCGGACGGACACACTGGCCGATTCTAGAGTGTACTCACTTTTTGAGTACACAAAAATTGGTCAACTATCTGAGTAACTCATTTACTGCATTGATCATTGAATTCTAAAAAATCTTATCAATACTTTAAATAACGATGCACATAATTCGAGCAACTATCGATGTATTCAATATCAAAGTTTGTAGAATAAAAATGTGTTAGCATAGTTCACTTGTATGTTTTTCCTTGTTGATGGTCAAAAATTTTCTTTATTTCTTTTATGAATAATCTCGTTACTGTTCGAAGTATTAATAACGCCATTGTTGAGGGTTGTGCGTACAAAATCTACAACACAATTGAATGAACCATTGAAACTGCAAACATTTATTACTTCCTGAACAGTAGTTTCTTTCTAAATTGACATAAGAATGTTATCCATGCCAAGGTCATCGGCAACGCTAGTCTTGAAAAAAAGAAATATTTGATAACTAAATTATCGGCCAAAACACAAAGAAATAGAACGAATCGATAGATTGTAAAATGTAAAAAAAAAAATAGAAGTGTCTCGCTCAATTAAATATCGATAATTTTCTACCTATTCGGTTTTTTTGCCAAGCAACCACTTCCGACACCATGTTCTTCAAACTGACAGAAGGATGTAAAAAGGTGACAAATATATATATATATGAAGATAGAGAATTAGCCTACTCTGACTGAGTTGTCAAGACAAAAGTCAATAATGATTGATAATATGAATAATTGATATAATATCTTTTATAATTATATTTCCTGATGAAAACAATCTGTTGCCATTATTCTTCTCTCAAGTACAAAGAGTGTTATACGTCAATAAAATAAACAAGTAAAGTTGACAGAAAGAAAGAAAGAAACAAAAAGAACTTGTTCAAAACCGAATACGATCATATATGAAGATTGCTAAATTCTCAGAATGACCTATTCCTTTACAAATTTGATTTCTTCTAATTAATTCAGACCAAATTCAATTCTTCGATCTGTCTAAGCATGTTTTGCTTTCAGTTTTTCTTTGGTGGGATTTTATTAAGCAATGAAACAAAAGAAACTTTTGATTAATTCGATTCGTCGGTTTACTCAATTTAGTCAAGAAATTGTCTTTTGTATCATGGGATTCTACTAGACATAGCCTATGTTTTAAAGACGCTCAAAGACAAATCAAGAACGAAAGAGCTGCTATTCAGATATAAATATATCTTTTTATGACGTTTATAGTTGATCTGACGTGCTGTTTTCTCCTACCCTTAATGATACTTAAACGAGACAGCAGATAACAATTATATCGAACTAGTTATTGCAGATGAAAACTATTTATTCTCTTTGAGTGATTTTAGCTTCAATCTATCGATATACACATATACGTCGAGACATAGGTTGAAATACACACATATCCAATAGAAAGATTTGTAACCGGTATGAAACGAAGTCATTCTTTGAACGATTATTAACACATCGTATCATTGATATAATCACTTTTTTCCTGATGTTTGATCATAGCTGAGCAGGTTCATGGAACAACAATAGAAAATGCCGTTGGCTAACGAAGCTTGCTAACATTTGTTAATTTTATTTGATGTTTGTAGTCTATGTATGATGCTATTTTATTTCTATTTTTTATTATTAAAGAACGGTGTTTAATCCTATCAATATGCATTGCTAATATTTAAGTAACGCAACTTTTCCCGAACCAAAAGCAACTCGACAAAGAAAAGAACAAAAACAACAATAACATCATCAATGAGAAAGACGAAAATGGATTGTATTGATGATTATGGTAATGTAGCGGTAGTACCACGAGCATTTTCTAATTAATAGTCGAAGGCCAAGCTGTGGATCTTGACGAGAAAAGAATGAAAAAGGCGAGATGTCTGAAAATGCCTTCTTTCTTTGTATTTCTCTTCGATTGAGGATGACTCATAAATACAGGGACGAGAGGGAGAGAGAGAGAGAGAGAGAGCGCAATATGCCAGTCTTTCGCATCGCTAAGCAATCGTGATGATAATTCTCACAATGGAAGAATGCTACAGTCAAAATAACATAAATAATAAGACAGGAAAAACTTATGCTTGGGCGTTACATCGAGTAACAAGTTGAGTGTTGTTAATTCGATAACAGGTAAATAGGATTAGAACTAATTCGTTTGCTTCAAAATAAATTATGTAATTCTTTTCTATTGAAGCATAACATTAGTATTCATTTACATTGTTTGCGATAGCTGTTTTCTCTACTTGTATAAAACATATTGATACTTGCAATTTCCGAGAAATAATTTTTTTTTATACGGGAATACTGACAAATACAAAAGACAAAACGAGAGAATTCCCTTTTGTGGCTTATTCTCCACCTACTATCCTCTTTCTATTTTTTGCATTTAGTTTTGATCCTAACAGCATCGTTCAACAATGCACACAGTTACGTTTGTCACTCATCAATGCTCGTCGTTGGTTTAGACATCTCTCTCTCTCTCTATATATATATACATTTATATGTATGGTGTGCGTGTGCGCTAATAATAGTTGTAAAGATGATCGATGCGGTGAATTGTGGTTTTTCTATTGAGCGTCAATAATCTAAACAACAACGGTATTCTCGCTTCTTTGCTTATTCATTACTCGCCCTCCTTCTTCTTCTTTATTTGCTTCATATACGTGGAAAGACCGACTGTAAGATAGAGAGACATTATTCAATGAACAACACTGTTTTTCACATATGAACACATCCATACTATCTGCTCATTATATTAATTCATAGTCATTAAATACCATTCAAGAGAATAATTATCGTCTTTTTATGATACAACATTCCATCAAATTAAATCAAATGATCGGGTATGTATTACATTGACGGAGAGAAGATTGAGAAAAAAATAATATTTTGACATAGCATGTGATACATAAAAACCGTAGCGACCGATGAAAACATCACTATCTTGTTTCTTCTTCTTCTTCTTTTCTCATCTAGTTATTCTGTTCTCCTGATTATCTTCTTACTGCCATCAAATATCTATGTCTTAGCCAATTTTAAAACTGCCTGTGAACTATTAAAACTCCCACGCGAATGTCATTGTCAACGTACACGTGGCGTACCCTTATCCTCATTAAATGAAACACGTTTACGATGCCGTCAATTTACTAAAATTACCAACGAATATAATTGGCCAATTGTTCAATACGATCGTTTAGCATTTGAAACTCCGAATGATAATTTAATTTTAGATCGATTTGCTTTTAGTGACATTCGAGCACGAACATTACGTTTTAATGTTCGACATCTTTTTTTGAATGATCATGCATTCTATAATGCATATATTGGTCAATTAGCTATATCATGTACAGATGATTATGGTACAATAAATTTGGAATCAAATGGACAAGCATTATATGGTGCAACAATCACCAATATACTCGTCAAATCAATTGATTTGCAAATACAAATATCTGAACTTTTCTTTTCTAATTCAGTAATCTATACACTTTTAATTGAATCATCTAAATTCTACGGTTTTACAAATAAAAAATTTATTACTCGTCAACAATATGAAACAAATTCTACAAATGAGAATCAATACGAGACTTTTCTTGAATACGATTCTATTCTAACACCAAATTCATCGTATCAAACAAGTAGTCAATCCTCGCCATTAAAAATTCGTCGAATTAGAAACAGTAAAAGAGATCGACGCCAAATCTCTGACATCAATGATGAAAAATTTTCATTGCTCGAATATACGACTGCGCCTATTAATATAACATCAACACCTCTTCTTGCTTCTGTAAGAATTTATACAATTTTATCAAGTATTAATACAACAAATTTAACAGAAAATTATTTTCCAAATAATTTTAATTATAACCAAACTGATGAAATTACATTAAGCTATAATTATATTAATACAATTGATCCGTATGCTTTTCGTCATTTACAATTCTTCGAAGGACGATTAATACTAACATATAATCATATTCAATATCTATCTCCTTATGCATTTAATTATTTATATTCATTAAATAATTTATCATTAGCTAATAATTTGATTCAAAATGTATCGTCAATGCATTTTGAGCATTTAAATAAATTATATGAACTTGATTTAGGTTTTAATCAAATAAATCAATTATACAATAATACATTTCAATATTTACCTAATTTACATGTATTACGTTTAAATAATAACCCATTGAAATTTATTCATTCAAATGTCTTTACAAGTTTAACTCATTTAAAAGAAATTAATCTACAAGGCGTACAATTGATGCAGCTAATTGATCCACAAAATTTCCATTGGCTTTGGAACTTAGCTAGTTTAAATGTCAACTACCTGTCGAATACAAAGTAAGCAATTTCTACACGAAAAACTAAGCTTTTCTTTTGACCGAACGAGAAGTAAATTAATCTTATCATCTTAAATAATAGCAGTTGTGCTATTACATCTAGCTAAACAAATTAAACATGTCGTTTATTGATTTAATGTTTGTTGGCTGTGTCATAAGCATTTTTGGTTGATTTACAGTACAAGGACATAGTGTTTCTTTTTCAGCTAATAAATATCTTGTCAGCTACATCGGTCGTTCTCTATTATGATTAAAAAAGAGGCAATTTTACAAGTACAAATTACTGCTTACTACATATATAGAATAGTTTTTTTCTCTCTCAGAAGAGCTTAGAACCGGATATGAATTCCATCGAGAGGAATGGAATGATGATTGCGTACGACAAACCCTGCCGAACGATGCTCGCCATCATAAAGTTGGAGATGACATACAGTTCATGGTTGAAGTTTATTGATGCATAGGATACATTTAACTTTATTATTTCTTTTCATAAGCATTCATGCAAACCAAAGCCCAAGAAAAAAAACAAAAGACAAATGTGTCAATGAATAATATATATGCTATAAATTTTTCTGCTATTGAAGTTACAGGTTCTCACGACCAAAGCAATATTTGTCCTATCAATTATTATAATTTTCTTGTTCGAACGACGAAAAAATATTACCATACCTGATAGTATCTTGAATAAGAAGATTCTCGAAACGATGGCCTTCATTGACATATTTTTTATGTTGACAAGCACAGTCTTTCAGAATAGCAAACATAGAGTTGATTGATTGTTTCTAACAAAAGAATGAATAGAACAAACGTATGTAACTAATATTGCATATCAATACAACAAAACAAAAAGCTATTGACATCAAGATAAACCCTGGATGCAAAAAATGAATATTTAAAATAAATCATCTATTGTATTTTTCTTTAATTTTCTAGTTTTGATTTGAGTGATGTTGCCTTTTGTTTATTATCACATTTTAATCAAACATTTTTTCATATATCCCGACAACATTCATGTTCATGTAATGTTCATTATCTATATAATAATCCTGGCATTCATCGAAATGGGCCACATTCAACAGTAAAATATCATACAAACTATTTACGTTTAACACCTATATGTATTCAAAATGAAACATCATCGTCTTTTGAACAGTATCCTCATGAAAATGAACCAGTGGAATATTCAAATTCAAGTGATTTTATTATTCAAAATTTAGGAGATAAATGTAATTATAAACTTATGTTTCTTGATTGTGATGCTATGACAACAACAACAACCGCAACCACCACTACTACAACAACAACAACAGCAATGACTACTATCGAAATATCAAGTTCGGCGGATAATCTATCTACTGCCGAAAGTCTTCTTAATGCTGCAGCACGTAAAACTGCACCACTGCCAACAACAACACCAAGGTTTGTTCTATTGATTATTAAATAGTTATCGATTGATTTTTCTTTTCTTCTTCTTATTCTTCTTGATAGGTTTTTCAAGTACACCAAGCCAACATCTAAATCAGCAAATAATACAAAAAAATTATTTACTGTTCTTGGTACACTAATAGCAATAACAGTTGCGCCCGTTATTCTTGTTATTTTATGGTATCGTCTTAAACGATTATATATACAGAAACAAAAAAGAAAAAAAGTCATTGAACAAAAACGAGGTTTGAATTCAATATCATCAAATAATATGACTCATTATCCTCAAACAACTGCGCCACGCTATGCTTCATCGGATATGTTAAGTAGTATGTATAGTGGACAGTCGATAGGTAATAAAAATCCATCACAAACATTAATCTCACCGGCATCACCGCCTTCAACTATCTACAAAAATGTCGATGCTCTAAACAATGATTCTATTCAAAGTATTGATCATGAAGAAAATCAACTACAACGTCAATCGCAAAATTTAACAAACGATAAAACAAGCGAAATACAAGAAACTACTGAATGTTAAATTTTTTTCAAAGGAATCTATTGTATTCTTCTTCTTCTTCTTCTTCTTTGTGTGTGTGCTTTTCTTTTAATATTTAATAAAAATATGTTTGATATATGACTAGTGAATATTAAATATGTATGCCGCTTTTGTAGAAAAGCAATCCAAGCATTGTGCACTCTTTGTTTTTTGACACGTGATTGCATTATATAACTAGGGAACGAAGAATGCTAAAGATTTGTTTTTTATTCTAAGATATTTATCCTATTGAATATTGTGGCATTTCAAAAAGGAGAGAATTCCAAAGGCAATTATGATAATATCTTTTTTCTCGAAAGAGTAAATCTTTCGTGAGAATGATTAATCGCCGTTGTGTATTTCTCTAAAAGTAAAGAATATGAGTTTCAGTAAAAAATTTATCTTTCATTTTACACGATGTCAACAAGTCGTCATATTTTGTTTTTGTGCTTTCGTTCCTTTCTAATTTCAAGCAGTGTGAAAAACTTCTTTTTTTTTATTATGTTCGCGAATGTGACACTCGGAAGTGCTTACATAAGAAAACGAAAAATATAGATGTATAAGCGAAAAGCTACATCGTTTTAAGCAACGCGTTACAATTTGTGCCAACAATATATTATGCTGCGTACCAATTTTCGCTGGTAGGGATATTTGAAGAGTAAATAAATGAAAAATCAATTGAAAAGGTGAAAAAAGAAAAGAGAGAAGTACTGATGATAAACGGTAGCGAAGATACGTGAGTGCAGCGAACGGCTAGAAAAAGGAAGGACAAACTAAAAGAGCGAACGAGAGAGAAAAAAAGGAAGAAGAAATTTGCTTACAGCATCACATTTTTGCATCATTCTGTGATATTAATTCGCATAAACAAAAGCCAACCACGTTAAAAGGAACGATTCATGTCGATCTTTCAATTGCCGCACATGATGTGTGCGAAAAAAATGACGAAGGTGATCGTTTTTCCTTTTACAAAAATTATCCCAGCCAAATGTATCGTCATAGAAGGCGGAAGAACCAAGATCAGTTATGAACATGGTTTTCAATCTGCGTTGAATATATTTTTTAACATAAAATTGCAAGGGCTGTTCAGAAGTGACTTTTAACAGATTATCTGCAGAAACGAAGGGGCAGCGATGCACCAACCGAAGACCTACACGGAATTTTTGTTCTAATAAGTGTGAAAAACTGTGAACGATAGTCGTTGACTATGTATCAAAAGAACAACACGCTTAAAAATTCCTTTCTCATGAAATTCTTAGCGTCATACAAGAATGTTAAATGGCACAAACGGAAAGGCTCATCTTTATTTCTGAAATAATCTGAAGTCTTCCTAGAAATTCGAATGGCTGAAATTAACTTCTGATTTGTGCAAAGATAAAAATTTATAATCAAGTTATGAAGAAACATGTCAACGGTTACATTCAATCAACGTAAAATGTGTGAACTCATCAATTCATACTTTTTGACGAACTGCTAATATCAGTGTTTCTGAGTGAAGTATACAAAAAATAGACCATTAAAAAAGACTCCATTGGAAGTATGCAGATAAGTAACATCGATTATTTCTCTGGCGGTCGATTACGCTTGGAAAGCAACTAAAGTGTAATAGGTTTTTTTTCGTTTTAGGTATGTGGTATCTGTATGATAAGAATTTGTATGCGCTCTATAGTTTAGTCCCAAAGGGACTGCGATGAAAAGATTTCTATACATTAGTCTTCTTGATAATTCGATCGAAATGGATCCAATACAAACAGAGATATTTTCAGGCTCTTGAACTATTACTTTTTAATCAGCTATGACACCGCTACTCACACCCTAGAAACCAAATTTCTAACTAGTCTGAGGAAAATTTCATCATTAAAATAACTAAAATTATTATTTTTCTTCTAATTATGAAACTTGAATATGAATTTTTTTTTAATGTAACAGATGTTTGTTTTCGATTCATTTACTTGACCAAACACAAAACAGAAATATTTTCATATGATTCTCCCGTCAATTTTAGGTTTGAAAATTGCTCTTTATAGAGCTACTCTATTTTAAAAAGATCATACGGCTAAGAACATGTTGCCCATCAATTGACACATTCGATTATTTATTCATCTTGCCTAGCTGGACAAATACCAACTCTATCCTATCGAGTACAATCTCTTAACCTTATCAAAAATTAAACGTAAATCCCTTCTAGTCTTACTGAATAAGATTAAAATGTTGATCTACCAGAGTAGTATGCTTTTATCAGTCTGATTAATAAGAGACCTTTGTAGGTATTCTTGTTTATATTAATTACAGTCCAGTTATTACCATCTATTTTGATGTCTGCTTATTATGACCTCAAGGCATAAGTTTTATTAACAATGAAAATATTATCACACGGACATCAACTAGCGTTAATTATGTTCTACCGATTGTTGTACTTATTCACTGGCTAATTATACTTGTATACGTCAACTATGATTATTCGAGTTTTTGCTAATACGAAATAAATAGTAACGAATTCTCCTGATGTTATTTCTGCGTAGCCATTCCCGTATTGATCACATGCTATTGATTTAATTGAATTCAGCCTTGTTATTACCAATAACGATCATTTTATTATATCTAATTTTACCTATTCGACTAGAATATTGTGTGACCTTCAAGTAAATGGATAATTATTATTTAACCTTCTACAAAGCAAGAAAAACAAATGAAACTAACTTGAAATACATAAAATAACTGTCTATTTACTTCAATACTATCAAGACTTAGTTAAGGCATATCATCCATGATTTCTCAACAACATATTATTCAATATATTTAAAAATTTGTTCTACAAAACATTTATTTGATTGATCTCACGTTACTATTTGTTTCATTTTGATCGAACTATCATAAAAAAAAAATCATTGTGTATCAAATTCACCATACGGCTCGAAACTAATGGGTTGTATACAATCAAGTAGTGATAGAAAGCAACAACACAATTCTATCTATTTAACGAAGTAAATATGCAAACGAATATATATATAAAATATGATCTTTTCTCATTTATATTCGAATCAAAAAAAAATGAAAATATATGGTAATTTGTAATATAAGGATCAATGTCAGCTATCGTTATTGATACTGTAAGGTTTCAAAATAGAAATGATGAATGCAACTATCTCTTGTTCGCATAGAATAGTCTGGAATTCTTAACCAGCCGGCTCCATTGTTTAACCGTTCCCTCTTTTTTGCTTTTAGATATTTCTATTTATTCAGCTGAGTAAAAAAAATTGAGTTTATTTTAAAAAGTAAATCTGTAATGAAAACAAATCGCCGGTTTAAACATTTTTTCTTACAAATAAATACAGTTTTTTGAACCAAATATTTTAATCTTCATCGGCACAGGCTGAAACAAAAAGAACTTTTATTGTACAACGGATATAATCATACCTTTGAAATTTTTTTTCAAATGCTCTCTAGAATTCAGTCATTTAGACAACCTTCTGTGTCGAACACTCGATTTTTTCCTTTGCAAAATGAATGATGAAAAATAAATCGAAAGGAACAAAATCGATTAATAAGCATTAAAAATATCAAGTTTACCTTGTTTTTCGATTATGTTTCTTGCGCTTCCACAATACATTAATGTGCGTATGCACATCTAAACGACGATGTAGAAGAAGAAGAAAAAAGAGGATAATAGTTTTGTTGTTTATTTACTCAGTAAACGTACTAGATTTTCAGAATGTGACGACAATTCATCTACTCATTTTCAGTAAAAATGGCAGTCCTCCAACTTTCGTACTGTTCTTTGTTATACTTTGGGTACGAATCTACTTGTTAGGATAAAAAATGAGAGACAAAGAAAAAAATTGAGCATGAGAGATTCACTTGCTGCACTTTGTTTCAATGAGACCGTACTGATTAAATTCTAGACATTTGATGATATAATCAAATTTCATATACGTATATATATGCGTAAGTACTTTTGTTTTAAACATTAGTTTTTTTTCAATTAAAACTCGGCCATAGTTTGATTGAGTTCATCTGTTAAATTTATTTTATCTGTTTAATTGAATAGAGGCGTTGTTCGATTGTAATTGTAAGTTAATCTATTCTTTTCTAATCAATCAATCAGTAAGTGCGTGTGCCTGTAAACAATACAACCAGTATATTGATCTCTATTTGTAATCTTTCTAGTTACCTATTACCAGTGACCTCGGTCATTGCTATATGATTCTCTTGTTAATCCTCAACAAATGAGACAGACACAGAAGGCAAAAAAAAGGAAGATATTTTACATTGTCCACTGAGAATAAAAGCAGTTGTCTTCTCAAGTGTCTTTTCAAAGCATGCATAGCGATGCACGTATGTATAGTATGGGAGGAAGAGAATAAAGAAGAGAAACTATTTGATTCAAACAGTATCATCCTCTTTCTTACGTACTTGAAGCTCACAGATTTGCATTCATTTTTGATGAGTCTAGACCGAAGGTACATAGTGTGAAAGATAAAAATGTAGGGAAACATTTTTTTTTAATTTTCTTCTGAGTCATGGCTTTATTATTGACTTTTATTTTACAGTTGGGTGTTATCCATTTATCCTTTGATCTTACTATTTCTTTTTTTTATGTTGCACTTTAACACATTCCGATTATAACTATACGAGAAAGGCGATTGACCTTATAGTTTTAATGTAGATATACATATAGATAGACAGATTTATACGTTTTACACTTTATTTTTTTATCAAAAACATTCCTATTTCTTCTTTGTTCTATTTAACAGCGAGCATTTGCAACTCTTTTTTTTATGAGTCAAATTTCAAACATATGACGTATATGCATAACAAAGGAAGAATAAAACGGGTTGGCGTATGCCGAATTGCCTCGATCCAAAACAAGTCCATTCTGATGCATCATGTTATTTCGTCTCTGTTAAATATATTTGACTAGACGATGGTCGATCTTATTTGTTCGTTTTTTATTCTTTAGATTTATATTCATCATCTATAGCTATTATGGCGTCTTGTTCAGATTTAACTAAAATTGAATATGGACCAATTCCAAAGGTAGGATCGCCTATTTGATGTTTTCGTTCAAGAAACTATCATCGGGGATATTCCGATCGCAAAAAAAGAGTGCGATCCAGCTTCCAAACCGAAGAGTTTTTTTTTCGAATAGATTTTCAGCATTTATTTTTCCTCACTAATTCTCATAAATAAGAAACGCTTGCTTTCAAATTCGATTCATTAATTCAGATTACTCTTTAGTATACTGAAAACTTCTGCATTGTAGGAAAATATTTTCGGTAAATATATGTTGTTGCTTTTTCTTCCTAATAAAATAAAGCAATGATCACGTCGAATAGAGATTAATCTGCGATAAGATCTAGCTATTTAGTGAATCATATAACTTACATAAATCATAAAACTAATCGATATCGTATGTATCCTTCTTCTCATCCTTTTCGCCTTCCATTACCTCCTAAGAAACATTAACTGTGTGCATTGTCAAGGTCGAATGCTCATATAAATGATAGGAAGAAAAAAAGAGACATTGACGATCCATCTTTCATCGTTTCTTCATCGTTTCTTTCATTTCTTATACGTGCGTATCCTGAGTCCTCAGATGAAAGCTACAGAAAGAGAGGGGTGGAGCAATGGCAAAACCATCAAAACGAATGTGCGCGTGTGTTATAAAAGATAACCTTCCACTGCGCTCGCTCTATTTTGTGCGTATGCTCTCTATCATCGTTCTTCGTGTGTGTGTGTGTGTGTGGTGTGCACAAGTACTCGAACACGTAGAACGTACTATATCATACTTCTACACATAAAGCAATGACGCACGTTAACTAAGTGATGCACGCTTTTTATCATATATTGTAGGCCTTACCAGTTCCTGTATCAACAAGCAAGAAATTTGCCGAACCATTTAATCGCCTTAAAAATCGAGCTAATTTATTTCGTCGAAAAAATTATTCATCGCAACTTAATATAAGCTCAAGTCCAAGTGATCATCGACCATTATCATGTACTGATCATATTATACCCTCAGATCAATTATCGATAACAAGCATTCATAATACTGGTGATGCTGTTCTTAAACGTTCAAATTCTATGATATGTCCTCAACAACATTTACAAGTATTTTTAAATCAAAATAACAACAACAACAACAATAATAATTATTATATCAATCATCGTAATTCAATTTGTCTTGAATTAGCTGGCTGTTCAACTGACGAAAGTTCAACGGACGATTATCAATTAACCAAATCATCATCGAATCGTTATTGGACTAAATCGATATCTTCAACAATGAATGATATAGATGAAAATGAAATTTTATCTACGTTTCCTATTCAGCCATCACTACCACCGACTATAATTGAAGAATCCAATATTAATCTTATTAATGAAAATGAGCCAGAAGAAAAAGGTAGTATAAAAAAGAAGCAGAATATTTGTCAGTGCCAATCATATTCTATTCTATTCAGACGAATAGTTATCTACAATTTGTTTCATATCTTACTTTTTTTTTCTTCTTCTTCTTCTGTTCAGTATTGTCATCATTACCTAACAATAATAACAACAGTGAACATACGTCTGCCATTCTTCCATTATCTCAGTCAACTATGGATGTTATTATAAGAGAAAAAGAAGATAAAGAAAAACAACAAGAACAGATAACTTCTACGAGTATTCCAACTTCTATTATATCTTCATCTCATTCATCATCATCATCATCGACAGTTATATTGCGAGATCATGCCGAAGCGATTCGTACCCGTCGTCAGTGTCATTCAAGTATATCTCTTCTGCAGCATCAGCAACGACAACAACAGTCTTTATCTTCATTCGAAGAATCATTCTATGATTGTAAACAGCAAACATCACCAAAAAAAACCAATCACGAATTAGAAATGTCTTTAACAAAAATTTCAGCTTGTACAATGACTGGTAAATCATTAAATAATTTAGATGAATCTCTATCAGCAACTTCATCGGAAGAAAAAGGTGTACAAACAACATTAAATGAACCAATAAATACAAATGCTTGCGTTAAACGAGCCATTTCTTCGACGAGTCTATCATCATCATCAACATCGATAAAAACTGATTCACTTGAAAAAAAACCTAAAATGCCTACATCATCAACGATCGACGAAACAACATCAACTAATGATATTGATGCGCCTACAAATTTAACTGGCCAATATCAAAATGAATCGCTATATAAATGGCCACATGTAAATGAAAGATTACTTGGTGAACAACCATGCATTTATTGGGTCAACTACTTAGGTAAGTTAGTAAGAAGAAAATAAATGATCTCAGTTGTCAATTCCGAGACGTTCTACTTAAGTTCAATGAAAAGTTTTACAACGAACGCGACTATTGAGCTGCATTCGAGAATATTTTGTTTCATAGAGAAGCTGTACAGCTTTTAGCGAAAGTCAATGATGCGAAGTCACCAGACATACTATGTTAAGTACTACACGTAAAGGTTGAGTTATTTCTTTTTATCGGCGATGATAATCTTTGATGGTATATTACTTCACATACTATTATAGTTGAATGTTATACTGATGTAATAGCAAATTGTTTCTGTTGTAATCGTCCATTTTAAAAATTTTATTTAATCTACTGTTGATTGTATTTTTTTTGGTGAATGATAAAATAACAGATGTTTTTTCTTCCGAATGCAATGCTCGATCAAGATCAGCAGACTGTTTTTGAGTACATATTGATTTTGAAATTTCATAATTAGATATTGTGTTGACAGTCTCCTTCTATTTATCTAAGATAAATAATTTTCTATTATTAAAATAATGAATTATAATATTGATATAGGTTCAACAGCAATTAAAATGTTGAATGATGGTACCACAGCCATGCCTTCGCAAGCTATTTCACGATTGAAACAATCGACTCAATATGCACGCGTTTTGCCAATTATTGGCTTGAGTATTTCATCTCGTGGCGTTGAATTTTTAAAACATGCAAAAGAACGTGTCGTTATATGTTTTCATGATATTAAATCCATTCATTGTGCATGTCAAGATGAAGATTTACGGTATTTTGCATATGTTACGCGTGAACAACGTCTAACTAATGGCATGTCACATACGAATTCGAATGCCGCCACTGCGACTTCAATCGGTGATAATAAACAACAGACAACACCACCATCGCCATCGTTATCCTCCAGTGGAGAATTTCATCATTATTGTCACGTATTTGTTGTAAAAAGTGAAGCAATGTCAACTGAGGTATAGGTTTTATTATTGAAAAATTTCATTGAATCTCAATTTTCATATATAGATTATGTTAACATTTGGTCAAGTATTTGATATCGCTTATCGCATACATCGTCGTTTTAAATTGAATGGTAAAAAATCTAAAGAAACTCATACACCTTCACCCTCGATTACGAACTGTGAACGTCATCGCCAACTCGAAGTCATTCGTCTTACGGCTAAGTTTGATAGCAAACATAATAACAGTGTTATTATGTCTTCATCAACGCATTCGCCTACAACATCATCTTCATCATCATCAACTGATGATCGAAAAATATATGTTTAAGAAAATTTGAAACATTTTGTTTTCATTTTTTGATTGTATATGTGTGTCTTTCTATATATATATATATATCTTTACTATTTTCTCTTAATGAGAAATAAACAGATAAATAAATCTAAAAAAAAGAGAATTTTCTGTTTGGCATTATTATCCAATAGTTAATGTGTATTTTTATTATGTAGCATTAAATTCAAGTTTTCTTTTGTAGAAGAATGTATCATTTGTATTCTTTGTTAAGAACGTAATTCCACGGAGTATTGCATCTGTCAACAAGAATGAATAGCTAGCATAAAGAAAGAATATGATGATAGTAGAAGATTTTCGAGTTATATGACGTAATAAGAGTCGTAGATAAAAATGATATATGCATAATATACAAGGACTCTATTCATCAGAATGTCATTCTTGAATATAAGCAAGTAATCATGGTTAATCCAATGAGCAAACAGACAAAAAGTAGCTATGCTACGATCAAGATCAGAGAGATGCAAAGCATGAATAGTATTTAATTATGGCTTAAATGTAGAAGTGAACAATTCCGTAGGTATTAAATATCATACAACAAAAGAAGTCACGACATCGGTTTAGCAAGTTGTGGTTATTCGTATGAATAAAATAGACCTTTTTTGCTTTGTTTCCTAAAATAAATTCCGAAATAATAACTGCTATCGTATGATATTACCATTTACTGGCGTATGCCTCTGAGAAACCTGATTATTTTTCTAGTGGCATCTGTTTTATTTGGTGTTATTTCTCGTGATAATATAACAAAACAAACAGCTCAAAACATTAATAGTTCTTTTTCTTATGAAAACATTGCCTGTCGATTTCAATAAGTATGCTATGATAAGTACTTTTTTTTGCTGTTGCCTAAGTTGTAGAGTCAACTAATATTCTCTGAGTTTTCTAGGACGAAATTGTCAAAAATAGTATCTATTTTTATTAAAGTGTCAAAATTGGTCATCATTAGACCATGTGGCTTGAATAATTATTCTTTGAAGAGTAATTTTGTCTGTTAACAGAATCCATAATAATACTAATCGTCGTCTGACTACCTGCTGATTCTCCAACTGCTATTGAAATACCAACATCAATAATAGCTGTTGAGTTATCAGCTGTCAATGCCAAGAGACGATGCATGCTGTGTTTGATACTGTGCTAATTGCATTTGCCGCTATACTTATGACTTTTCTTTATTCAGTTATCTGTCACGCACTATATGCATTGGACCGCTTTTTATTCAATACAATATTTTGACTCGTAAGATTTCTCAAACAAGGCTTTTATAAAATAAAAATGAGTTTTTTTTTCTGAACTTTAAAATCAATCAAAAATCTTACAGAGTAAAAACTAATTTCGTCTTATGGCTAATGATATGTCTGATCGTAGTGATGCACATCCAAGACTCAATTTAATGCTGTGTTCATTGACCGATATATACATATCTGCAATAGCTTGAGTTAGAATAGAATACCATAAGAGGAATGATATCGAGATAGGAAAATAACATAAAGAACGAAGAATATGAACGTTGAATGAATGCAAACGCAGGAAAGACCTGCAAGGGACAGATAAATTATACTGCATCTATCCAGTTATGCATTCAATTGTACTTGTCACAACGAAGTGTAAGATAGTACATCTAGTCGAATATTGCCTATTTTTACTCAATGATGAAATAATGCATTGTTGAAATAGCAAATAAATATGCACATTAAAATGAACATGACATGTTCTACGGGAGACATGAACAACTCAAAATCTGAAATAGAGTTAATACCAATAAATAATTTTTTTTAATTGCGATTGTATAGCTCGGAATTTGAATTTGATCATTTGTAGTGTATAATCAATGAAAATAAAATTCATGTTGTAAGATAATTTCCGAGAGAAAAAGTATTACTCCACAGTGCTGATAGATTTTAAAAGGCAAGCAATTCTGCAACGCATGATTCTATTTCCTAGCTTCCAGTTCAATAGGCCAACAACAACAGAGAGTAGAAATCTGCACATTACTCTCTCTCTCTCTCTTTATATATATATTTATTATTATGTTTATTGAGTTCAAAAGAAATTTGAAAAGCGATTCAGTGCTCATGTGAGGCCTATTAATTTTGAACGTTCGGGAATATTTTGCTACACATTTCTTTTCTTTTCTATATTTAAGATATTAACTACGTTAATGTGTTAATCGATATGGGTTCTTTTTGGTCTAAAAATAGTTGCTTAAGAGTCTCGCAGGTATGACATTGAACTCATCTGATTCTCGGCCAATATAGTTACTGAATATAATAATTATATTATTTTTTAGAGGACGAAAAAACTATATCAATCAACTCAATTAGTTTCCATAAAGTATTTACCAAGAAAACGATAATGGTTAGCACAGCTGTTATCTACAAGACATAAAACTGGTTGACTCTAAAAAGTAATAAATACATTTGAGTTTGCTGAGACTTCACACTACATTTCTGTAGTCTGTTGAAAGGAGAATCGGACAAGTTAGAAAATTTCTTCCAGGTAGCATTTGACAAAACCAAGGAAAGTGTCATAAACTAATTTTTACAATCATAAAATGTCGGAGATCGAATTATTAATTAGCACCTGATAATAGACATAGAACCTAACAAATACATTAAAAATCAAAATAAAGCTCTGCATCTATTTAACTTCTAGGAATATAATAAAACATGAAAATTTGTTCAATCTTAATTCAAATCAAAGTTAAGATAATTAAAACAATAAGAAACCAAATATTTACATAATGTATTATCTATCATCGTCTGATATATCTATAGTCACAGCAGTGATCATCTATGTTTATGGCAGCTAAAAGCAATACGGTACAATTAGTAGTCCAATAGATCGCCTTCTGATCTCATTAAGACATTGACAGAAAACAATCATTAGAAGTTGTATACTCTAGTAGTCAATTATCTATTGTTTCTATTGCTTGCTTATCGTTACGTAATATTACAAATTGATTTCCTATGTATTCTCTTTACAGAGCTCGAACTATGACGAAAACATGTGGTATAGAAAGTGTTAAAAAAGACAAGAGAACAATTATTAAAATGTTGATAAAGTGAAAGTGTGGTTTTCTCGCAGTTCAAATTACACCACTCAGTATGCAGATGTGAACATCGAGAACCAAGGGGGGAAAGCGGATTTTTGGGATTTTGAAAATCCCAAAATCCCATCAATTGAAAAGCATTTTCCCCTCTGTGAATGACGTAGTTTCGACCTGAAATTCTTCACAAATATAGGTTTCTTGGTCCATAAAAGATCTTAAAAGTTTCAATTCGAATAAATGTTTCCTTCTTAAAATATTGAATTTTCAAAAAAACTGGATTTTCTGACCGTGCCGTGAAATGAGTATTTCTTGCGCATTCGTTATCTTGCGAAGGAAACATCTGTTTGCGCTGAAAATTTTAGAATATTCTAAGAATCATGAGACTTACATATGGGAAAAAATTCAGATGGAAATTCCATCATTCACGTTTTTGATTTTGGGATTTTCAAAATCCAAAAAATCCAAAAAAATCCCAAATCCGCCTTTCCCCCTTGTCGAGAATCGTCTTTGGCGATAAAATGAAGCAATATTTACCAGACAACATCCTTATTTATTTTTCACGATCTGTTAGTTTCAAACTTAATGCATGTTCCAAAACAACATATTCAAAATTAAAAACCAAAAAAGGATAACTAATCAAACATTTGATTAATCTAATCCAACAATAATCAATGAAATCGAGTTTCTACGATTCAATATTAGTGCATCATATACACGATATATATTCTGATATTTTCCTATTTCGTTTTAACACATAACATCGCAAGACAAGAACAAAACAAAAAGAAGAAAAAACATGTAAACATTTATGTTCAGTTGATTGTTTATGCACGTAGAGCACAGAATTGTTGAAATACTTCCAGTATACAAAAGTCAATATCCGATGTAAATATTAATGATTCAAATGTTGATACATATTGAAAAACCTGTTCATGATATAAAATAAAAATCTCCTGTAAACGTTCAATAATCCATTTAAGCCATGGTGTAGAAACAGGATCAACATTTTTACTTTCACATTCATTCAAAAAATCACTTAGCGTCATAATAAAACGTTGAAAAACAATTAAGTAAAGTTTCCTAAAAATAGAAATGAAAATTAATTCATACGAAAAAAAGATGCTATATGAGTGTCTTACTTTTGTTGTTCACGCGCATGTGATAAACGTTCTTCGACAATTTCATATTTTTCATGTAATTTAGCTGTTGCTTCATCCATAGGTGGTTGAGATATTTGCATTGATTGAATCTTTTCTGTTGACTTTTGTTCATTCTCATCGTCGTCGTCACTTTCATGTCGTCGCTTCAAAGTACTTGTTGCTGGTTTTTCTTCTTCTTCTTCATCATCAACAGCAGCAGCAGCAGCAGCAGCAGGAGTTTCACTTTCATCCATTTTATTTTCCTCAGGATTTTTTTCTTCTATTGAAGGCATAGCCTCTTCATTCGAAGGATTGACATCTGGATTCGAAGGTGCAACTGTGCTAGCTTGAACAGCTGCTGATATATTCAATTGAAGACGTAGATCTAATAGTTCAGTTTGATATTTGTCCACTTGACGATTCATTTTCTCAATAGTTGATGTTAAAATTTCCCATATATAGAAATTTGTTAATTCAGAACCTAATTCACTTGAGAAGATCCAATTAGCAACAGCTGAACATTCAACGATTTGAGTTTTTACTAATTTATCTACCAAAACAACCATCATCTATAATAGAAAAATCGTTTATTTCAAAATTAATGCCAAATAGAATATTTTTAGAAACTTGAAAATGCCATTTTTTGGTACTGATAACGCTCTTTGCTCTCTACAAAACCATATCTTGAATACGGCATCCTTATAGCACTCATTTTTATGTTAAAACTTTCTTCTAACGAATAAATTCTTAATGAAAGCCTACCTGTTGATGATTTGGCCAAATTTCATACATAGATTTAAGTACTTGAATTTGTTGTTCTTCAGTTTCAATTAGAACTTTGAATAATTGATGATACTTAGCTAGTGAAGCAAATGAATGTGTAAACGATTTTGATCCCATCCAAAGTAGTGATGATACAAATAAATCAATTTGCACCATATTATAGGTTAACTCAGTCGATGATGGATTCGCAATCGATGATGATGATGCAATACTTAATGCCTGATCATCTTTTGTTGGATTTGGAACCGTATTTAATATACGTAAAATGTCGTCGGCTGCTGAACGTTCTCTGAGTTTTTTCGTTAACAATTGTGCATATTCAGAACCGAATAAGGGTGGATCAACTTCTTCGAATTTAAATGCGGGCGATGGTTTATTTGGTACAAGTTTATAAAATTGTTCCGGAACAAAATCAATAACACGTTGATGAAACGATAATCTCATACAACGTTGTAATGTTTCACGAATGAATTTTATCTTTGGTGATTCGGGATTTTCATCTAAACAATTAATCCAATCTTGCCATTCCCATGTAAATTGAAAATTTGATAAATGATAAGAAAACCATTTAACAAAACGTTCGATACAAGATGTTTTCATTGTATTTAAACGTTCGAACAACATATGAACAGCCTGAGCTAATACAGGTGGTAATGTTGAGGGTTGTAATTTACATAATTCAAGTAAAAGTGAACCATAAAATAATTCAAGATGTTGTGGGCGTGGTAGTTTAAATAAATGACCAAATATTACCTAAATAAAGTTCATTTATATCAAAGATGTTTTAATTGTATCACTCTAAATCTGTTTTTTTAGAATTATTTCTAAGAGAAAATTCGTTTACACTGATATTAAAGTTATCTCGAAAGATTACATAGTTAAATTCAGTAAAAAAAAAGAAAATTAAAGATCAAATTCCATTCAGTTAGTTCTCAATCTATTTTCCTAATGTTCTATTGGCCTCTAGAAAATTTGGATAGGAACCGAAAAATTGCACTCCGATGATCTATTTATCAAATTAATGTGCACCGATAGATCTATATTGAATAAGCTTTTAATTTTTCGAATAATCCTTACCTCAATAATCATATAATTCAAGGGAATTTTATTTTTTGGTCGAATTTGTGTTAATTGTATTGCACAATCTTTTCTTTCCGTATGAAATGTATGTATGATATTTGATATTTCATCTTCAATTAAATATCTTTCAATAGCATGTGCACCTGGCAAAACAAATTGCTCTGGTACATCGGTATAATCAAACATACGAAAAACAATTTTTGGTAATGGATAATTAAGTGCATCAATATGTGGTGGTAATATTATTGTTGGTAAATCGTGAACGATTGATGCTGATATATCACTAAATAAAGTGTCAGCATAGGTATAATAGGGTCGAAATATTTGTGATTCAGCCCATTCATCTTGATTTAAACGTTTTATTTGTGCCCATAAACAATCAAGATATTCTTCTTGTGGATGTGGTTCCGTTGATGTCCAAACTTGTAGAATAGGTACATGAATTTTCGAACGTTTATATACATATTTATCAATTGTATATAATAGACGATTTAATTCGGTGTTATGTTTTTCGGAAAGAATTTTACCCGAATATGGTAATGAAATTAAAACACATGCTACAAAAAAATCCGTTCGTACTTGTGGAACATTGGTTTCAGTTGTTGTTTGCAATAATGTTTCATATAATTTTATTATAGATGAAGTTGATACAAGTTTAACATTAACTAAATCCGATAAAAACCTTATATAACGTTGAATTGTTTCGAATTTATATCCTGCCAAGGCTTCTTTAAACGCACTTATACATGTATCAATAAAATCTGAGCCAAATGTTATTACTGATGCATGTAATAAACCAATTAATGTTGAATATATTGTTACACGTTCAGGTGTTAATTGTACACATTGATTAAGAAGATGTAAAATGACTTTTTTATGTTTAGTTAAATCATTACACAATGTTGTACATAAATCACGTAAAGTTTGTTCGAGTGCTGTATCAACTTTTTGTCCTAATGAAAATAGGGCAATTTGCAGCTTATCTTCCGTTAATTCATCACCATCAGGACCACCGAATTTTCGACGTTTATTAGGATCATACGCTTGTTGTTGTTGTAATTGCTGTTGTTGTTGGTGCTGTTGTGGTTGTTGTTGTTGAGCTGGTTGATTTTGTTGTTGAATATGACGACGATCACTACGATGATGATGATGATGGTGATGATGATGTCTAGATGTCGAACGCTGACGTTGTTGAGCTTTATTATTCATATCATCGTCTTCATCGTCGGAATAATCCCCACCATTACGATTTCGACCTCCTTTAGTAGCCATAAAGAGTATTTACTTTTATATAGTTAAAAATCTAAAATTAGTTAAAAAGGATTTCAAAACAAAATTATCAGTATGAAAATATTCGATGCGATAAAAGCTTCTTTCGCTGTCGGAATTTCAATGGTTTACTACTTGAACTTGCAATAGCAATTATCCAAGACATTCCAATTGAAATTGTGTTAACAACCAATCTGAATCTGAATTATGAAATATTTCTTTCACTTATCAAATTTCTCATTTCAACGTTTGAGCTGAAACACAAGAAAAATGAATACTCGCCATCGACATCTTCCATTCCTACTAGACACATCTCTACATAAATGCATAGATGCTTTAACTTCTATGCGTGCTCTCATACGCGATTGGTTCATTAATGGATAACCACGATATTATTTATTTGTATTGTCTAAAAGAATAGGACGAAGAAGAATCTAAACAAATCGAATGGACTTTTTCTTCTAATTAATCAACATTTTGTTTTCTCTTTCATTAAATTAATTTATTAAATATGAAAGTAATTAAACGTAATTCAGAAGATAAAAGTAGTTCCAATATGTCTCAAACAAGTTCATCATCGATTTCTAATGATACACAAAAAAGTCCATCATTTGACGATACGAATAATTACAATCAAGATAAATCTATTAGAAAAATTGTTTCACCATCATATGAAATGCAAACCAATGAAAACGAACATAATCATACAACTGAAGTTCCCATTAAACAACCACAGGCAATTCAACAAACACGTACATTAGCACAGATTCGAGAGCAACTTGCATTAAAACGAAAAGGTTTGATACAGAACAAAGCTGATTTTTTATTTTAATTGATTATATTGTTGTATTTTAGCTTCAGCTTCGGCAGCTTCAAACTCCATAGCAAGCACAGCAAGTATGTTGGAAAAAATAGAAAGATAGAATTAGAAAAAAAAAAACCTATATTTATTTTAGATAATCTGTCATCAAGTCCAATAGCTAATACGATTAAAAATGAACCAACTATACAAAATGAACCTAGCTATCAAACTATGTAGGTTTTCTATTGATTTAGCGTTTCACGAAGTCAATTTTGAGAAAAATATAACTTTGAAAAGAATAGCTTTTCTTAGTGGTATATAGTAGTAGACTCCTATACGAATTCTTCCACATGTGCTGTTACATTTTCCCGAAGAAATTTAAAAACGATAGGATTAAAAACCATTTAGATTTTAAGAAATATATTATTCTTAAGATATTAAGCCTAGAATTAATAGCTATATTATGCAAACAAAAGATGATGAAAACTCTACTAGTCTTTGTTACTGGTTTTTAGAATAAGATAATACTAATTTCGATCTTTATGTCACTTTTTGTCAAACTGGAAAGATTTTTCTCAATATATTTGACATGAGCTAATAAATATCTCAAGTCGAGAGTTTTAAACAATGATAACAATTAGTAAAAGCACAAATTTCAATTCCATCGTCTATTGTGCAAAGCTATTTAGCTGTTCTATTGTCCTTTGTGTTTGCTTAAGACAACAAAAGACTATTACTATGACTTGAAAAATCAATGTTCTATAAACATGATACTTAACAAATAATAGCAGGTCTAAAAATAAAAAAAGTTAAACTATTCAATTTTACACATAGATCTTACTATCGAAAAGTCAGACTTTCGTTTCTCTAATAACAATAGTAAAATTGAAAATTTCTCTTTCTATTCTACAGTTGAATGTTTTAATTCATTGTCTGTAATTTGACTTAAGATTGACAACTTACTCCGTTTGTTTCCGGTAGATAGTATTACACTAAATCAATGACTATCACGCTCACTTGATCAGATAAAAAGGTGACTTTCTTCTTACTTGAATCCTATTATCAAGTATTAGAGTGAATAAACTATGCAAACGTAGTAAATAGTACTTTATCCTCTTATTTAACTTATTGTTTGGACATGTCTTCTTGTTCATATGAATAAAGACTGACTCGATTATTTTTGATTAATTTTATTAATAGACGATCACCTTCTGTGAATAATTCAGCACTGTCAACGAAAATTCAACAAACAGAATATTTAACGACAAATACAATCTTACCTTCATCTTTATTTACAAATCAACAAACGTCGAATGATTCTCTTTTGGTATGTCTCTTACATCTTATCGGAATTTTTCTTTCTTTCTTATTCTCATCTGTGTTTCTAATGGTAAGGTCTTTTCTTCTTTTAATCGTCAAGCTTACATATAGACCCGTTTTTTGTTGCTGTCTCATATGCACGACGCAACATAATACTTTCTCTCTTGTTCTTCTGTCTTCTTTTTACTCTGTCGACAAACTATCAAGCAAAATTTGTTTCATTTTGATGATTACTCATGCTCTTTCCCACCCTCCCTCTCCCTCTCTGTTCGTAGTTGTCGTTTTTTTACTTGCCGTCAACACCGCTGAATTCTGATCGGTTATGTTCGTTTGTTCTTTCTTTCTCTTATTTTTACTTGTTCTCATCGTTCCGCTGCCATCATCGATAGCAATAGTAGTAGTAACAACAGCAGCTCTATTGTTAATGCAAGCGAAAGCAACAAATCAGAACACTTTCATGATGAAGATGATAATCAATGAATATGTTTGCGAGTCGAGACCAAGCAAAGCAAAGAAATCACTCAAATGTATGCTTTATTTGAAAAGAAGAGAAAGAAAGAATAACTGCTAGATGAGGCATCGACCATCAATGTTAGTTCTAGCCGATGAGAAAGATAGAGAAAAGATATAAATACCAACATTGTTGTTGTCGTCACTTTCAGGACACATCCTAGATGACATAAGAATTTTCTTATGTGTACTATCTGAACTTGTTCAAATACCATTTTCATTTTCGCCACCACGAGCTCATTCTTTCTTTTTCCATATTGATGTCATACACTATTCTTCTCTTCTCAAAGACTTACTGCTAATCAAAGAAGAAAAAGAAAAAGAAAAATGAGTGAACACTGAACTTAATCATGAGTCGTGTATGTCTCGCATGCTTGTGTCCTCCCTGCATATTTTGTCGACACCGACAATCTAGCAGCTAAGAGTACACATATATATATATATATATATATTGTGGAGAAATGTTAAACTGTGTTTAATCGTTACAACAGCAAGCGACGACACCGACGTCGAACTGACTGACTATATGGTATGCACTTCTGACATTGAGAACGAAGCGGGAAAAGAAAAAGGAGGATGCGATGAGAAAAGAAAGAAGAAGAGAAAAAAGAGAATAGAACTGAATGTGATTCGAATGAACTCACAAAATATAACGAAGAAAAAAAAAGAAAATTGATGATCGATCATATATGTGTATGTTTGCTGCACGATGTTCTTTCAAACGTATTGAAGAAGAAGAAGAATAAGAAAAAAAGAAAAACGACAACAGATTGATTTCAACACTATTTCATTACTTTTTTCTCTCTCTCTCTCTCTATATATATATATATATATATATAGAATACAACAAATCACAATAATAATTCAGTGAGTCAATTTTTATTTGACGATTTCCCTGAAACATTGGATCTATTAACTGCATCAATGCTCGATAATATCAATGAATCGACGACAAATCATTCAAGTTCACAATCTAATCAACAAAAAAATCAACAAACAATAATAAACGGTCAAATTACCGTCGATTTTGATAGTATTTTACAAGAATTAAAATCCGTTGGTCAAGCACATCAATCCGAACGAGAAACACGAATGATTGTAGAGAATATTACAGCCAATATTAAACAAGAATCACAAACTGATTCGCAGAGTCAATCAATAAATCCTAATGAAACGAGTAAGTTTTTCTCATTCATGTTCATTGAACAGTAAACTGATATGTTGCTATTCAGTATGAGAAATGCATTAGACGAGAAGAGAAGAAGAAAAGGAAAAAAGCAGCACAAGCTAAATTCCATAGTAAATGACAAATTTTTTTTACGAGCAGAGTAAAATCCTTAATTATCAATGGATGTAGAATTCTACTTTCATTAAATGGTTAATTAGTCGCTAAATTAATGTTTTTAAAGAATTAACTAACAAAATAGACGTTAATTAACATATGAAGAGAGATCAGAAGAAGAAAATCTGCCATTGACTACTGAAGAGACCATTCAGAGGAGAGGCCACGGTAAAAATTAAGCTGTTTAACACATCTAGAGATGCACCAATTTCAATTCTTATGTTGGAATTGGAATTAGTCTGAAATCGGTATAGAATTGGCTCTAAATGAGTGTAGAATTAACTGAAATTGATGGTACAATTGATTATTCTTGAGAAGCACGTGCTTAGATTTGCCAAAAAATAAAATAAAGAAAGTGGAACCCGTAAGGCCTTAAATCTGAAAATTGGGATTTCTATGATAAAAGCTACAACTCGAGCCACAATTAATAACATCTCTGGAATCAGCGCAAAAAGCTGACTCGAACAATGTATATTTTAAATACTTTCGGTAACTTCTTTTATCTACCGAAAATTCACCTGGGCTACGTACTCCTCAGGGTTCACTCAAAAAATGAAATTAATCAGAAAGCAACTTGGGCAGCAGTAATTAACTGTGGAGGATGTAAAATGCTTAGTAATATAAAAAAATCACATGTCTGAGCACTAAAAAAAGTCATTTTTTATTATTGGACTGATCCCTGAGGAGTACCCCAGGTGAATTTTCGGTAGATAAAAGAAGTTACCGAAAGTATTTAAAATATACATTGTTCGAGTCAGCTTTTTGCGCTGATTCCAGAGATGTTATTAATTGTGGCTCGAGTTGTAGCTTTTATCATAGAAATCCCAATTTTCAGATTTAAGGCCTTATGGGTTCCACTTTCTTTATTTTATTTTTTGGCAAATTTAAGCACGTGCTTCTCAAGAATAATCAATTGTACCATCAATTTCAGTTAATTCTACACTCATTTAGAGGTAATTCTATACCGATTTCAGACTAATTCCAATTCCAATCAAATTTAGGAATTGAATTGATTCAAATGAGAATTGGTACACCTCTAAACACACCTCATGGGCGGTCAGTATAAAAAAACAAATTTCTAGACAAAGTTATAAATAGAAATTTAAAAAAGACTAAAATTTTTGAAATTACTACTGGATACAATAGCTTTATACTCGTGTACCACAATCCTCGATTAATTCAATATCTAAACCCTTTCGACAATCTCCGATAATGATCACTAATTTTTCTCGATCTGTAAAAATCGTTTTTCTTTGCAGCTTCACATAAATATCAAACGACATCCGACGATTTCCTTGCATTTTTATCATCAGATCCCACAGCATCATTACCAAGTATAAATACTATGATGCTTTCAACAATGCCTAGCCCAACAATAACAACATCGCCTGTTCAAACACCAAAAAGGAAAGGCGCAAAATCGAATAGTACATCACCGAAAATAAAAAAAGAAACCGGTTCTGTCATTAAAAGTAAAACAATCAGAAAAATGAAAAAAGATGTGCTTGACGGTGAATCATTACAACAAATATTAATAAAAAGTAATGGTGAATTTGTTGAACCGATGCATATTGTTCTTGCATCACCTATTAAACAACAACCATCAACAACCTCTTATTCACCTATTGCACCAGCCACTCAGAAAAAGACTAGTAGTGAAACAACATCCAGTTGGATAACAACAAATATTTCACAAACAACAAAAAATGCTCAAGCACTGGCTCTGAAAGCGGTTGCAAGAAATCAAGTTGCGAAAATTAATCTTCAACAACAACAACAACAACAACAACAGCAACATCATCATCAAGCAATGGATACCGGTAAGATATATATTCTTGAGTTTCTGTATTGAGAAAGAGGGGAGCCAATGATAGACCATATATAAAAAATCCGAGAATAAACACCAACAATCTTTCTTCAGTTGATCGGCGAGAGATTTCTTTTCTAAATCTAATATTATTCTTTACAGGTAACTATGATGCATCTTTATCACGTCCAACATTGCTTGTTGCTCGTACCGATGCTTCATCAACATCTCATACACAACAACAAACGCTACAAGCACGTTTAAATGCTTTTGTTGTCAATGTACCTCAACAACAATCTGCCAAATTAATTCCTACAAGTACAACAGCAACATTAACACCACAACAACAAGTATTCTTACAGCAAATCATTCGACGTGATTCGACATCTATGACAACAGCAGCGGCAATTTCAGAAACAACCACAACATCAGTTGGAAATCTTGTTCAACAACATCAACAAGCCGTATCTACTTCGGTTCGTGTTCCAACAACAAGTTCAACAACGACATTTATTCAGCAACAACAACAAACATCAGCACGTTCAATTCATCAATCATCTAATGGAAATGATGCTGCACGAAAGCAACAATTATTTGAATCTCTTTCATTGTCATTAACAAATAACCGAACCATGAATTATAAATGTACATGTGAATGTAAACCATTAATTGCATGCAAGAAATGCGGTGCATATTGTCACGATGATTGTATTGGACAAACAAAATTATGCGGCAATTGTCTTGTTGTGACACCGTGTTAGAGACGATTTTCTATATCTCGAATTGAGTCTAGTCAGTAAAAGTTGTATCTATCAATATCGGCCGTTATTTTATTTCTAGAATTAATTGTTCAATGTATATACACAATGAATTATGTATCTCCTCTCTTTTTTTCGCTTCTGTCTTTTTTTGATTATTGTAGTAGGCACGAAGGTTTCATTGCGCTTTAAATATAATATTTATATTGACACAATTCTCCATACTTGTGAGAAAATTGGATATCGAACACTCAAAGTAAATTTTGAACAAAATTATTGATTCAAATTTTGTTTTACAAATTTCTATATCGTGAATCAAAACCAAGCATTCTTTGTATGAAAATCTTATGTTCTCTAATTATATGTCAACTAATACTATAAACGTAATCGAAATTGTAAAGTCTGCGCTGCTATTGTGACTCCAATATTTTATTCTATTTTGAGAGAAAAATCTTGAATGCCAAAAATAATTACCACAAAGTCTACTGTCTTAACCGTTAATACAACTAAAACGGACCAGTGCACTGCCAGAGCTTTTTTTTGTTGTAAAATTGTCACAGCTCGATCCGATACAAATGCTATCTCTTGGATAAAGTGTAAGCTTTTACGTTTTGGTATTTTGACGAACGAAAACTTTTTAGCCCATAATCACTAAATAGAATTTTAGATTTTACAACGAATTGTGACAGAACGTTTATTCGAGAAACAACGTATCATAACTAGAACCATATCAACAGTGACAATCGCGAAAGCAATTGTTTGTTAGTAGCTTGTTTCCACTGATAAAGTAGATTCTACAAAATCTTTATTTTCTCTGAAAGCACCACTAAGTGAAATTCTTCTTCCAAACCAAAAACATTAGAGAAGTCCAACATGATTAATCATATTCTTTTCATCGTTCGTTGAAGAGACAATAGAGCACGAAGTTTTAGATGAAAGTAATTCAGCGACTTGTTTTCCTTTCGGTAGATTATTTACATTGACCTTCTCCTCTGTACAATTCATATATAGCGAGTATCGTGTTAATTCTCCAGTAAAATTAGACTACGTATCAACATAAATAATATTTTCATCAAAGAAATCTTGTTTTTTTCATTAGTATAAATTATAACTACTTTGACAATAATTTGTTTGTTTTTTTAAAGCATGCAATAACAAAAAAAAGAAACGAAATCTTATTCTCTTATATATGATGTTTCATCACTCTCCTTAACTATAAAATAAGTACATACAATTACTTAACTGAACGCTAGAGATTCATAAAAGCAATTCATTTATAAAGTGCATAATGTAAAAACAGAAACAAAACAGAAACAAAAACAGAGTTTTAATTTAGTTTGATATTCTATACATAATTCATTGTTCAATGTCAATATATTGATCTTCGTTATCATCATCATCATCGTCATCGTCATCGTCATCCGTATAGTGAATTGATTGCGATGTATTTTCGTCATCAGATGCACACGAAGATGAATTCGTTAAATTATTTACTTGTTTTTCATTTTCGATTCGTTGTAATTCTGCATATGATGGTATTGAGTTTTTCTTTGGGCGACCTTTTGGTTTTGTTGGTGCTTCTTTGCATCCTTGTTGTAATACCTAACAAAAGATATATATTTGATTATAAGTAAAAGATCAGAATCCAATATGAGACATACTTGTTTTTTCCATTTCATGCGACGATTTTGATACCTGTAGAAGAAAAGTTTTTATCATTCTCAACAAAACCAAACCTACGAATAATAGCTACTTTAAACATACCAAGTTTTAACTTGTAATTGAGATAAATGTAACATATCAGCAAGTTCAATGCGATCGGGTGTTGATAAATATTTTTGTGTTTCAAAACGTTTTTCAAGACCAATTAATTGAGCGTCTTAGGATATGAAAAGAAAAAGGAACATTCAATGTGATTCTTCTTCTTCTTCTTCTTCTTCTTCTTCTATATTTAATTACCAGAAAAAACTGTTCGTGTTCGTCGACAACGTCTATGATGTATGAATGTTTCTAAATTTGGATATGATGAATTTAATTGTAATGTTGATAAATGACAATTATGTAAATTTGAAGAGCATACTCCTGATCGATGTTCTAAGAAGAGGAAGAGATTTTGTTTTTCCTTGAAATTTTCAAAAAAAACAAACTACTACCGGAACATGAATATTTATTTGCTGGTGAAAATGAAAGATACGATGCGGGCAACAATGATGAAAGTTGATAAGATCGTGGCATAAATGTTGGATATATTGTTGATTTTGATTTTTCATATTTAAGAATATCATCAATTGAAAATGGTAATGGTTTATCGGTAAAAGTCATTTTCTATATTATAGAAAACAAACTGAATCTCGAAATATTTCTGATTATATACGTCTAAGAACCAATGAGAGTATAACAATGATCGTTTGCATATCCTGCTGAGTAAAACACAGTAAGAGAAAAAGAAAGAGAGATATCTCATTATTTTTCTCGAGATCATCATTGCTGCTGCCGTATATTATGAATGATAACGATTGGATGGATGTTAGTAGAAGAAGAGAGATATTATTTTTAGAGCGTATGCAAACTTGCGCATGAATATAAACATCAACCAGTAGTATACTCTTGATTGTTATCAATCTGTACGTATAATGATAGATTAAGACAATACCTGGTTATATAGCCGAGATGACAGTTCTTTTATTTAAAGGTTACCTAAATACCAACAAGTTCCAAATTGTTCTTTCGATAGAGCTGTCTGATCGAAAGACGACACACGGAGATAAGAGAGCGTAATTGCATGTGTGAATATCATACGTATTGATAGCAAACATATTGTAGCTATAGACTGTGCATATACGTGTATTATGTATATGCATTTAAAAGAACAGAAAATCTTTAATCGAAACACAAATATTTGAAATCACAAGTGTTTAGTATCAAATTAAATGGAAATGAATTTTTTAATTTATACATTATTTTCTTCAAATTCAATTGGTCAAATATAAAAGTTTTGTAGAATAAAATTAATTCTATCGAAAATCTCTTTTGATTTACCTAAACAAACTCAAAACATGTCTCAATAGAAGATGATTTACATAGTTTCTATTGAATAGTTATCACACACTCATTACTTCTATGTTTCTTAAAAAATAAATAAATCCGTTTTATTTATCTATTTAACATATAAAAAATGATGAAATTCTTTCTTGCTGTGCCAACTGTAATCAACTACAATATGCAAGTGATTAAAAATTGAAGTATGATGTTATATGTTATTGTTTGATTATGATCCAATCGTCAATATTTTTATAAGCTACACATCGTACGTCACCTTCGACAATCTATTATCATTCATCGTTTCTAACGCAGCTTGCTGTGTGATTTGATTATTTTTTGATTATGTTGTCTCTTCTTCATAATATCATCCAATAGTAATCATAGAATCGATCATAACATTTGATGCATATCCCATCCAATAAAAATAGCAAGAATATCAACATTAATTAATTGAGACAAAAGCGAAAGAAAAGAAAAATGGAGAAGAAGAGCTTTTCTCTATTTTCTTAATGAAATAGACAGCTGTCCAATGTCGTTCAATTAACGAGCGGAAGTAGCTGCTGGTCACAAAGGAATAATTGAGGGCGGACCACCACCATGGTACAATAACATAAGAAAAAAGTCACTAGGGACTCGTTTCACTTAATTTCTTTCTTGCATCCGTGAGTGAGTTATTGATATATGAGTCTAAATTGTAAATAAACATTCGACAACTCGAACTACGAAAGGTTTCATAATAAAAAAAAAAAAGAATGAATTGATTAAAAAAATTGAAAGAAAAGAACAAGAGAAAAACACAACGCGGATTATATATAACTTATTGCTAGTGATTTTTTTATTTTTTATTCTCTTGTCAACAAGTAGAAAAGCTATACGGAGATACTGCAAAAAAAAATCAATCAGTTCTTATTTTCTGACTGCCAATGACGAGTTTTCATTAACGACACAGTAAATATAATCATGATAAAAAAACCAATACTAACACGTCCTGTTCGTCAAATTAATTTGTCGTTACCAGTTCTTCAAACTGATGCCTATGAAGTCTACTATTCAGTACCACGATCACATCATCGACATTCATCAACAAAACGTTCAATCGTACGACCAAAAACCAATACTGATAATAATAATAATAATAATAATAATAGCAACAACAATACTGACAGTAAGAAATCTAATAATCCAATAACAAGATTAAGATCTCCTGGTCGTCTGGCGCATCTAACTGGTCCAGTAGCGGTTAATCTATTTGTTGAAATGCCTACAATACCGAGAGATTCTTCGTCTCTAATGGTTGATCCTATATCGAACGTATTGAATAAGTCGTGTCATTCTGGACTATCATTACGTGCTGCAACAACATCAGCAATAAAACAAAGTAAAGCTCAAAGTACAAAAAATGACGAAGCCCGATCACAATCATCATATGCCGACAGACTTCTCTACGAATCTCTTGTATCCTTTGAAGATGCTCGTGCAATTAAAACGAAAAATATGACGTTACAAAGTGTTCACTATCCAACATTAACAACCGGTAAACTTTTACATACGCGAGGAAGATCAAAACGTATAGTGGGTTCAAATGCCATGCATCTGAGAATATCTAAATCATTCTCATTAGAACATCTCTTACAAGAATCAACTACATTATCTCGTCAACATCTCAATGAAAAGATTGAACAATTGACAAGACTTCATTTTCCAACAATACAACAACTTCGTCGGGGTCATCCTTCTTCTGGTTTTAATAGCTATCGAACATATTTACATCGAGAAGAGAAAAGAGATTTTATTCCTGTGTTCTGTCATTCACGTTTATCTCCGTAAAAAACAAAAAAAAATACTGTTTTTCTTTAATTATTATGCACATATGACATTTGTACAAAGAAATTAAAATACGAATATTCATTCAACAATGGCAACTTTTGTTTTTGAGCGTATCGTAAATTTTTTTTTATAATGACGTTTTCTTATTTTTCTATTGTAAAGAAAAGACAATATAACATAACAATAATATTGTAACTAGTACGAGAAAACTTTACAGAACTTATATAAAAGCTAAGTGATGTTTACTTTAGTTGATTTATCTTCGTCGAGATAATTTGAATGAAAAGTTTTTCGATTAGAACACAATGAATAATTCACTGTTCTTAAAAGTTTACATACAATAGAGTGAAAATGTCAGTGACTTTTATTCATTCAACAAATCAATCTAATGTAAACTTTCTGGTAAGAAAAAAAGAAGAATTAGTGAATAAAGGTAAAATGCTTATAATGATTCCTTGTCGATTAAATGTTATTTACTGTTAGTCGATTGCACTCTGTACCAAAGTAACGATAAATTTAATGCAACATGCTTGAGAGAAATGATTCTATTCTACTTGAAAAACTAGACCTATGAAATTGATGATGGAGAAGGATTTCATTTGTTGAAAAACAAATTTAAGAAAATCATCATAATGTGAGATAATGTATTTTTGTGCATGGAGGCACATAAATAACAAAAATTCGAAATAAAAATATACACAAAACACAAGTGAGTAATAAACAATTTCATCTATGATAAAATACAACACATAACGAATATTTGAAAGACAAGAATTCGCTTTAGAACAAAATAGAAACATGAAATAAAAACATATTTTTCAAGAAACTAAAAATGGATGAGCCAGTAGATCTTTCGCTGATGGTCTTACTACTGGATCACGTGTTAAACATAAGCGAAAAAATTCTTGAGCTGATACTGGACAGGTATCAGGTAGATCTGCCGGTGGTTTTGTACCATTAGCTACAAATAAATGATAAGAAAACAATTTTCCAACACTTATTTCGAATAACTCATACCAATAATTAATAATACAGCTAGATGATTATGTTCTGAAGACCATGGTGGTTTTCCTGTTGCCATTTCACATAAAGTACAGCCTATTGACCAAATATCTGCTTTTTTTCCATGTCCAGTCTCTGCTATTACTTCTGGTGCCATCCAATTGGCTGTACCTGCAAGTAAAATTTTTTTCGAAAATTTGTCTACAAGAAAGCTGTTTCATGGAACCTTTCATTGATTTAAGTATTTGTCGCATTGAATGTGTATTTTGATTTTTCTTTAATCGTTTTGCACAACCAAAATCAATTAGTTTTATATTACCATCAAAATCAAGCATAACATTTTTTCCTTTTATATCTCTATGTAAAAAAAAAACAAAATTGATAGAAAAACATATGATTTTTATACCGATGAACGACACCGTTCTGATGAAGATAGAAAACACCTTCAACAATTTGTCGAGTATATTTTTTTAGTACATCATTATGAAATGGACCAAACGATATTAACATATTTTCAATGGTACCATTTGGAAGATATTCCTAGAGCGAGAGAAAAAAACTTCATTTATACCATCTGATAAGCAATATTGTCGGAGGAGTTTTTTCACCATGAAAATTTTTATTAAACGTGTATTTTCTAATGAAATTCCAAGAAATCTAAAATGACATTAATTCTTATTTCATTCGTTTTTATAGGCTTCTACACCCTACTTGACAACATATGGATGAGTCAATGCTCGAAGTATATGAACTTCTTCACGTACTGATTCATAATCATTACGTACACGTTCACTATCACCTTCGTCTAGTTCAATTTCTTTAACAGCAATCATTCTTCCGGTTATTGTTAAATATGACCAAACAATACCAAATGCCTATAAAAAGAAAACGATTGTTTTTTCCTGCATGTGGTTATCAAATGAATTGAGTTAACTAATTATGTTTCTATATCAAACTGAAGGTACAGAACATTATATTAGATACGTACTCCTCGTCCGACTTGACGACCTTTTCGTGCTGTTCGATAAATTTCATCACAATCACTTTCAGTACATAATGGTGTTGCATTATAATCTTCATGACTACTTGTTGAATCAAGAGTTTCACTACCTTAAAAATCAGCAATTTGATAACGTAAAGATCTAATAGAATACTTTGTATTTCTACCTCGACTATTTAAACTATCATTAACAACACGTAAAGCGGGTCGGATAGAAAGGCCAGTATCTGAATTGTTATATGTTTGTGTAATACTAAGAGAAGTTTCAAATGGCAATGTTTTATTCTTAGATGTTGTGCTTGCTGTTGTTGATGGTTTGACTGATGCAGTGTCTTGTTCATTGACTAGCGATGGCAATGAGCGAAGTGATGTATCTTTACGAATTGAATCTTGTAATGTTTCATAAACAGTACGAATATCAGAATTAATCAGTTGAGGTTCATTTGATTTTGGTGGTTGAATGGAATTTTGAGAAAGGGATTCAATAGGGTGTTCAATAATTTGAGTTAAAACAGGACTGATTTCAACTGCTTGTAACGATTCCATACTATTCCGTCTCTGTATAGTAAAAATACATCGATTTCTGAGTGTGTTGTAGAAGAAAATTGTTAGAGATTAATTTAAAGTAAACATACCGTATTGTCACCAAAACTTGTCATGAGTGTGGTTTGTGATACATCTAGATGATCTGTAGGTGAAGCACACGATGGTAGATCTTCTTCGTCAATAGTAGATATTTCACATAATTGTGAAAGTGTAGGATCTTCATCATTCTTAGCCTGTACTTTAACTGCCATGACCCAATCAGTTCCAGAGACAATCATTGTATTTTCATTCGGTATTTCTTGTTGATCAAGTTCTGAATTTGTATTTTGACATTTTACTTCAATTTTTTCTATAATTTTCGGTGTTATTTTTGGCTTATTAGCAGTGATTTGTTTTTTGGGTTTAGCAGTTTTAATACAATTTCTTCGTGGTTTTTTCATTTTAACCATAGATGGTTTGCCTGAAGGCATTAGTTCAGGTTTTACACTAGGATTTTGCGTTTCAACTACAGAATCTGCAAATAATTCTGTAATTACAGGTTGACCTTTTAAACTTCCTCTTCGTTGACAATTGATCATTGCTGATGTAGTAGTTCTGGCTGTTGCTGGTGGATAATTAGGATCAACAGGTTTTTCACCTTGTAATGATAATGGTTGTGGTACTGGATGTAAAGATTGACGACCATAGTGTGAATTACAACGAGGCGATAAATTACGTTTAGGTTCAGTAGAAATGTCTAATTTAATTTGTTGTTCGGTCTGCGGAGATGTAGATTCGTTGTTTGCAATTGAAACAGATGATTCTTCTGTTTTGACAGTATTTGTTACTTGAGCTGTTTCATTAGGGGTAGCAACATGAAAAGAAGGAGGAATGACGTCACTAATAGAAAAAAATGTGAAATACAAAATAAAATCAGAAGCAATTTTACTTGTTGGATTGGATTATTTCTTCATCAGATATGGTTGGATTAAATTTAACCTTGGCTGTATTAGGTTTTGTTGAAAATTTTGTTTTATTACATGCTGGCAGAGGCTTTTTATTTGTTACATTTGTTGCAATATTAGATTTGAGCTGTGGTTGAAAAATGTCTAACGGAAATTTTACAAAACGTTGATTATTTAGATTCGTTGGAATACTGCTGGCTGTTGTTGGCATTTTATTTCGAATAGGAGGAGCTGCTGGAACATGTCGTTCAACGCTGTTTACGCGACGATTGTCAACAATTGGTTTTTGTGATTGTACTGGCGCAGTAGGTTTTGATAATCGTGTTGTAGCAATAGGTTTATCTAACGGTGCTTTATGTATAACTGTTGGAGATTGCATAGTTTTATTGTTGGACAAAACAGTTGCTTCACGATGAAAACTTTTCGAGAGTAAACGTCGAGTAAACTCGTCTTTTTTTTCTTGTATAGCAGGTATTTGTTCAGCAGTTACTAATGGTGGTGATATACTTGGTAGTGGAGCTGTTGGCGGAATCGTTAATGAGCTTGTTAAATTGGGAACTGGATCAGTTGGTATCGGTGGTAGAGGCGTATATGATGGAAGAAAGCTGCCTGTGAGACTTTCACATACTGTGTCAAATGTATTTTCACGTTGAAGTTTTGTCGAGTCAACAGGAACACCAGTGTTACGATGAAAAAGAATTGACGAGCGACGACTGCAAGCACTGCTGACAGACCGGCGACAGTAACGCGACGACTAAATAGAAGAGAAAGAAAAATGAAGAAAAGTAAGAAAGAAATAAATTAAAAAAAAGAAATTCTTTTTTGTTTGTTCAAGATAAATTGAAGCTGAATAGAAAGTTAAACCAGAATGCAATCTTAATTGAGTTGTTTTTTAATTCATAAATTATACAAACTGATATTCGATCGCTGATCGGCGATGGGAATGCATGAGTAGGATCATCGTGTTGATTATCAGAAGACAGAGGAATATCTAAAATAAAACAAGATATAGATTAGAATAAATTTTATAGGTAATTTAATAGTTACGAAATATCGTATTTTGGTTTTGACCTTGATCTAGTGTATTTTCATAGCTGTAACAAAAAGATATTCAATAAAATTTCATGTGAAAATTTTTTCGTTTCTAACCCTGATTGTAAACATTTTGGTACTGCCCAAGCTAAAAGTAGAAAATATGAATTTGATAAAATCGAATAAGAAATATTCGATAATGTTACTTCTAGGTGGATAAGTGTCTAGTAGTAGAAGTACATCTGCTTGTGATCTAAGAATAAAAATTTGTCATAGTAAAATTTAGTTTTTGAGCTTACTTTTGAAAGATAACCCGTGAAGTTTCGAGTTCATCTACATAAGAGATCAAAAGTATGATTAATAAAATCAATATTTTCTTAATTTAATCGTTACCATCATCAAGAGGAAGTGTACGATCATCGTCATTGTTTACATTTTCGATTAATAGCTTTGATTTTTTCAAAATCGAGGTCGGATGATCGCCATTTGCTGTTGTTGTTGTTGTTGTTGTTGTTGTGGCTGGTTGCTCATTAGTAACAGGAATCGGTGGTAAACGTTGTCCATTAATTTTACCTTTGAAAGATGTTGATGATAAGTTTTTTGTGGTCATTGATATTGAATCTATACTGTATTTTATAGTTCAATAAAAGATAGAAGTTTAGTCACATTTGTTCCGAACACACTTTATCAAAAGTGAATAAAATAAACAGAAAACACAATAGAAAGAAAGTTGTCGGGGTGCCGTGTATATGTGTGTGTGCGTGTGTGTAACGACATAATTTCAAATTTTTTTTGCTCGCTCTCCCCCTTCTTTCACTCATTCTCTTCGTACATTTTTGTGTTGCTGTCATGATTGCTTTACATAAAAGAATAATCACATTGGTTTGGTCTTTTATTGAACCAGTCTAAGATTCTTTTGGTTAAATGCGTTATGAATATGTTGTTGAACGAAATTTGATTGAGATTTCCTAAAAGGTCGCGAAAGAGAGTGATTTTAAGATATGTCTACATTTTAGTTCAAATACTTGACACGAAAATTCGTTTGAATAACTTTCGATTTCTACATCATCATGATTTGTAATTTGAAAAATTGAGTAAAATTAGTACGAAAGGATTCGTTTCAGGAATCGCATTGTTCGGTCATAAGCAAATTGATAAAATGCACTGGAATCTAATTAATAAATTTGCTCAGACAGATCTAAGAAAACTTATTTATTAAAGCTCTGACTTTTATAATTCATTTAAAATGACTAATATTTTATTCATAATTGAATTAGAAAAAAAGTATACATCTGACCATAGAATCACAAATCCTATTATTTTATAATATATAAATATGAATATAAACAACCTAATTGAATACTATTTTTTCGTTTTTGTCCTTATTCATGATAGTATTGAGCAGAGAAGGGCAAGTCAGAGGTTTTTTTTTCGCTCCAGTCAAGTCAAGTCAAGTTGGAATTCAACCCGATTTTCATTAAGTTTTCTTAAATCAAAAGCAAATTACCGACAACATTGTTTCCTTGGCCCGTATTATAGTTATACTATCGTTTTCTAAGTTATGAATCAATTTAATTTTTATAAAAACAAAGGAAACAACGTATTTCCGTGAAAGAAATTGTTGCGAAATGAAACACGCAATAGAAATTGACAAGAAAATTTCTACATATTTTAACAGCATTATCTTATTTCACGCAATTTCAATATCCGAGCATATGTCCTGATCTTCATTTCTATTTTCCATTACATTTCAAATTAGAGAATCGAAATTGAAGCGAATAAAATACCTTCAACTATATACATTTTTTTATTTATAAAACGAAGTTTTCCATTGAGATTAAACAGACACATGACAGGCAGCAACTCTGCCACTTTAAACCAGACTCATATTCTTGCCAATAGAAAATCGTTCGAAGGTCTCTCTCTCTCTGAACCTCTATTATACTGAATCGCATGTTAATTGAAAAATCTTATCCGTGAGTGTTTCCATGATATATAAATCCATCAAGTTCGTTGCATCGATATGAACAGCTGTAATAACTCTTATTTCAAAAATAAAGTAATTATAATCAACATCAATATTTTTTAGTGAGAAAAAAAAGATGAATAATAAAAAGGAAAGCGAATGCAGAAATAAAAACGGTTATAAACAGTAGAGTCAAGCATTGACAATTGATAAAAGTGGTGAAGCGTGCATAGACATTTAAATGTCTGTATTTATATTAAAGAAGTCCACTGTCCATTAATCTATTCATATCTTGAACTATATCTTTAACAATTGCACGATTTAATGTAGAATTTGAATTAAAAACATAGTCAATAAATTGTAAATTTGATAAAGTATTAAAAATATAATCGATACGTATATGAGATTTTTGTGATAAATGTGTTGAAATAATTTTATGTACTAAATCTTGACATTCTTTACACATACGTGCCAAAAAGACACGATCGTAGGTAAAATCAACTTCATAAAATGTAACAACAGCTTTTGCTAATGAGTGAAAACGATTACGAAAATCATCCATGTATTTCAATTCATATTCATTAAATAAATCATTTTTATATAATATACCCAATTTAACAATAGTTTTTATTATTGATTTAAGTAATTTGTCTGATTCTTTTTTACTATCTGAATAGGCACGAGTTAATTTATGTAAATTATCCAGTACGCGACTGCTTGTTTCATCGATGAAAACTTTAGCCACTGATTTTGATGAAATTTTACTAAAACAAAAATAAAAAATTATTGTGTTCGTTTTGATTTATATGAAAAATAAATTACCCGAGTAGTTTCTTTTGAGCACGAAGACCAAGACTTTGAGCTGACGTATTTACTGTTGTTTCTTCTTCATCAGCTAGAATATGTGAAATTAAATATTTTCCTTCGTTTTTTTATAGGAAAACATCAAACTTCTCCAATGTGTTTATTTTTTAATTCAGTCGTAGATCTCTGAATCCTCGACGGGAATAAGTGAATCATAAAAGATAAGCTAAACAAGCACGAAATCAGTCTCCAGATGGGAATGCATTTGAACTTTTTCTAAATTAGCGGATTATTCTGAATCTAATAAATGATCATAGTCATTTCTTATTTCGCACTTGAGTTTATATGATAAAAATACTAAATTGATCCGCGTAATTTATGTAATAAGAAAGAAATGAAGCTTATATTCGTGCGCCAACAGAATTATCGTTTAACAGTTTTACGTTGAATATTTCAAAATAGCAACTGTTAAACGATGTCAATATACTCTTTCCTAATATATATTAGTACACAGTTAATTCGTTTCAAAGATAAAAACTGATCATAAGCACTTACACTCAATCATAAATCCTTCTAATGTATTGGTAAATTGCTGTGAAATAGAATTGGATGCTGTTGTTAATAATTTATGATCTTTTTTAGATGCCATTATATGATTTCACAGATACGCTTATCGTTGATTTTTTAGTACGATAAAAAATATAATTTTACTTGTCGTGTTACAATGAATAGTAGATAGAATCATCACGGGTCTTCAGTATGTAACGTGTTCAGTTCAATTACTACTGTTGCTTCGTTGTGTTTAGTCTATTTTTTCTACTCTTTTTCTGTTTCCTCTCTCTCTCTCTCTCGCTCGCTCGATGAAGTCGACAGGTAGATAGAGAATAAGGAGAGAACCAAAAGAAAAACAGCCCAGATGATAAGTAATGTTTCAAAACAAAAACAACAGAACTTGCAAGTTTGATTTATTAGTATGTTATTAAAGCATATGGTCAAATGCTCGTTTTTTTCTCTTCTTCTTTACACTCAATCAGTACTAACGACAATGATTGTAGTGCATCGAAAGAAGAAAAAAGAAGAATATTTATATTGCTTGGGGTTTTTTTACAGTCAAAAAATAGAAAAAGGTTTTCATTCATAGAAAGAAGAATCCCTTTGCATTACAAGAGAATACGAACATGTGTCAAGCGATACCATAAACGTAAAAATATAATGAGGAGAAGTCAGGTGTGTGCGCTCATTTCTTTCCTTTTTTTTGTCATAATACAATGAAGAAAGAAACACAGGAATCAGTTTCAAGATGTCATATTACCCACATTTCTTTTCCTGTTCAATGATTGATAATTTTGTTTCATTAAGAAAGGTTTATTCTGGATAAAGTGGAAAAATAGAAACCATTCGTGTGTCTATGATATATAGGAATGCTTGAATGAATCTCTATATGAAAATAGCGTAAGACGTTAATCATAACAATAATCTTCAAAAAATATTTCAACTGAAAAACATTATTGAATGTTATTGTTTTTTTTCAATTAAGTCTTGTTTTCCTTCTTCCACATCGTCTTATATTAAATAAACTCCTTGTACGTACCACTATCTTCTTCATCATCGGCCTCTTGTAGATATTTTTCAACCATCTTATTGGTTCCTGCAGTTGGATTGATGGTCGTTGACATTTTTTTATCTGTCATAACTTTAATACCCTAAATAGATAATTTCAACATTTTGCTATTGCTATTCTTAAAACGTTCGTTTATAGTTGCATTGTTACGAATGTTTTCTTTTAATTGTCAGTGAAAATTCTTACGGACGGGAACAGACGCAAAAGTTACTTGGGATGAATTCGAGACCATCTATTTTACATAATTATGTTCGTTTCGTATTGAAGAAAATGGACTTCCGAAATGAATTCTCAAGAAAAAGATATGCCATAGGAAACATTTGCAAAAAAAGCGGATGAATTTTCATTAGTAAATTCTCAATATGTATGTTGTTCATGTTAAATTCGGAAAAATAAATTCTACAAAATATCGAAATACTGTACATCGTATATTTCTATAAGCTAATGAGCAGAAGTGCAGAAACTATAACTTACCCTGAATGCAGTGTTTTAGTATTGTGATCGAAGAAAAAAATCGATAATCTCTTGTGAAGGTCCACGTAATAGAAAAGGAAAGGAAAACAGGTATCTAGATCCTTTTTTGATCTCAACCTTCACTTAACCTAATTGCCGTTGATGTGTGCGTGATTTTATGACGTACTAAGCGTCTGGTCGATCGAATCGTTTTTTTCTTTATCTCTCTTTTACATGCGATATATTCGTTTGACTATACTATATATGAAAAAAAGGCAAAGAGAGAGAGAGAGAGAAAGCAAAACAAGAGTTAGATCATCGTAACTGTTATTTATTATGTTATCGTCGAACTGGATGAGTCAATCAGATAGACACATATGTCATAGTTTATATAATAGTATTTACTTATATTCTATCGTATATCACATTGGAACGTGCGTTGTCAACTACAAATATCGTTTTATCTTTTTGAAAGATCAATTGATTTCTAAAGAATGTTTGGGTAAAAAGATCGTCAAAAGTCTTTAAAAGGTCAATATAATTATAGAATTTATTTTGACATATTTGTAAATACATACGAATGACTAATTGTACAGCGAACGAGGTCATTCGTTGGATAATATAAAATCCAATGATTTGGTCAAACTGAAAATGAAATAAATAACATGTTTAATAATTTATCGTTGGCATTTATTTACTGATCGATATCATGATATTCTTATTCTATTATTTGGTATGATAAAAAGAAATATCGCATGTCAACCAAGGATTTCAATATGCCTACATATACATATTTCACGATATCAAAAAGATAATATAAGATTAGTTTACAGTATGACAACAAGTAGTAGGTCTACAAACCCACTTAGATAAAAATAAAACTGTTATATATATATATATTACTCGACTAATCAACTGTAGATTCATCATACTAAAACATTTACTCTTTTGTTGATATCTTCTGAGATAAATTCACTTTAAAGCATCTTTACGAAGAAGCCAGTAAAGTTGGCCGAAGTGTGGAATACACTTTATTTTAATATTCACTTAGCATTGCCTATCAATGAATAGAATGTATATGTCTCAAAAATATTATCAACTTGTCAATTCTATTCAAGGATTTACTGATCCAGATCCGTATATCGATTTTTTTGTAACGGCTCTCTTATAGAAGAGGCACTAATAGACCATTTCAACTCAATATTTTAAATCGTATTGATTAATTGTGTAATTTATTTTTTGACTCAATGCTCATGAATTTCAAAGAAGCTTGTATGTTTTTTTGTGTATGTCTGTCACGCTTTGTTCATTAAATGACATAAACTCGATTAATCAATCATAGATATTTTTAATTACTAAAAGATATTCCTCTCCAATGGTAAATAATAGGACGAAAAAATGAACAAAGAACCTGTTGATGAATTTTATCAAAAATAAAATGTTCAGGAAAGAAATTGACAAACAATAGAATAGATAGAAATTATTGTTATTTATCTGCTAATTCGTCGAGAAAACCATTGATAAGTTTCTTTTTTTTTTGAACATTATCTGCGTCTTTTCGCTCTAGCAAACTTTCCTCCATAATATCTCCATAGAGTCTTTATAACAATTCTCGAAACATTTGGTGACAACTTATCAGAGAAAATATAGTTTTATAGCCACTACTGATTCTTTTATCATTGCCATCACACCTGTTATATATACTTATGTGTATATTTAAAAGGATGCAGTTTTGATATGATATAACCTCATCGACATGAGAAAATAGAATGTGAGGTTTTCTGAGAGACTGTGCTGTAGTTATTTTATTTATATTTAGCGACTGATCAAACATCGATTGCATAAATAGAATAATTTAGAAAAAAAGAGCAAGACTATTTCCATCTAATTGAAATGATGTATGTTTCTATTGATAGAGAATGTGTTGATATTTTAACTTAAGAGATTTTTTTCTGATTCATATCATAATATATTAAAAATGTTTAAAAGCTTTCGAAAGAGTAACTACTAGATATTAGTAGAAAACATGAACGGATATATAAAAAATTGTATTAAACTGTTGGAAAGATAATCGTTGAAAAATTTGCAGCAGATTCAAAACTCTTCTGATGAGGTAAGTTGTATACTCGTAGACATTATTTTAATAATAAACGATTTGATTAACGAAGAGAAAATAAAAAATTGTACTATTTAAATTAGTTATCAATTCATCTAAAATGAATCAGGATTAATAAAAAATTATGTTCTTGTTATACTATATCTACATCAATCTACATTGGAACATGACCGAGAGCGGATGTTCTACAACCAGAACTATTGTGAATTGACCATGAACTGAACAAAAAATTGATATCTCATTTGTTACAAATAAAAATGGCGTAGTTTTCAAGACGTATTGCATTCAAAGGAAAAAAATCACGGAAGCAACACTGTAAAATTGATATTGATTGACGTATAACACATATTCTGTTTTTAATATCAGCTTAATCAAACGAAAAGCTGAACTGAGTATAAATATTCATGAATCCGTTAACCTCGACTTTGGCGATGTCAAACGTGGACATAAGGAATAAGAATGAAGTATGAAGTAAATCATTTTAAATTTTATATTTTTAAAGATTATAGTGATATATGTGATTTTAGTATGGACTCTTATTTACTGTTGAACCTCTTTTTAATGAATAAACATCCTAAGATACTCTAATTAAATGAACCATCCAGATCAATTGTTGTCACATACTTTAATTCTTATGTTACGAACAATGTTTTTAGACTGAAGTTCACTAGTTAAAAATAATATTTGTTATGTGCCGTATCCACAATCCAGTGTTCATATTATATAGTTCATCATTTGAATTTTAAATATCCTAATCATATGCACGGACACACTTTTTACGTTACTACTGGGGAGAAGGGTGTGGGTGTGGGTGTGACTCTTCTGCTCATCTACACTACACCCACATCCCTTTTTTGGAATTCTTTCATTTCCATTTATTTCATCATTTCCTTCCACAACCTCTTCGTCTGATATATCACTTTCATATTGAGCAACTGGTACGACTTCCATCATTTTTACTCGCTGATACTAAGCTGAATGCGAAAGAAAGAAGCTAAAAGTACATTTATATTTGTTGTACTTGTCAGCTGTACGATATATAGACCAAAAGAACAAACATGAAAAAAACGTAAATGACCTTATAACACATCAATTTTTATACTGATCCTTTAATCTAATTTACTGATTTTTAAATATATCAATAAATCGACGTATATTAATAACTTACCACATAAATAATGTTGTCTGTAATAGTTCTATTTACGACGAGTAACTATTCGTCATAAATAGAACTATTACAGACAATTCTTATTACTTTACGTTGCTATTATTACCTGGCTGATACTCTTAATCGAGCTATTTCACGCTGTTTTGTTTCATCAAGTTTCGCATATATCTGAGTAATATAACTTGGCTAACGAAATAAGAGAAAACCAATATATGCTTCAAATACTTTCACATAATCTAAAGATGAATTGTCAAGAATTCATAGAACTATATTCAAAAATATTTAACTGAAAATAGACATAAAAATGATTAAAACTCATGAGGAACTGTTTGGCAGCTGCATTCGAATAATCTTCTACAGAATCAACATCTTGCTTGTTCTTATTCAAATTTTCGCTATATAAAAACTATACTATCAGTGTACTAATTCGAAAATATTGCAAGAGATTAAAAAATCGTTTCTTTTCAGCCTCGACTTTAATTTTCACTTTATAATATGAAGAATTAGGGATGACGATCAAATTACTCGATTCAATTAACATCAATGTCCTATCGTAGATATCATCGAATTTTCTTTTACAGTGATAATGAACAAAAATGTCATCTGACTTTAGTATCAATATGGAGAAAAAATTGACACAGTTGGCCTTGAAGTTACACAGAATAATTCGTTCATAACTTTTTCCTTTTTTTTTATACATAAGCGAAGAAATAACACACACTCCCTTCCCTATCGCAACGGAAAACAATCACTTGTTTCTTTAATTACATTTATTTTCTTCTTTACGGATTACTTTTTTTCGGACAAAAATTGAATGCTTAGATAAGAGTTGGAGCAATATCAAATTTCTAAGCATTCAAGAGCTACAGAACAACGAATCTAAAAAAGATCATCTATTTATTAGGTGTAAGAATGATTACCACCTTTATTTTGTCTTATTTTAACAGCAGCGATGTTTTCAACACTGATACATGGTTTCATATTCATTTTATTCAGGTAAATATAAAATCTGTGACTGTTTTTATTTATCTAACAGCGAAAGATCTTTCTTTTTTAGTCTCACAGGTTTGATTCTTGTTCTCATAATAGATTTCGTGTAATTCATTTAGTTTATCGATAGTTCGAGTTAAATCACAATCATGTGATGGTATGTCTCAATATGATCGATGCTCTCGGAATTCGGCATGTGCCTGTTTTCATTTACCTGGCGCTTCTAACACTGGTATTTGTACTGATCGATACGCAGTGACGTGTTCTGAACTGACACCATGCAACCGTTCAACGAATAGTTGCAGTCAATCTGATCATATATGTGTTCATCATCCTCAATGTCATGATATTCCTGTTTGTTATTCAGTACCGAATTCCAATAAACAATTCTGTCCACCGATAGCAAGTAAGAGAATATAATATGAGTTACAGACTTCAGTGGAACTTGAAATTTTCTTAAATTCATGTTTACTCTCGTCGGACATCTTCACTTGTGGAACTCATAATGATATGATGATGTTAAGGAAGAGCATAAGAATCTTTCTTGAGATTATATTATTTGAGCTCATAAAATTCAATCATTGCAATAAAATCTTGATTACACTAAATTCTATATCACATACAAATTCGTTTGTTATGACACTAAATCATGATGAGTATTATTATTTTAGCTACAACTACAACTAAACTCACAACCGAACAACTCGGTAAGTTTTTAATTAGCACTGATTCATTTTTCTCAATTCTGTTCGTTATATATGCAATTGTATATATATATAGCTTTAGTTTTTATGCAGTCTTACTCTATTAGTAGTTAAATTTTCGTTGATAAAATTAGCCATTAATGGGTGTGGGTAAATCTGCTCTCCTAATCGGTGTCCGCAAATGTGACGGTACCCAAACTCACACCCTATATTCGTAAAAATCGGCTTTTTAATATAGTCCGTTGATATTTCATAGAAGAACAAAAAATAACTCGATCTTGTCGGAAATTGCCTGACAAGAACAACACTTGTCTTTCAGTTCTCACACTACTTTCAGAATTGCTAATATTGTTTCATTTTTCCTATTTGAGAAAGAACCACTATAAGACAGTAACTTCTATCCACGGCATACTTTACGAGAAAATGATACCTTCTCACAGATGTTTCGATATGGCTTCAATATATACTGCCACGTTTCCTTATATATATATGCGTTTATTGAACAATATGTATCCATATCGACAAGTCCTTTAAACTATATTTTCCCCAGGGACCCTCCTACTTTCGAGAAAATCAGATACGAATTGTTTAAAAACTAACCCATGTAACAAAAACCGCATGAAAATCGGCGGTTTATCGCAAAAAATGATCCGGTATTCGCAACATGGATATGCATCCATTCGATTCCCTTCGGTCAAAACTTATGAAAAATAAATAATTTCTCCAAAATTTTCTATCTAGACGAAGAAAAAGAATATTCAAAAACTATTATATTACATCATAACTTATTCACTAGTAAAACGAATATTTTCCTAGTAAGAATTTTAATGTTGTAGTCATATCCAGAATCAAATCAAATCGGATCATATGCGAATAATTGGATCAGCTCTAACACTACGCTTCTATTCTGCAAATCGAAGTCTTTTGTGATTCTGACAAATCTTGAAAGCTTCCTGGTCAAATTAAAAATCTAAATGTGCTCTGACATTTTCTAACTTTCCTCTTGCGAAATGTGCTCGAAAAATTTCTCTTTTTGTGCTATCATGATATCCTAGTTGCGGCTTTACTTACCCTTGTGTAGAATTTTGTACAGACCATTGGCAAGAACCTATCAGTTTCCTATTCACTTATTCCCGTAGAAAGAGCTTCTCTAATCTTTCTCATACATCCAAATTAGATGATATCACCAATAGATTCTTCTACTAATAAACTTTCTCATATCATACCAGCAGATTAGCAAAGTTTTCTCAAGAGTTATTTTCACAATTCTATGTCACCTTTCGAATACCACTACAAGAGAGAGAGTGAAATGGTCAAGATCTCCTTTGTTTCTGCATTTGTTATGATTATGCTGTGCATCTCTCGTGAGGGAACAATCATATAATTACATAGAATCTAACTGCCTTGATATGATTGATTTCTCTTTATGAATATAATCAGTTACAAAATCTAGCACTTAAAAATATGTTGAACTTTTTCCAGAGACCAAGGTCAATCGTTCCGGTCACCGGATACTGTAGGAACCAGTCGGAAAGATGCGGAAAAATCACCGTATTCCGGAGGAAAATACGGGAAGTCGCTGGAACGTGGGAGCAGCATTCCGATCGGAAAATTTTCGGAGTTTTTTCCGATGATTTACTGTCTGTTCGTGCTGGAAGCACTGAAAGTTGACCGGAATCTACCGGAAAAAAATCCGGAATTTTACGACCGGAATACTGCTTCCCCCTTCCAGCGATTTCCCGTGTTTTCCGATCGTTTCTCGTCGTACCGCCACAACCTGAGCAGTAAGAACTTTATTCATTCGAAAAACTTTATAAATTCATTCTCATTACAAGTTCGATAGGCTTAAAAGAGTTTATTTCCCGTGTTGCTTCTACGGCTGGCTACAAAAATTGTAAATTCATAATGAATGATGATAGCACTTCTTCAAAAAAATATTAATTAATACTATTTTGTTCCCGTTTTTTTCTCGTTTCTTCGTTCAACTATTTAGTGATGTACTTGTTTTTATCTCTTCCTCATAAATGCAACGTTTAGCATTTCAATGTTTTCTACCGGTACGTATTATCATTTTGAAGGTATACCATTTTCGCTGGTTGATTGGTCTGATATAGAAATGCTAAAGTTTATTTTCTAATTTTAAAACAATATCTATCCTTAGATTGTGAACGAGAAAGGGATGTGCTCAAAAACAATTGAACTAATACATACGATGAGAGAGAAAAACCTATTTCCATCTCAATAAATTGCTTTATCTAATAGTATATTCAGGAGCAGTGACTTAATTATATATTTATAAATAATATATGATCCTAGTCAGATTATCTACGTAGTAACTTTCGAATTTCCAAATGTCAGAATAGGAACACCGAACTTAATAACATAAGAAATCGATAGTTGTTGATCTGAAACACGATGTAGTAATTTTTCGTCGTTTTTTTAAATTTTTTTATTGAAACTCGTAAAATTGTTGTAACCTAGATATTTTTCGGTGCAATTAAGGAAAAAAGCTCTCGATTGAGACAGCCAATATTCATGGTAAAGAGAATTGTCAGTTATTCAATATGTTACATCTCTTTATTATGAAAGTGTCTTATATTAATTTCTGTATTTGAAAAATTAAATATAATCAGTGCATTTTATGGATATAACACGAAATTGATTAATCATAACTTCATGTCAAATCTAAAGTTATTAAAAAAATCATAGTAATCTGTAAAAAATATTAAGGACGTCCATACGAGAATAAATATTTGTATAGTTGCATTGAGATAATGCTCTAAAATAACGATTGCTTATGTGTGACTTTCATGTCTCTGTAAAATGTAATAAAATGAATTGCCTATCACATGTATGTACTTTTTTAGCAGCGCAGTTAAATTTCTGATAACAAATGTAAGTATCCATAATCCATAATTGAAGTACATAAGTAGTTCAAAACAGAAGTTTCATTCTATAGAAAGTTTTGAGTTCTTTTGAATATAACTGAAATGTCTTCTCTTTTGCAAAAGGGATTTAGTTGTACTCCCTGTTATTTTTTTTTGTTTTAAAAGTTTCTTTTTCCAATTTATTAAATTTCCACTATTTGTGATATTTTTTCTATAGAGACCAAGGGGAACAAACGGATTTCTAATGCTAGAAATCACTGAAAATCAAGAAATTAGTTTGTTCCCCCTTGCGATTATTAGAAAACTCCTATTTTTGACGGATATCTCTATATATAGAAGAAGAACGAGCTAAGAATGTTTTTACTGATTTGATTTGAGAATAAGTAACACATTATACGTTCTATTGTAGTGTTATAACCAGAAAATAACCTACTGAATCCGATCACCATGTAACATCAAAATTGCAACCTGCCCGACAAGATCCGATTAAGCTATGATGGGTGTGGGTCTTACTAATAGATATTACCCATCGAATTAGCTAGAAATACTTGCGAACATAGCTCCTGTTTTCTAATAACAATACCACTTCAGCGAGAGATACATCTCCTTTGATTTTACTTTTTCTTCTAGCTAATATTCCTGCTAATGCCAAATGGACACAGAACGGAGTGACTATTGCTGGAGGTCACGGGAAGGGTGATGCCACTAATCAATTCTCAGGCCCCTATGGTCTCTTCGTTGATGATGATCAAACAGTGGTTATTGCTGACTACGGGAATCATCGTATCATGCAATGGAAGAACGGTGATACACCGAATGGACAAGTTGTTGCTGGTGGTAAAGGCGAAGGAAATGGATTACATCAATTGTATGGTCCAACTGATGTATTAATTGACAAAGAGACGGATAGTCTCATTATTTGTGATGCAGGGAATCGACGAGTTGTACGATGGTCTCGTCGTAGTGGTACAACGCAAGGTGAAATACTCATCGATAGCATCGTATGTTGGGGATTAGCAATGGATGAACAGAGATATCTCTACGTTGCTGGCGTCTTAACACATGAAGTAAGACGATATCAATTAGGTGAGAAGAATGGTACTCTCATAGCTGGTGGAAATGGCCAAGGTACTGCCCTAGGGAATGTAATGGGTTCAGGGTACCCACATACTAAGAAAGCCACACCAAGGTACCTATTAGGTGTACTTAGAAAATTCTCAGTAACCAGACTGTTGTAGGTACTGCATTGGGTACCCATAGCAGTATGTTTCGCTGAAGCAGTACTTGTATGAGTACCCGCACCTGTAATTTTACTGAGGAAAGCTCTACAGGGTACCCTAGATTTATCGCGTTCTGTGTGGCGTCTGTTCATTCACCGTTTTCTTTTGCGTGAACAGCTCCTTATAAACAACTCGGTGAGCCATCAGAAAATAAACTTTTTTCATATTTTTTTTCTAGATTATTTCTTGACTATTTATTAGTGGAGAACATGCCGATCTTAATCGTAAATTAAGATCGGACTACCCTGAAGTAGTCGGATGGAGATTCGACCAACTCAAGCCCGGTCAAATCCCGAAATTTGACCTGCTAGAGTTTTCACGATTGGAAGCATAAAATTAAATAATATTGAAAAAAATTTAATAAATTGTTTTGAGAAAAAAAAATGAAAAAATTCGAAGATTAGGTTCGACCATCAACGTACTGCAATTTTGGTAACAGGGTACCTAAGCATACTGTGCACTAGTATCCAGTTGAGTACTTGATCAGTACCTTCAAGTACTCATTTACTAGTTGTTTTCCAGCAGTGTACCTACCTGAATACCTAAAAGGTACCTAAAAGTACTTTTAAGTACTCCAGTACCATAAAGTTCCTAAGACATACTAGTAGCAGGGTACTTTTTCGGGTACCCTTTGTTCAGTACATGTCCTAGGGTGGACTCAATCAACTCAACTCGCCGAGATATCTCTTTGTCGATCGACAACAGACTGTCTACGCGTCAGACTACTCGAATGATCGTGTAATGAAATGGAATAAAGGTGCAAAAGAAGGCATCCTAGTCGCTGGAGGTAAAGGTAAAGGAAGTGCTCTTACGCAAATGGATCGTCCTAATGCACTCTTCACCGACACGTTGGGTACACTCTATGTAGTAGACTCGTTCAATCATCAGGTAATGCGTTGAACTCAAGGAGACATGAAACAAGGCACTGTAATTATGGGTGGAAATGGTGGAGGAACAGCAGCAAATCAGTTCAACATCCCGATTGGTTTGTCTTTCGATCGACATGGTAATCTCTATGTCGCCGATTTTGGTGGCCAGCGTGTTCAACGATTTTCTATCGAAAAAGACTTGTGAATTTTTCTTTTTTTTTGTTCGTTTCCTTTTCTATACTTTGAAATAAATGAACAAAAAAGAAATTTTCTTTCTTTGTTTTTTTTATAATTCTTTCTCACTGGAAAGAAAAGAAAAAGGCTAAAAATAAAATTACATTATGTTTCTTCTTTTTAGCTCTATAATATATCGAAAATGAATTCGACATTAATATGCAGCAAATAGGAACAGATTTCATTGCAACAAAAATTATTTTTGAAGCGAAATCTTTTGATGATTTTTAACCTCATTTTCAAAGACATTTTTTGTTTGTTTACTTCATATCAACAGTAGAAAAAAACCATGTAACTTCATTTTTAGCATGAATGTCTAACAGTCGTTGTGTAGTATTTTCACAAGATAGAAAAACAGTTTTTTCTAATAAAAATAAGATATTACAATTTATTTCCATACGTCAATTTATGATTTCACGCTATTCATATTGTATTTTGTTCAGGGAAATAACTTGTAACAGCCACCATCAATGAATTCGTATATTACTCGATTTAAATCAGAATGATATCTAACAACTATCGAAATCGGTACTTCATCGTTGCCATCCTAAAAAAAAAACATTTTTTTTATAAGAGTCAGCTTAAAACAATTGTGCCGATCACACACAATACACTTCGACCTATCAAAATATGATCTTATTTGGTTCAACATTATTCAATTGTAACTAGTAAATCAGTGAGATCATTTTCAATAAAAATACCGACAATTGTCTTGTTAAAAAAAGAAATTAGCAGCTGTTTATGAATATCGAGATTGTTTCTATCATTAACACTTTATAAGTTTTAATTGATGTATACCCTTTTTCTTCCAAAATGAATAAGCAGAATATGTTTGATACAAAATGTATGCAGCCGAGCAGTTGAAAAAATGTAATTCTATTACTTTTATGAATGGTCTATGCTTAATTATTTCAAGAATAAATCATTGTTTTCTTTTTGTTGACTAAGAAGACAAAATGAAAATTGAATACTATTTTTTGTACGTCATTTTGATTTGACTAGATCTGAATTATATTTTTACAAATAAAATACTTTTAATCGATTAAACAATTCATTTCTATTCGTAAAGAGAAAATCATTTTTTATAATATTTAACGACATCTATTGTCTTTTTTTCTTTTTATTTAATTGAAAAGTGTTGCTCTGGCAGGTCGATGTTTCCATCAACCCGCACGATTTCGTCATCGCAACATGTATTTGATCAGTAAAGATCATTTACCTCTTGGTAAGTTGTAATAAGCAATTTTTCTCGCTGCGATGCGGGGCACGATATTTCTTCTGTCCTTACGCGTTTCGTTTTTTTTCTGTTCTGTGCGAGCCTTGGAGTGAGCGATGTGTCATTGCAGTCGCAATTTCGTGCTTTCTTATCCTCCAAGATAGGCATCGCTTCTCGGCCTTTTCGGCTAAGATCAAAGTGTAGTATCTGTTCTCGTCGGTTTGAAAGCCGGCGCTGGTCCCATTGGGGCCAGGCTCTTTCAAGCGGATTTTTGGACATCGGCCAGG